GGTCTCTTCTTTTTTTATTGAATAAAACAAAAAAAAAAAAGAAACCAGAAAAAAGGAAACAAGAACAAAAGAGCTTCACACACAGTGACCATGGATGCTTAGGGCTTTGTTCTTGCTTAGTTCTGGCTCGGATGCGGAGAAGCTCCCAAGGTTGTCCAGGCCGTATCCTCCGAGCCTCCTTCTAGACCCTGCCTGTTGCCTGAATCTCAAGCGATGCCATCGACGCTGCCTGCACCTCTGATCCTGTCTTCGAGCTGCACACACGTCCTCTCCTCGCTGTCGTTGTTGTCGTTGCTGCCGCTGTTCCAGTCGACCTCGTCAATCCATCGTGTTCGTTAGCATGGCCCTCCAGAGCCAACCCTCCACGTTCCCGCCGCCTTGAGAGTTCTCGACCCTTTTTTTTTTCCTTCTCCCTCTTTCTCGCTCTCTCCCGCTCTCTCCCGCTCTGTCTTTCCTCTTTCCCATCCTCTTCGCCTGGATTGTGCGTCGAATCCCTTTGGATCAATACACGGGACCAATCTTCAACACTTGGTCCCCTCCGGGCTGCACCCTGATACATTTGGAACCGTTCGTCATCGATCGAGTCCCTCTAGAAGCATAATGCATCAACATCCCCGGTCCCCAGCGCCTACGGCGCCCGGCTTTCCTTCCAGGTCGAAGCAGACCTACCCGAGTGCCCACAGGGAACAGGTCTCCGAGCCGAGTCCAGACACGAGGACCAGTAGTACTGCCAGAGGTTTGGGGATCGACACGGGAGCAGAGCCGCAGGACCAGAGTCAGAAGACTACAGCCCCTGGCAAAGATGCTATTGTCAAGCTGAACCAGATCGTATCGGTATAGATCCCTCCTGCGCCTTCCATATTTAGCACAATACTTTGGAAAATGGCTGACCCGGCATCTACTGTATAGAATTATCATACCAAAGCGGCCTTGATCATCCTTCATTCCCGAGTCGAGCTTCCTCCTGCATTCGCTAAAGGTTCGACCACTCCCAAAGTTAATCGCTGGGTAGGTTTTCTTAGAAAGATAGCCGTATAAAGTTGTGCGCAGAAAGGCTGCTAACCCACATGTTCCAGTTCAACGTCGAGTTGGATGATACAGATGTTCTACGGGAACCCCTGAAGGTCTGGAGATCCTGTGATACCATAGAGAATCGGCCGCCGCCTTTGATAGTCGAAACGTATCTGGACGCCAAGGGGCTCACAAATAATCAAACCCTCGTCATCCTGGATGAGAATGGCAAGCGGTGGGATGTTCTCGAATCGTTGGCAGCTTCCCAGACTGCTCGACATCCCAACCAGGACGAAGTCATCCTGGAGCGCTGGAAGGTCGAACTGGGAGACTCCTCGAAACCGCTGCCAAGTGACTTGGGCGCCATCTTACCGACCGTCTACAAGAAGAGCATCGTTCTATTCCGCTCACTGTTCACCTACTCCAAGTTCCTACCGGCCTGGAAGTTCACCAAACGCAACGGAAAGGTGCGAGCGAATCCCGCCCTTCGCATCCGATACCGAATCTTGAATGGGAGCGCCCCCCCGGCGCCCTCCCACCTCGATACCTTGACAGTGCCCCTGCACGAGACAAGCGGCAAGGTGGTCGAGACCTATAGCTTCGGCGTCACCGACTCGCCTGCCGGTCCGTTCTCTGTTGAGGTCACCTACCGTACCAGTTGTGACTTCCGTGTTGATGATTCGGAAGCCCTGCTGAGTTCGCGCTTCATGGGCGCCGATGACGAGATCTTCCGCCCCTCCCTCCCTGCCGCTCACACAGACATCAGACCGCCACCACCTAACACAGAATCTGGATCACTCCCGATCGAGAAGAAAACCGTCGAGAATCCAGATCGCGCTCAGGCCTATGGGAGCTTATCAACCTTTCACCAGGTCGGCCCGACTACAGGAGCGAGCCCCATCTCTGCCCTACGAGCAGCTCGGGACTCGAGAGCCTCCTCCCCCTCTCCGTCTGGTTCGCCGTCTCGACGACTGCTGCCGGCCGCCAAAGTTGGACCCGCTGGCCGGGCCGCTGTGTTGGCGGGAGAGGGTAACCTCGCCATTGGTCGTCGTCCCTCAATCTCTTTCCAACCCTTCAAGGCTCCTCCGCTCTCTGCATCCCCGTCACTGGTAGATCCCCCACCGCTAGGTGTGTCGCCACGTACCGGATCGGTCCGTACACCCATCAGTACCTCATCAGACTCGCGAACCGTCAACATGGCCGCCTCCGCCCGTAGGCCGCTCTCCATGGTTGACGCCATCCCATCCTCCAATTCGGCATCCCCCAAGCCGGCCCCTATCTCGCGGTACAGCAGCTCGTTCAGCCATCGCCGGGGGCGTCCATCCTCGGGAAATGTGAACCGGATCGAGGACGACAATTCCAGCGGCAAGGCCAGTGCTTCCTCTAGCGCCCACCCAGGATCGGGTCTGCTGGCCGCCGACCCGACGGGAACCAGCGCCGAGTCCATCCATGCGGACGATGAAAATATCTCCGACTTTCTCAAGATGTTGGATCTGCGCAAGGACCTATTGAATCCCACCACATCCACGGCCCTCGATGCCACGGCCCGCCGAACGACCGCGGCGCTAACGCGGTTCCAGCGCATGCGGGACTCCAATGCCGCCCTCTCAGACTCCATGTCATCGTCTATGCACCTCCGTTCTTCTACCACCTCCAGCAAACAGCTCTCCGGCGTTCCTCCCATGGTCGCCGGTACCTCAGTCTCCACGGCCTCTTCCCCCGGCAAGCCCATCTCCCCTCATACCCCTCACACCCCTGCGATCCCTTCTCGATTGAGTTCCAACAGCATCGTCGAGTACGATCGCGACCCCCGTGGTAATCGACTGGTCCACGATGAGCAGGATTCGTCGCTGGAAGGGAACCCCAGTGACGAGACCACGGGCGAACGCAACTCCTCCGCCGCCAATGCCATTGATATCCCTACCTCGCCCCGTCCATTTGCACCCCCTTACCGTCGGTCCAGCTCCGTCGCGCAACGACGCTGCACAGCGACCGCCGATGAGGACGATATCTTCCCGTTCGGTATGCGCAGCGTCAGTCTCGGCGCGGGAGAACGTTCCCACCTGAGCCTGAGCGCCTTGCTCCGCCAGCAGGAATACGATAACGCCACTGCCCCGACGGAGGAGCCTCCGCCGCGAGAGTCGCATTCACCCTTGACCGTCGCCCGGCCATCGTACCGGGAGGAGTCCAGATCCTCGCAGCGCGGGGGCAATGGCGGCAGCACCCTTCCCGGCCCGACGGCAGCCTCATCCTCGTCCAATCCTTCTGGTTACCAGCCGCGATTCGCCTCCTTTCGTGGTCGGGGATCCTCTGGCGGACCGCACTCTCTCAGCTCTGCCTCGAGTAGTCTGGCGCGTGGACACGCCCTCCCGCCTCATCTAGCGGACCGGGAGTCCCACGACCGGGACGGCAGCGGAAGCAACAGCGGCAACAATTCTTCCACCATGGAAGCTCGCCGCGGCTCTGGCCAGCGGGCCGGGTCTGGGCGAATCTACGCCGCCTCAACGAATGCCTTTGACGAGGAGGAGCCCCTGCTCTTCGCCATGAGCGATTTTGGGGTCTCCCGGCGGAGCTTGGAAGAGAACCGTCACAGCAGCGCCGAGACAACCACCACCACCACCACCACAGGCTCAAACAACCAGGCCACTTCCCGCCGGGGGAGTGGCCGGCGCAGCACGGGTCTACCTAACTTCCACGCATGGCCTTGATCCCTTCTTATCCGTCTGTCTGTTGTCTGTGCCTTGCATTTCGGTGTTTGCTTTCTTTACTTTCTTCAAGGTGATATTCATTCCCCTCACGCTTTCTCTTTCTTCGCATTGTTTTATATTGACTTTTGTTTGTTTGTTTTTTCTTTCTTTCTTTTCTTTTCTTCTTCTTGGGAGGCCTGCGTCGTATAGACTGATGTCACTGTACCCTGCGATTATGATTCATCATCAGCCTGGGCATAGAGATGCACTGATTTTTTCTTTTTTTTTCTTTTAATTTTCTTCTCTTTCTCTTCTTCAAGATGCTTTCTGGACAGGATTCCCACCATCTGCACATGAGTTTGATATGACTTTATCTATTCGTCTTTTTTGATTTGGCTACTTTTTGTTGATTTTTCTTGTCTTTGATAACTCGTTCGAATACTGTTGGGACTCTGGTTCTGGGAATGGCGAAATGGTTAGGGTATCATCTTGGCAGATAATGAATATAAATTGCCACTTGGTTAGTAGTGACAGGAGTAGTTAAAGAGTTGTGAGAGTGAACAGATAGATGTAATTTAGGTATACTTTTTTCCAAGACGCCAGTAAATGCAAACAGACTATACACACTCCTACATGCGTCGAAAGGTATTCCCCGAGGCACTTCTCCGCTCCTTGGCTCTGAAGCCAGCACCGGCGGTGCTTGTCGGCCTCTCTGACTCAAACCGACCAGCGCCAAATCGACTCTTACCCTTACCCCTCCCAGCGGGGGTGAAGGTGACTTCCTTCTCGCCGACGCCGCCGTTGGAAACGCCCCGACGAGCGGGCCTCTCTCTGCTGCGCATGTTCTGTGCGCGGGATCCGAACGAGTGGTCACGGGCCGAGCCTGAGTGTGCGGACGATGACGAGACTTGCATGCGTGGCTGGTGGCCGGAGCGTTTGTAAGTGCTTGAAGAGATTTTGCCGGCGGAAGAAGACGTAGCCTTGGGCTTCGGGGGCCGGTAGCCGTTTCTATCGTTGTTGTTGTTTTTGTCGTCGTCGTCAGAGTCGCTGTTGCTATCGTCCGAGTCCGAGCTGGATCCCTTGCCTTGGTCCATTTCTTCTTGCTCGACGGCTGTGAGGCCTCGCTCTTTCCTCTCGGACCGGTCGGGGACCGTCGTGCTAGGGTTGAGCAGCTGGAACTCATGCGAGGTCTCGTCCACGGCGAATTCCTCGTCCTCGAACAGTTGCGCGAAACGGGTATCGCGTAGAAGACCTTTGCTATCGGTAGCTGGGGCGTCTGCCATGGTCGCGTCATTGTTGCTGTTGCTGTTGTTGTTGTTGTTGTCATTGTCGTCGTCGCCGCCTCGTTCGAGAACCCGCTTAGCCCTCCGGCGTTCGTTCTTCTCCTCCACCTCCAGAAGTTTCTCGGCCAGTCTCTTGTTGACCTTGACGGCCGCCTTCTTCTTGCCGCGGATGCGACTCTCGCGCTCCTTGTCGATCTTGTCCTTGACACGTTTGGCACGCTCCTCCTCCCAGATGTACGGGTTGGTGATGAGCCGTGCCTCCTCGTACAGGCGCTGCGCCACAAAGTATCCGTGCATGTACGGGCGCAGCAGGTTGGTCCGGCCGATCAGGTGCTCCAGGTTCAGCGTCCGCAGCTGGGGGATCGTCAAGAACTTGTAGTTGTCGTAGACCGAGCCAGCCTGGCTACTAGTGAACGCGCTTGGATCGTTGGGATCCTCGGCCATCTCTTCCACCAGGTTGTCCAGGAATGAACACCATTTGGGCGCTGGTCCCAGCTGGGGGATGAAGAAGGAGTGTTGCTGGCGGCCCTCGTTGGCGGTCAGCAGCATACCGCTGTCCTTACACCACGCAACTGAGTTGATGTCCACCGCCGGCTCCACAGACGTCCACGGCGTGCCATCACGCGGGTCCCAGATCTTAATAATCCGCTTATCCGAGGACATGATCTTCGGATCCATAGTCTGCTCACGAGATGAGGTGGATGGCTGGAGGAACTTGAGCGTGTGGATGGGGAACCCGTAGCCCTGGTCCTTCTTGAGTAGTGGCATGGGAGACCGGAGATCGTAGAGATGGATCAGCCCGTTCGAAGACCCGGTACCAAGGGTGAGACCAGAACGATGGAATTCCAACGCCGTGATGCCCGACCGGCTATCGCTCGGCGTCGCCTGTGTCGGCGGGAGCAGGATGCCCGCCCGGCCTTTCGCTCTGGGATCCCACAACTCGACCGTTCCGATCGATGTGCCAAACGCAAGGAGATTATGACTCTCTTCCGCAATCGCACCGGTATTCACCGCTCCCGTGTTGATTCCTCCCTGCAACGCACCCGCACCCGCCGAGGTCAAGTCGTCTCCGCCCACATCCACCTCAAAACTCCGCATGTAGCGGCCCATCTCCAAGTTGAGCCGGAACACCTCACCCATCCCATCTTGGTTGACACCCACGGCCGGAATCAACGCCTCCGTGGACTGCCGGTCATAGACCAGGTCTCGTCCGTATCGCGGGAGCCTCGTAGTATAATGACACCCTGACGGCGTGTGAAACTCTAGAGACCGGTCGGACTGCAGATGGAGCGATTTCGAGTAGTCCGACGACAGAAGGATAAACGTTGTGTTCAAAGCCACCGTATGCCGTGCCCACGAGAGCGACAGCTGCGGCAGGTAATGCGTATGAATCTGCGGTTTGTATGTTCCTGCCAAAAAAAAAAAAAAAAAAAAAAAAAAAAGTCATCGTCAGCCGTTCTGTTCCTCTGCCTTGCTTCTTTCCCACCTGCTCATCTCTCCTCGTCTCTCCTCATCTCTCCAACCATACCTGTGCTCATCACCCACTCCCCATCCTCACTGACGCGAATACACTGGCTGGCTTCTTCAAACTCAAAGTCCTGCAGCAACTCCACTCGATTGGCATACTCCGGATCGTCTTTCAGACTGCGCTTGCGCCGTTTAGCCAGCCATTCTGGAAGCGGCCGCGCGGTGTTCGACCCCGAGATCGTATACACGGGCACCTCTGACTGGTTTGACAGCTTCATCTCGGCTGTGATGCGCTCTGTTGGCCGCCTGGTTTCGACGGGAAAAAAAGTTTCGAAATTCGCGATAAGATGCTGCTCACGTGACGGTCCCCTGCGGAGGCGGCGGGTGGCCCGAGCGTTTCCCGACCTCCGACAGCAACGATTGACGACTGCTGCTGCTGGACGTCCCAGGGAGATGCCCAGCGCCTGCCGTTGCCTGTCTCTGGACGTCTAAGTGTGTTTTGGCGCCTCTTTTCGTGTTGCTTGCGCGCCAGGGATTCTTGGTTGCGCACAGAAATACCGCCTCTCCGCGACGTCTGGGGCGATGGCCTCGGGAGGTTTGTTGACGTGCTGCTCGCTGACTGCCAGCACGCTGCCCTAAACTGCGGAGGAACCCCCCCTTTCGCTTTCGTTATTTATATATTGGGGTGTGCCAGAAATGAATTCGAGCCTGGATCCGGAGGCGTTCTTTGCTATCTACCACAGAGCAGACCGAGCGCGTGTGTCGAGGACTCAGGCGAAAGATGGACTTTCCTGGCGGTGCAACCACGAACATACGTGTTATTGTAGGTCCATCGAGCGCCCCGGTTGGTAGAGAGCGTTTGTGGAGGTTATGCTGACCAACACTTCTTGCAGGATGGATTTTCTACAATTTACTGGAGAATATATACGGAAGAGCTGACGATAGCAAGCCACGCGCCAGAGGTGCCGGCGAACGGATTGACCATCCTGAAGCATCTCAGTCGGTTAAAGGATCTTGAGCTTCGACTACGGAATTTAGATTGCCTTGTGGCATGCCTTCCTCGCCGATTGGGCCTCTGGGTGTTTTCCGCGACCCCGGATTTTGAAAGCTTGAGCTCTCTATATCTTGCTGGCAACCAGGATGGATCGAACAGACTCCATGTGGATTCGTCCACCCTGAGAGGTAGGAGATCTGCCCATCCATGCTCTTTCCAACTGTCTGTTTATTGATTTTTGAGTAATCAGTTTCGGCCTCCGGAAACGCAACGTCTCACGACCTGATGAGGAATTTGTCTGCAGAACCTCAACCCCCTAGTACGAATAATGGAGCTCCGCAAAAGCCTCAAGCCGCGCAAGCTCCGGCTAGACGGATAGACAGCTATAGTGGCTCTGCTGCGATTTATGCTACCTTTGTTTCAGCGGTGACAGGCGCCATCAGCCTGCAACTAGTTCGACGCCATGGTGCGATTCCCCTGGGCTCTCGAACGCTGTTCACCGCGGTAGAGCAGAACGGCTACGAGAGCCCGCAGATCGCAAATGATGATCCTGCCTCGGTTCCTTCACTTACAACCCTCCAAATCCAACTGACCCCTATCGGCAAGGTTATTGTCTCGTTCCAGTCGGTAGGGCAGATGGGTATCACGCGCCTTCTCAACGTGGACTCGAAGGCTACAGACCTCCTAAATGCACCCATAGGTCTGGATCTGTGGCTATCTCCAAACGGTACCGTGGCTCGACTGACTGCTGTCGGAGTCGATAGGGCTAATATTCCTTCTCCTACTCTCTCAAGCATGCAGGGTGCGGGGAAGGACAGCTCCTTCATCACACCGATGGCCAAACGCAACTTGTGGAAATCAAACGTGCTGGGATGGCTTGGGAATTTCGGCCTTGCCCTCGGTTCTCTTGAAGAGGAATTATGGGTGGAGGTGGAAGTCTTCGATTCCTTCTACGCTCGATTGGCTGGCGAGTCTACGTCTGCTCTCCCGTTGAAACGTTTTCTTTGGCCTGCTAGGTATTGCTTTAGAAGAACAGCTTCCGATTTATCCCCATCATCTTACGGAGCATCCGATGGTTTCTCGCTCCTTGATGACCCACTGGATTTTGCTCAGCGGTGGTTCTCATCGGTGCCCAACTCCATACAGGAAGTCATCGCGTCGGACCCTTCCATCCATTCCGAAGAACATTCCCAATCAAAAAATCAGGCTTTGACATCACCAAAGGCGGAATTGTCTGATGGAGTGGAAAGCCTCTCCCGTACAGCAGAATACCCCGATCTATCCACGGCAACTCTTGTCTATCCCACGCCACCAGATGGTGCCCTTTCTGTAGGGGTAAATGTGCCTCACGGACCGGAAACCCTTCATGAAGAACCTACCCTCAATCCACCACACTTGTTAAATCGGCCCCAAGGCCTGGGCGACCCTCATGGTTATCCAGATGACAGTGCTATTCAAGGTTTAAATCCGTCTTCGAACCTTGCAATAGGCTCAGGTCTGTATGACGGCGACGACGACGAAGACTTGTTCGGGGAAATGAACGACAAGAACTTTGGATCCAAAGGAATCAGTGATGCTGATTTCAGCTTCTTCGACAACCCAGGTTTCGATGACATGGGGGAGGATGTCACTCAGTCTGAAGACATGTTGGAACCCCCCAAAGCCGATTTTGAACTGGAAGACGCCATGCCAGATCCCCCCTCAGAAGTTGATTCAATCCATGAAATGGAGGTGCAGAGCTCACCTGCTTGTCCTACTCCTACAGCGCAACCGGAGCCCCTGGAAGAAGCTAGCGAACCAAGTCCTGAGGAGGATCGGCAACACCATGACGAGACAAGACAGACAATTAGCCCCCCGTTAAGTCCTGTTGAGGTCAAGAAAATTCTTTTTGCGGGAGAGGAGCAAATCGGCAATCATTCGACGGGGCGTAAACAGAGCCATTACGATCCGGTGTTGTTCAGACAGAATCTCCAAGATTGGAATGAGAAATATGGTGTCGAAGGAAAATTCATGTCAGCAGTTGGTACTGCTTTCCCTTCTGAAGCAGCCCATACGACCAAAGATATTCCCACAATTGGCCTTCCACCAAGAAGCAAATCCCTCGCCTCCACCAAAGATTCTTTAAAGATACAAGGCCCCTCTCCAACCATTGCTAGGCCTCCTGTGCGTTCCGATTCTGTTTCCAGTGCCGGAACGAGTGATAGCAGCGAGGAGGTGCCCTCGGAGGCCGAAATTTCCCCTGTTACTCTTGCCACTTTGAAGAGAAAGCGTGCACACTCCGATTCCGGCGAATCAGCAGCCTCTTCGTTTGGGAAATCCTCCGTCATGCCTGACCAAGATCCAGCGATGCAGAAGGCCGGCGATTCTATATTTCTGGGCAATTTTCTGTCATTATTATTGGACTGGTCATTGATGGGCTACTTTTCTGTTTCTAACAGTCAAATATCTCCTGCGTTGCTACGCAAAGAAGATCAGATCCACGTCGCACAAATATTGGTTGATCAAATAACTCAATCCTCATTAAACCATGCCCTTGATGGGCGCATTAGTTTGTCTGATCTCGAGAATGACTCGTTTTCCCTTCGCACCGTCTTCGAGGAGCCAATTTTTGGTGGCGAGATTGAAAGACTCGATTTGAAGAGCTATGTTTCGTTGCAGGAAAGCAGCACAGCTCCGAACACGACAACTGACCCGAATACAGCTCGCCAGAGCACACCAAACATCCAACGAAAGGAGCCAGGGAAAGTGGCTATATCTAAACTGCCACTACCTCATTTGCGCCTCCGTCGTGGCCAAGATTTTATGGAAATTCTGCCACCTGGGGTTGCTTTCTGGGAAACATTTGGATTAGAGCCTGCCTATGGCCCTAAGGATGTCTCCGCATATTGTATCCATCCTCACATTGCACCGGAGGCAGCAGATGCTTTCTTGGAACGTTTAGGGTTGCTTTATTCAAGATGTGGTCTGGGAAAACACGTCCGAGGCGACAGATGCAAGAAATTCGAGCAGGGTCTTGGATCATGGAATGTCAATATGTCTGGTGACTCGGATTATTCATCCGTAATGCATTTGTTAATGGCGTTATGTGAAGAGCTAGGTATGTTGTCTCCTACATTTAACAAGTCTGGACTGCGAATTGACATTTGGCTACCAGGAACTGCTTTCTTACAAAGTCCACAGACCAAGGAAAATCTGGTAATTTATATAATCAACCCCTTCAGCCATGCTGTCGCCTTGACCGACATCTGTTGGGCCTTTTGGCACCTTCTTCAGAAGTACGTCTCCGAGGCAAGTCGCCAAAATATACGCCAACTTGACGAGATCATGCTCCAAGTTATTCCCATGGATTTCATTGCATCGTCCGAGTCACTCGTCGTACCTACCCAGTCAGAGTATCTTAGCCTGGCACTAGAAGTGTACAGCCGGTGCCCGCTCAAGGACTCGCGCTTGAGTCTAGTCAATGCTACACCCCCTATACTCCTTGCTGAAAATTCCCCGAAAACCATCAATTTTAGGCTCGCCGCAGAGGCGACATCGCCCTTGCAAGAAGCGAAGAGCCTGCATCTAGCCTATTCGAGGAGCTTGGACCGGCGATGGATCACCGTAGCGTGGTCCGACAGTACGGGTTCTTTCCAGAGGACCATGTCATACTGTCTACGCTTTCGTGGATCGACTGCTGCAAGATCTCTTTCGGAGGTACGTGGTGAGATTTGGGGGGCAACCAAGACTATCATGGAGAAAACCCAGGCACGTTGGCGACTGTTGATTGCCAATACAGACCCTGTGGAGCAGGAGGAAATCGATGGTGAGCTGTCTTCTTTTTTTTTATGTCTACTTGTGCTTACTAATGAATGATATTCTAGTGTGGGTTAATCTGATTGATCAATACAACCAACATCGATCATTGCCTTTGGAGCTGGTTATCTTGAATGTCAATCCTGTCCCGGACCTCCATCTTGAACCACCTTCTCTTCCCTTATATACGAACATTCTACACCCGCACACATCATCCACTCCTGTTACCACACCCCTTCCCTTACCCAACGCTCTTTCGCCGGATCCTCTGGGGAATGCTGCTACCACACCAACAAATAGTGGCAATAACCCTGTAAACGCCGCGACGCCCACAGATGGTCTTCCTGAACCGGAGTCCGAGTCTTTGCTCACAGACATCTGTGATGAATCCTGGGCGCTCATCCTGTCACATCGCCTTAACTACTCGCCGCATTTGACTGAATACCGGCCTGCGTTAGCTAGCGGACATCTCCTTCGTCGAAAGGGCCCTGCTGACAACGAGGGCGTGTTTGCTGCAAACGTGAATCTGGTCTACACGCAGCGGCCCTATACATCATATGACTTGCTTCTTCGAGAGATCATTGGCATGTATCGTGATCTTACCACTCTTGCCAGGGCTCGTGGCACCCGAAGTGCGCAACGAAGCACCCTGCCATGGCATGTTGCGACCGCAGTCCGCGCCCAAGAGCTGCTGAGCTACGTCTTGTAAACAACTCATGACCCTTTTTTTTGATGTTCCCCTTTTGCTTATTGTCTGGTGTCCTTTTTTCAAGATATACATGTGGCGTTCACGGCAAGATACGTTCCATAGCTGCCTAAGCCATGGCTTTATGAAGTGTACTATATTATATTTAGTCGTCATCATTGGCGGGGATTTTCAGAGCTAGATCATATATACCACCAGCAAGGAGGGTATCTCTTTTTATCTATTAGGGCGCAAGGCTGTGTGATTCTGATAAACTGATACTGGTTAGTTCAGCTGCATAGGCCTTGGTTGTTCTGGCATAGCTTTTGCGACCTCGGGAATATATATATAAGAGAAATCGTCTCGACGGTACCAGTGGCACTGGTCCATTTCTATGAATATTAATACTGGATCCATACAAGAAGGTAAAAATATCATCCAATCTAATCGTTCTATAACATAGCCTAGTAGTAAACAAGGGCCAAATTTTTTCTCCAACACTGTGGATGGATATATTGTGTCTATAAGTAGTCAATTCTAGGTCTAGGCTTACTGGAATGTCAATCAATACTCGTCTCTGAATACCATGACTCTCTCTATCTCCTCGCCATTCTCATCCTCCTCTTTCCAGGCGCGCCACATACCCCCGCAGTTGAAGTCGAAGACGACCTTCCCACGGCGGCATCGAGGACCCGCGCCGGCAGTAGAGGAGTGGGCAATGTCTTGCTCGGCCTCGGCCTCGATGCCGATGATCCCGCCCATGCCTTCGCCTGTCTTGCCCCATCGTCTCCCTGCAGACCGTTGCAGTTCACCTCCCGGCCCTGCAACGGCTGTGACGGCCTCGGCTAGCGACATGGGGGAAGACGAGGGCGCCGAAAAGCGCAGCATGGCTGCTGCGGAGCGGACGGCGGCGGTGCGTAGGAACGAGTCACCATTGCCGGTGCCGGACATGGCGATGGCCTTTCTTCTGGTGCGCACCGCCGGCTGTTTCTCGGCTGAATATGAAGATGAAGGGGGAACTGGTCGGGCTGTATAGTATGCGGGTGGTGGTGCATCTCGTAGGAAAGAAGGCAGACAGTCTCCAAATAAGGATTGAGCTTCAGCTAGATACCACCGAGAAGCAGCAGCAGCAGTCGTAGTAGGACTAGCTTCACGGGATCTATTCCCGAAGTCGCACGGTCTGTACGCCATGCCAGCTTCAGTGGCAACCTGGTAATCAGAATCGAAAGCTTCAGCCCAGAACCCTGCGCCGAGAGTCGGCGTATCCCCAATCCTGCCGGGAGTCTTATTTGTCAAGCCGCCCGTCGACGTCGCAACAGCCAACCCACCCCATTGATCGAGACAAACGCACCCGACCGTCCCCTGGCTCATGGTGATGGCCTCCTTTTCTCCACGCAATCCCCGCAGATGCTCGTCCCACCGCCGCTGCGTCCAGAACCACTCGTCCGGCATGAACTCGAGCCCCCAGTCGCGCGCCAGCTCCTCGACAAAAGGCCCTACGGTCTGGGAATGCATATTCCCCCCGTCGGAATTGGGTATCCCGTCCACATCGTACCCGGTGCGCAGGAGCGATTCCCTCGCCAGCTGGATTGGATGCCGGACATTCTTCACCCCCATCACGCCAGCGCCCCGTTTGATACCCCCCGGTTGCTCCTCTTGGATGTGTTCGGGGTGCACGCTCGTCACCATCACAGAGGCCTCCATCTCGATCGTCCCCGCGGTAGTGAACACGCTCCCCCGCCCGCAGTTGAACAGCTCGTCGTCTTCCATGAGAGACACAGCATGTACCGCTGCATCGAGGGCGGTAGCGCCCTGTTTCAACAGCTCGTCTGTTGATCGGAGATAGGATAGGAGCGAGGCATGGTACGCTGCATATAGAGACGGGGGCAGCGTGGAGCGGTGGATCCCTCCTGCGCCGCCGTGCAGGATCAAGGCCGGTTTAAAGGTGGGGGACGGCATTGCTGGTCTAAAAACAGTGATAAATATGGAATCGGTTAGTATAATTAATCGAGTACCTGGGTAGTTATTTTGAGACGTTGAAGGCGAAGTGGTCGGTGTTGTTCTGATGCGGAGTAATCTTATCTTGACCTGGGCATTAGTAAGGCTCCTCCTATCTACCACCTACCACAAGGCAGCACTGCAAGATTATAATCTAGTTTATCACATTAACCTGATATTCCATTAATGTACAAGTTCATCCCACAGGAGGTCTGCAGGGTTAGAGAAGAGCCATGATATGCAAAAAGAAGAGAAGAACACAAAAGAGGAAAGAAAATAAAAAAGGCCATGGCTGCCGGCAAATACAGTGCTCCAGGACTTTTTCGAGAGCAGGAACTGGAACTGAAGAAACAAGGAACTCTATGCCATGTCTTCGATGATGAATGGACCGGACCCAACACCTGAGAAGAGATATTCGAGATGATATATGAAGCGATGCAAGGCTGACGGACGAGAAGTGAAGTGGAGGGTTGCGTTTTTTTTCTCTTTCTTTCTGTTTTTACATAACTGCTTTGCCCTCTGACGGGGGAGGCGGGGGAAGCTATACACAATTAGTATGTTATATATATATATATATATATATATGGAAAAGGATACTCACCTCTAATTTCGTGTTGTCGGCCATCATCCGCTGGAACCCAATACCGACACCCTCGATGACACCCAGGAAGACAGCACACATGATAGCCGAGTTCCGGGCAGCCTTGTAACCGCCACGAATAGCCAGAGCACCACCCGTGAAGAAACCGGCAATGACTAAAATCGTTAGAACTTGAATATGAAGGGCTTATCTCCCTCCGAAGACATGGCTGGTTTGTCCCCTGGAGCGGGCGTTGACGTACTAGCATTGTATGGGTCCTCCTTCTTCCGGATCCCCTTGATCGCACAGTCGAACGTCGAGAACATACCACCCCAAACACCGAAGTTACCGCCCAGCACCGGTGCGCGGGCCTTGATCGCTGTGAGGGCGCCTATCCGTCGCTCGCCGTAGGGGCTGTTTCTGAATCCCTTGACACCGTGCCAGACTGCACCACCGATGGCCTAAAGAGTTGGCGAATTAGCAAGAAAGGTAAAAGATGAAAGGTAGAGATGGATGCTTGAAAAGGAAGACGGATGGATTGAAGGGATTAGGATGGATTGTTTGGACGTACACCCATGCAGAAAGCGCCTCCAAAGTCGCTGAGCGCAACCCAGGGACAGGGATCTCTGGAGTGATCCATTTTATCGAGCTGTAGAATAGATGAAAAAGTAGAGATAAAGCCAAGCTATGCTCGACTTCTCCTGTTGGGATTCGTCGAAGTGACTGTTGGAGGGAGCGAGTAGACGCGGTCGAGAAAAACCTGACTGTCGGTTGTTCTCCTTTCTCTAGACAAGGCGAGAGGAGAGATTAGAGAAGCAGAAGCGACGATGGATGAGAGGCAGAGGTAGGTTAGATGACGGTGAAAGACTCGACTGTTTGGATCGCAGAGAACCAACCCGGGCAATCCTCACTTTTAAGTGACCAAGTCTTTTTGGCTTTTTCGCGGCCGCCCAGAAAACGTGACATCGGAGCAGGACGGGGAGTCACGTGCAGATAACCAAATGCGGCAAGGGCTGGTGGCCTTAGGCTGAAACCCTCCGCAAACCCGCATCGCCACCGCAGAGTTTTGCAGGGAAAGTTCGGGGACAGGGATCAAATTTTTTTTTCCTGCTTTCTATTTGATCTAATTTTCTTTTTCTGATCGGCCGATATTCGGTTCTTACCGGACACTACGGCTTGGTTATGATGCTACTCCAAACCCTACGGAGTATGACTGCCGCTATCGCACACCAGAAGGTTACTATTCAAGGAGGTAGATTCCAGATGAAGTTCAGCGACCCCCCCTCATATGCGGAGAACTGCCCCCCACTGCTAATTCCAAAGGGAGCCATGGATGGGTCGAACGGGAGGGACAGCCAGTCATCAGCCTCCATGTCGTTTAGCGGGAGGAAGCCTATTTCGCCTATGTTTGGATTCGAGAGCTCGTGTTCTGAGAGGGGCGTATGACTACTACCAAAGTTGCTGTTCACATTGCTCTCCTCTCTCAGCATCGGCGGTCCCATTGAGGACGGCCGGGTGGGAATGCGGCTGTTTCTAGTATTCGTCGAGGATGTAGTGGCGAGCAGACCGCGACGGAAACGCGAGACGTGCGTTTCGAGCAAGCCGGCAAAGCGCGAGCTCAAATGGACGTCATCGATGGTGTTTGCACGCAGGGCATGGATGGTCTGGTCGAGCAGATCGAGCGATTCGCGTAGTTTCGCTTGCCGTGTGCCCAGGCTCAGCGCTTTCATCAGGAAGATCGAGGCGCTGGTGGCGCGCAGGTAGATGCGCACGGGACAGAAGCGCAGCGCGCCAGACTGCCCCAACTGGAAGACTTGATGAAGGATCTGGCCGCACCCGTCGATAACTTCTTGGATGTATTCGTAGTCGATCGGGTCAATGTTGAGCGGGCCCATGTCGTCCATACTCGCGCTCTTCTCCGTGTCGACGTCAGTGAGCATCCGCTCCACCACGGCCTGCATCCCGACGGAGTGCGTATACAACCGGACAAAATGGTACTCGATGAAAAGGTCATTGTAGAATGCTTTCCCCTGGACTGGTTTGCTGGTTAGATGGGAAACCGTAAAAGGGGGGACAACATACGTTGTGGCTGGAGATGTTTCTCCTTCCACTGTTGTAGAAGCGAACGGAAATGATCAAGGATCCCTACGTAGCGCCCGCTCTGGAGCTGCTGCCGGGCAAAGGCAGCTGAAGGAAAGAACATGTCCGTGACAGATTTGGCGAGTTTAGTCAGATCCATCCACGAGTCCATGAACTTCAGCCATTCATGTCCGAGCTGACACTGTCGGCGCGTCTGTCCACCGAGAATGGCGTGGCTGAGGCTCTGCGGCATGGGAGATATGCATCCGATTTTCCAGGCCAGCTGGTTGATGTAGACGTACAGCAGCCGCTGTACTCGCTGTCTCCGCAGTCTGATCTGATCGCTCGGATAGCCTTCGTACCCTTCCGCGCAGCATCGGTCATTCTCTTCAGTCTCATATACACCTAGTTCGTTGGCGAGAGATAAGGCAGACCCCAGCAGCATCCAGGACATCTGGTCTGATCGTTTTGCCGGTTCGACGATATCCTCTACCCACCGATCTGCCGAAATATCTGTACTCAGTTCGTGCGAGGCAAGGTTCGTCTCCGGATCCCATGCATCTCGTTCCGGAAAATGCAGGGACCGAGGGTGCCATTCAGACATAAGCAGCAGGGCTTCGATAGAACCGATGGACCGAATAGTGAATTTCGAGGACTTTCCCTGGCCGAAAGTAAGCCTCATGACGAGGTGTTGGCAATGCTGCCACAGCCGATGGTGGATGAAGAAGTTTCTTGACTGGCCTCCCGCACTGGGTAACACATGGTATCGCGAGGAGATCATCAAGACGGTACAGCAGAGGAGCTGGTCACAGGTCACCAGCCAACGGTGGTTACTGTGGTCTGCATAGAAGTCGGTCAAAATAGGCGAAAGAGGATTCATATTTGAGAAGAATCTAAGTCAGTCAGTGTCAGTAAGACCTCATTATGAAGACACGCATTTAAAAAAAAAAAAGAAAAGAAAAGAACGTACATACAAATCTATTAATGTCACAGCCTCCCTAGCCGTAAGCCACCCCATCCTGATAAACTGACACGCCTCCCAGGTCTTGAGGACATCTCTGCGCGCATCCGCGGTATCTGGTCGGCGCACGACCCCGGTTGAACTACCGTAAGATGCCAATGGACTGTCGGAAACAGGACCGAGCAAAGACGCCTGCGCATCTGGCGTCTGGTCGCCGAGTCGGTCTGGCTCTGAATCCTGTTCGTGTGCCGTTGCCGCCTCGAAGAGGATATTCAACGCATCGTTTCCGCTCGAGACGACGGTACGCATCATGGAGCTCGCCAGGGAGGCACTCTGCTGCCGAGGACGGTCATGGTGGATAGGCTCGTAGACAGTATCTCCATCAACAGTATCTGTCGTCGAGTGTCTTCGATTTGGATCTGAAATCTGTTCTGCACGGTGTTAGGAACAGGAAGATGCGCAGGGTGAATCAAATCAGACGAGACGAACCCGTCCTTTTCCTCTCCCACGCCCTCCTCTCACTGAAGACACACCTCCGCTGCTCCCTCCGACAACGCGCACAGGGCGGCCCCAGGGCAAGTCCATCCGGCCCTGTGCTCAGCTCGCACTTGGCCTTGCGCTGTCGACAGGAGAGACACGCCTTGTAGGCGCGCTGGTACTCGCGCGATCCGGTTCTGCGGGGACGAGTGATGTCCATGGCATTATGAAGTATCCAATCAGAGAAGAAATTTAATAATCAGTCGCGTCTGTTTGTCGGTCGCCCGGTCTGCGTCTAGTCGAATTCATTCCAAAACAACCAGGGAGAAACAAAGTGGATGTGAGACAGCCGGTCTTTTCCGGGGAATAGCCGGTGTATGCTTAGTCATTAACATAAGACAAACATAACTGTTGTATAACTATCTGCATACTCTACTACTGCGTCATGATTACTTTGACTTTTGTTATTAAAAGTACTATCAGGCTGAAAAAGAGATACAGAAATATGCTTTATGCTTATACTTGAGACCCATAAAGCAGTGTCGGAACAATTCCGCGACTTAACAGACACAACTTTTGCTCTGTACTTTGTAGTCAAAGCTAATTAATATATGTAAACATGATAATATCCGATACCAGCCGATACTTCTATTAAATATGCTGGGTATTGGTCTAATGTTGAGTGTATACTCTTGCTAGAAGACATTTGATATACCCCTTAGCAATATACATATTAAAGGACCACCATGAAAATCACGCTCTACACCTACTTCCGCTCCTCTTGCTCTGCTCGCCTCCGAATCGCCCTCGCCCTCAAGTCTCTCCCCTACACCTCCCTCCCCGTCAACCTGTTGAAAGATGAGCAAAACTCCCCGTCTCATCTGGCGATAAACCCGTCTGGCACTGTTCCAGCCCTGGTGATCGAAAATCCTGGCCGTGACGATGCTGTCGTCATCACGCAATCCCTCGCGGCGCTGGAGTACCTGGATGAAGTCTCCCCTTCGGTGAAACTGCTTCCTGACAACGCCGAAGAACGAGCGCTCGTTCGGACACTGGTGGGAATCATCTCCTGTGACGTGCAGCCCGTGACGAATCTCCGGATTTTAAAGCGTGTTGCACCCCTAGGAATGGACAGGAGCCAGTGGTCGAAGGATTTGATCCAGGAGGGGTTCCGCGCGTACGAGACGCTCGTTTCCAAGTCCGCAGGTCTATTCAGTGTCGGCGATAGGATCACTCTCGCGGACGTGTGTTTGATTCCTGCCGTCTGGGGTGCGGAGAGGGTGGGTGTCGATCTTGACGAGTTTCCGACCGTCAAGGCGATCGCTGAACGCTTGGAGAAGGAGGATGCGGTGAAACAGGGACACTGGAGGACGCAAGAGGATACCCCCGCGGAATTCAAGATGGATATTTAGGTTACAAGTGTCTAGGTAGATGATCAATGATAACTGTATCCATTTTCATATATCTAGTACTAGCTACTGTCATTATCAGGTATTTCGGCTTCTAGACAACATGAGCAGGCAGAATCGTGCCAACACAATCCCCAAATCCCACGTAGCTACCCTCCTCGCCCGCTGTGCCACGGAGAATTGCCGTATCCCCATCTTCCAGGAAGATTCGCTGCGATCCGTCCGCCAGCGTGATCGGGTTCTTCCCTCTTGTCTGCTCGACGAGACTCCCCTCAGCACCCGACTCGGTGCCGGAAATGGTCCCGCTGCCCAGCAGATCACCAGGGTTCATATTACAGCCCGTGATGGTGTGGTGGGCCAGCATCTGCGGAAAGGAAAAGAGAAGGTTTTTCGCGTTGGAGCGAGAAACCACCGTCGAGCTTCCCTGCGCGGTCTTCAGCTCAAACTCGAGCGGGATGTCGTACGCGTTCACCGCACGTTTCTCCCGCAGATAGGGGAACAAAGACTCGCGGTCGCCCGGCTCCAACCCGGGAGCACGGAAGGGCTCCAGAGCGTCTAGTAAAACTACCCAGGGAGTGATGGTTGTGGCAAAGTTTTTGGCACAGAATGGCCCCAGCGGCACGTATTCCCACGCCTGGATATCGCGCGCCGACCAGTCATTCATCAGCACCAGACCGAAAATATGATCCTCCGCCTCGTCAATAGGCACAGGTTCGCCCATCTGGTTCGGTCGAGACACAAACGCCGCTAATTCAAGCTCGATGTCCAGTCTCTTGCTGGGAGAAAACACCGGCACCTTGGGAGTGGCGCTCGGGTTCGTCAGGATCTGCCCGTTTGGCCGCCGGATGGGCGTCCCCGAGACGACCACCGACGATGCTCGGCCATGGTATCCGACTGGCAAATGCTTATAATTGGGCTGCAGAGCATTGTCGGGTCCGCGAAGAATCACACCAAGGTTGTACGCGTGGTTCAGACCGGCGTAGAAATCCGTGTAATCGCCGATCTGAAGCGGGAGGTGGTTCGTCACCTCCGACAGAGGGAGAAGAGCCTCCTTCTGTAGCACCGCGTTGTTCTTCAGTACCTGTGGGTACGAGGTGTCGTCCCTTAAGACATTCTGCAGGTACTCGCGGACCTGACGGTGCACAGGACGGCCCAGAGCAGCAAAGGCATTTAGAGTCGGTTGTTGAAACACATCTAGATGGCGAGCAAAGTCTGTCAGCGGAGAGAAACCCCCGGAAGATGCGAACACGCTCAGGTCCAGCGCGTAGTCTCCGATGGCGATGGCTGGGACATGAGCTGTGCTTTTGGCGGTAGAGATAATGCCAAAGGGGATATTGGCGAGAGAGAAGGGAGACGACTTGGAGATCGAGAGCCAGGACATTCTGCGATAGATGATCAGAAACGATTAAAAGAATAAGATACAGACAAAAAAAGAGATTACTGGAGTTAAGAAGTCAACGAGGGGTTAATTAACAGCCAGGATAATTCTGCATACTCATAGAGACGGGGCGGAAAAAAGCCGCATCCCCGCGTATTACCGGCTATTCGAAGCTGCCGCGCGGAACCCCGCAAAAATTCCGCCTTTCCCCGCAAGGAAAGAGCGGATAGAAGCGCTTGCCTGATTGATCGCCTCAGGCTTGCAGAGAGCTTTATATGTCAGTCTCAGTCATTTGTTCTTTGCTTTCAAACAACGTTCCCATGATTTATTGCTCGACTATTCTATCAGAACCTTCTATCTTACTAGACGACTTGCTCTAAGCATGCCAGGCACGAAATTCTCTCACCCCGACTCCTATCAGTACCTTACCGGGTTCGGGTCATACCACGAGTAAGACATCTTCCACCTGACAATAAGGATTACTGCTAACTGTTCAGAACGGAAGCAATCGAAGGGGCTCTCCCTGTCGGACAAAATTCTCCCCAGAAGGCTCCGTACGGCCTGTATGCGGAAAAGCTGTCCGGAACCGCCTTCACGGCGCCACGACACGAAAACAGCCAGACATGGGTGTACCGTATCCTGCCTGCGGCAGCGCACCAGAACTTTGTGGCGGAAGATGCAAGCTCGTACCATACGCGAATGACCACCGAGGCAAGTAAATTGCACCATATCCCCAACCAGTTGCGCTGGGACCCATTTGACCTCGACGAGACGGTGGATTGGGTCCACGGACTGCATCTGGTTGCCGGGGCTGGGGACCCGACGATGAAGAGCGGGCTGGGTATCCTGCTCTACGCTGCAGGAAAAGACATGGGTTCGGAAGCGTTTTACTCGGCTGATGGCGACTTTTTGATTGTACCGCAACACGGGGTGTTGGATATCCAGACCGAGCTGGGGAAGCTCGTTGTACGCCCAAATGAGATCTGCGTGATCCCGCGTGGTGTGAGATACCGTGTTACTCTCCCCGCGGGTCCCGTCAGAGGTTATATCTGTGAGCTCTACCAGGGTCACTTTCAACTTCCCGAGCTGGGTCCCATCGGATCCAATGGTCTGGCAAACGCACGGGATTTCAAAGCCCCTGTGGCAGCCTTTGACGACGATGAAGGAATCCCATCAGAGCATACTCTCTACAGCAAGTTCAATAACAACCTCTTCTCTGCGAAACAGAATCACACGCCCTTCGATGTCGTGGCCTGGCACGGCAACTATTATCCCTACAAGTACGATCTAGGCCGTTTCAACACCGTTGGCAGCATCTCCTTTGATCACCCGGATCCCTCTATTTTCACGGTCCTCACTGGTCCATCCGATCACGTTGGGACGGCCATCGCCGACTTTGTCATCTTCCCTCCTCGCTGGCTCGTCGCCGAGGGCACCTTCCGCCCGCCCTGGTACCATCGCAACACCATGTCAGAGTTCATGGGTTTGATCACAGGGAACTATGATGCAAAGACCGGCGGCGGGTTCCAGCCGGCCGGTGCTAGTCTACACAATGTGATGAGTGCCCATGGCCCGGACTCGGATGCGTTCGAAGGCGCCAGCAACGCCGAATTGAAACCACAGAAAGTCGGCGATGGCAGTCTAGCTTTTATGTTTGAGAGGTAAGCAGTTCTTATTACGCAAATATTCTTTACAATGATCTAAAACTTATACCGATAGTTGCCTCATGGTCGGCGTGTCCGAATGGGGTCTCAAGACCTGCCAGAAGGTACAGGAGGAATACAACGAGCATAGCTGGCGGCCTCTCAAGCGCCATTTCAAAAGACCATAGTTATATGGATGTTATAGCAACAATCTAATAATAGCGTAGTTATACTTGATGAGATCTATATATTTATATTTATATGTATAGAGTACACCTAGTAATAACTTTGAATCTCCTCCTTCAAGGCCTCCTTCACAATCGCCCCGCACATCTTCGCATACGGATTCGTCTGCACAGCCAACTGCTGGGCGATCTTATTCCCATATCGGCCCCCGAAGAAGAAATCCCTGCTCGCCATCTCTTCGAGGGTATCGGCCCCTACGCTCTGGAGCTTTGCTGGACAAACCCGCCTCGTATCACTGAAGGGCATCCGTTTGGTCTTTGCAGCTTTGAGAAGTAGGTATCCCCGGTGGGTATGGGAATCTGCCAGGAGCCGTGCCTGGAGAGGAGAGAGGGGGTCGGCAGGTTTGGGTGTTGCGAGGGAAATCACCTCGCCTAGATCGGCGAACAAGCAGGAAATAACATCTGAAAGATCGGTTTCTTCTTTTCCTTCTTCTTGTCCCTCAAGTAATAGTCTATATGCTTGTGCTCTGTTCGCGTATGCCGATGGGTATTTAGGATTTTCTGCAATGAGGGCCGAGAGGGCTTGGATAGCAGACTGGATAGTAGCTGGTTCCGTTGTCCCGGTTGACGATGACTCGGGCTGTAAGGGTCGGATGATCTCAAGCTCACGAGATTGTAACTTTGCGAGTTCTGTCGGATCGAGGCCAAACGAAGGTAGCGTCGAGTTGATTTCGACCGCGGCCGAGGGGGAAGATTCGGCGTCGAAGAGGGCCTGGAGGACGGCGGCGTCGTTGGTGCTTAGGTCAGGCTGAGATACCATATTGTAGTAGTAGTATACTATGTATTAGTTATGTTTATTGATGATACTGGCATAGTTTGTCATTTGTGAGTAGAATAGTAGGTGTCATGAATGATATAACTAAGGAAGGAGTTGATATCTCGGCTGGATGCGGGTATTTGAACTATCCGATAACTAAGTATGCTCCGCTAGATACCCGCCAACACCCATTAACACCCGCCAAGCTCCCATAATACCCGGGTCTACGTTGTAAACCGTTGCCTGCCAATGGCCGTCATCATAATTACACAGATTATTTAAGGATATCGAATGCTATCAATCCTCTAGGCTCATACAACTACTACCTCTATGCAGAAATAGCTTCAAAGGTTGTCTTCAGAAGAGATAAAGATAACCCTTTCTTGAATACACTTCGGACTACCACAACCACGACTACTCCTTCCTCCCAACATGGCCCCCTCAGCCATCTCTAGCACCCCTCCGCCAACAAGCAACCTGGCGAGCTACAAGGGCTACGATCATGTGCACTGGTACGTGGGTAATGCCAAACAGGCTGCCAGCTATTATATCACCCGCATGGGGTTTGAGCGGGTGGCCTACCGCGGTCTCGAGACAGGCAGTCGCAGTGTGTGCTCGTACGTTGTGCGGAACGGGGAGGTCACTTTTATTCTGACTTCGCCGCTCCGTTCGCTGGAGCAGGTGGAGGGGAAAATCCCCGCCGAAGAGCAGGAGTTGGTGCGTGAGATCCACGCACACCTGGAGCAGCATGGAGACGCCGTCAAGGACGTGGCTTTTGAGGTCGACAACGTCGACGCCGTGTACGGCGCGGCGGTCGTCAATGGGGCGAAGGTGGTCTCGCCGCCGCGCACGTTGCAGGATGACTCTGGTTCGGTGAGGGTCGCGACTGTCCAGACGTACGGCGAGACGACGCACACCCTCATCGAGCGGACAGGATACCGCGGCGGGTTCCTGCCGGGATATCGATTCGAAACCGTGTCGGATCCGATAGCCAGTCTGCTACCCGCCATCGGGTTGAAACGTATCGATCACTGCGTGGGAAATCAGGACTGGGACGAGATGGACCGTGTGTGCGAGTATTACGAGAAGGCCCTGGGCTTCCATCGCTTCTGGTCGGTGGACGACAAGGATATCTGCACGTAAGAATCTTTTTCCCTACTGGTATGAATAAAGGAAGAGTGCTGACGGAAAAGTGAGTATTCTGCACTCAAAAGTATTGTGATGGCGTCTCCCAACGAAGTTGTCAAAATGCCCATCAACGAACCAGCCAAGGGCAAGAAACAGTCCCAGATCGAAGAATACGTCGATTTCTACAACGGGGCGGGTGTGCAGCACATCGCCCTGCTGACCGATGACATCCTGACGGCCATCAGGCACCTCAAGGCGCGCGGCGTCGAGTTCATCAAAGTGCCCGACACGTACTACGAGGACATGAAGGTCCGGCTCAAGAAGGCCGGCATGGTCTTGCACGAGGACTTTGAGGCCATCCGCAGCTTGGACATTCTCATCGACTTTGACGAGGGCGGTTACCTCTTGCAGCTGTTCACAAAGGTATCATTCCGTAGATTCCCAAACTCAAACTTGTACATACCGATGGCTAACAAAACAGCATCTCATGGACCGGCCCACTGTCTTCATTGAAATCATCCAGCGCCACAACTTCGCCGGCTTTGGCGCCGGGAACTTCAAGTCGCTCTTCGAGGCGATCGAGCGAGAACAGGAACTCCGCGGGAATCTGGTATGATTGTTGGGACGGTTGCTCGTAACGATGATATGTATAATCCAATTCCAGCGCATAGCTTCATCATAGCTTCATATGTCAGTTTCTATACATTATGATTATTGGTTCTACTTGGTTCAATGCCATAACTTCCTCTTGCGACAAAATTGTATTGCAAGTCTTGTACGTATATGGACAGTATCATTTACTTTGAACTTCCTCCCGGCGCTGTCCCTCCTCGACGCTTATATTTCCGCGGATCTAGTACGTCAGCAAAGGAAAACACCATCCCAGCTTCAATAGGTAAAAGAATATGAGCAACATACCCTTCCGGCTCATTAGAACCTTACTGCGTGTCCCTTTGCCGCCCTCCCAGAACCCACTGCCTGCCTTTCCCACTAGGACGGCATGACAGACTCCACAGTTCTCTGGGCGGTACGTTTGCTCGCGAGAGCAGAAGCCACTGCCCGTACTCGTTAGCAGCCTGGACATATATCCCTACAGAGTAGTAGATGAGACTCACCAGATCATGCGGTTGGCATGTTCGTTCGGATGGTCCGTTGCCAAATCATGGCATCTACACCAGTTAGATACGACGAAAACTAAAGGTGATGGAGGAGGAGGAAAAAAAAAAACATACTTGTCGCAAGGGAAGACTTTGGCGCAGCAGCCGAACCTGCGAGAGATTAGCGTCTTGGAGTCCGGAATATATATACCAGCGGTGATAGCAAATTAAACGAACCGGAACCAGCGATAGCTCTTCGCGTAATGGGTGCATCGGCCTCGACGGGGGAGTTCCTGGCCTGCAACGATCCCGAGAACTTCCTTGGGCTAGAAATGATTAGACCGGATACGCTTGTGCAATTGGTGTTTTTGCTCCATGCTCACCTTCTTCCGTGCAGGAGCAGTAGCACGAGACGTCGCTGCGGCTGCTCCTACGATTAGAAACTTGACTTCGGGGATCTTGAACACTGGAAGTAAAAGAATTTTCAGCTTAGATGTCTTTTTTTTCACCACCCTCCGCAAAAACCACCACTCGGCTTGAGAAAATACATACCCATTCGACGATGGCATTCGCGACAATTGGCCGTTGCGCTTTCTCCTCGAACCGCGGTAACGCCTTGTCCCGGGAAAATTGACGAGCATTCAGCACAGGTGGGAGTGAATTGACTGTTACACAAATATTGATTAATGGAACGAGGACCACCCGAACAAGCTATAGATGCTCTTACCTTGGAAGAAGGTCGACGACGGTACATCCATCGAGATCCAGATAGCCAGCTCGATTAGCGGTGGGGTGCATGAGTTCACGCCGGAATCCTAAAAGTCAATAGGTAAATATACTGCTGGCGTCAAATTTGGAAGATAAGGGAATTGCTGGGACATACCGATACTCATCGAGTTGGTACACTTTTTACAAGTTTCAACCCGCAGGGCAGAGAAGTCGTTGACACCCTTAGCCTGGTGGATATTTTTCACGTCCAGAAGCTCCTTGCAGCGCTCGCACTTGACCGTAATGTAGACATTTACCAGCTCCAGGATTTCGATGCCGTACAGCTCCAAATAAGGAAAAGAGAGCGCAACGCCGCGTCCAGTGCTGGGCTGGGGTATCTCTAAGACCGGTGCGCCACCAGACTCGGTATCGTCATCAGTGAACTCTTCGTCGGTCATTGAATCATCCGTTATTTCCTCACCGTCACTACCTGTTTCCTGGACAGACCATTCAGGCGGACGGGGAATAACATGAATGTGAGATCGGTCGTCTGATGCATCTCCTGGATCGGCAGAGACGGGCTTTTCTAAACTTTCTTCGGGGGCTTGTACCTCCGTCGGTTGTTCGAGAGTCATAGAAGGAGCTTGCACCGTGGTCTCCGTAGGCCTATTTGCAAAGTTATGCATGTTGCTGGCCAGGTAATTGATTTGTGACATCAAGTTCAACTGGATAATATTATCGCCCACCCACTCCGCAAAGCCTGCTTCGACGGAGCGGGCTGCTTCCGGATCGACCCCCTGCAGTTCAATAGAGCTGTGTTCCAGGGGATAAAGTTGAGGAACCCCGAGTCTGATAGTTTTGATCGATCGTAGAGGAACAGGAAGACGAGTCACTTTGCTAGGCTGGATGGGAATGACAAACGATCGGCCATCAGAGGCCTTTTGAAACAAGGGCTGTCTCCCGAGCCGAGCCTCAATTTGTCTCATCTCAGCGTTTCTTCTCTGCTCAGCGGCGGCTTTCTCATCAGCAGTGTACTGACGATGGTTCTTGAAAAAAGAGGCCGTAGGCGGCTGTGGGATCGGCTGTGCTCGCGCTTGAATTTGCCTCGGTGGGAGCTGGGCCTGGACCACCGGCTTTGTCTCCGGGACATCTCTGCTACTGAAATTGGCAACGAATTTGAGGGTCGGGGCTCTTTCGACGGTGGTGAGTAAACGTTCGAGATGCCTATCGAGGCTATTGATCCAACTCAAAAGGGTGCCCCGGCTATTGGTTCTTATAGATGAGTCTACGATATCATCAAATCCCCTTTCCACATTTTCCTGGAAAGATCTGTCCATCTCCGGATTCGTAACTTGGAGAGTCGGCCTCCCACTGACCGGGTACTTCAGGGGAATACGTAGCACACAGTGCAGCTTCTCCAACTCAAATGGAAAATCAGGATCCGAGGGGACCAGGCCGAAGGTGAGAGTGGTTCCAGCATCATTTTGTTCCTCTTTGGGACGAAACCGACGTCTCACTTGATTAACTTGAAATTCTCTTGGATTTTGATTCTCAACCTTTGATACCGGTCTGCTCACAGGGGCAGGTTTGGCGTTGTCGATTGATAAGTTTCTTACAGTGGATGCAATATCTGAGATAGCAGCCGCAGAGGCTTCGGCACTAGCAGTCGAGGATAGATGTTCCTGAGGCACCGAAGCGCTCACTCTAGCGGAGGCATCATGGAGATAGGGGCAGGCATCACCGGCCCTGCAGCCTGAGAGGGGATTAGCAACCCTTGCTTAGACTGTACGATATGGCCATGGATGGAAATTGGGGGCAGAGTCAGCAGGAATCAGGGTTCCTTGACAAACGCAGCGTAAGGGAAAAAAAAAAAAACCACAGCTGGTACACCTCGAAAACAAGCGTATGTGAAATACAGCCAAAGGGTCTCAAATACACCTATCGCGATAGAAGGCGTGGTGTAAAGATTGAAGGGATCTTACCTTTCTGCGTTGCGTAGAAGCGGCATCTGATGCTGGCCTTTCGGGCAGCAGGACGCTGAGGATGATCGAGGCGGCCTGCAGTTCTGGCGCCTGGAGCCTGAGCGGTTGCCAACTCATCTCTGATCGTCAGAAATTGCTGACCTATATCACAGGAAGAGAGTATGAGCGATGAGCGTGTGACTGGAAAGGGAGGGTTACGAGCCGCCTGGTCAGAATCCAGAAGTCAAGGATGTTCTGTCAGCAGCGCCTCCTGCGTCAACAAACGCGCCCCTCCCATCCACCCACCCAAATATGGGGGCATGGAAGCACCCTGTCCGTCGGACAGGAAATCATGCCGCCTGAGGGTTTGTGGAGGATGTACGGAGTAGGACGACGGTCCAAACACTGTGACAGGGCTTGGCAGGTGTGCATAATCTACACCGTCCTGGCCAGAAGCGAAAGAACGCTCAAGCCAACAGAAACAATGGAATAAAAATAATAAAAATAAATGCACGCAATCTTACCAGAGTCGGTCTGAGCGCTTGGCTCCATGCTTTCCATCCAGATCCCCGCCGTCTTCTCCACGATGCGGTGTACGGAGTACTGGTGTACAACTCTCCGTCCTTCAATGACGCCAAACGAACACTCGGTTGGAACTTTGTGGGGGAGCGTGGAGGGTCGCCTTTCTTGGCCTCGGCTTCCCTAAGACAAGTGGTCAGCAGTGGACACTGGATAGCCAGCAAGGCGGCAAGATGTTGTGCGTGAGGAATAGCCAGCCCATGGGGTAAAGGCATACCTCGTTTGGCGCTGAACCCGCGGAAAAATCCAGCAATGAAAAATGATCTAAAATAAAATAAAACAGGAGCGAGTCGAACCAATGGAATCCGAAGGCAAGAGTCGACGCAGGAATAGAGTCGGTGGAGATGATCCCAGGAATCAGGGTCGCAACGAGAGTGATGCCAACGCAGCAGCCACTTACTCCCTCCTCCGCTTCCCCCTCTCTTGTCTTGCTCCAGGCGATCTGCTGACCGGGCGGACGATCGACGGCGGCTGGGTTTGTTGAGGCCGGACGAATGCTGGCTGGACAACGCAAGAAACAACAGCCCGCCAGGCACACACTGACCTGACCGCAGGAGATCCCCGTTCTTCGGTTTTTGCTTTTCGCTTTTTTTTTTTTGTTTCTTGGTTTTTTTTCTAAACCCCTGGCAACGATTTGAGTGCCCTCTCTGGCAGATCAGAGTTGCAGCTGCGAGGGTGGATGCAGTGATTGCTGCGCCTTGAAAGCGCCACGGGATTGTTTGATGAGGCGGTCAACGGCCACGTGATTGTCGAGGGAGGTGATTCAGGTGAAGCTTCACTGCACGAGGGGAAAACTGGCAACGTACAGCTTCATCTTAGGCCCTTCTACGCATTTTGACGGTCTTTGGCTGGCCGTGAATACGACGTTGACTCATCACAGCGGATTATGACTGGCTATGACTGTTGATCGTACTGACAGTTGACTCATCCTGACCAGACACGGAGTGAGTATGAGTATTGAGTACATTCGTTGGATATAGAGCAGGTGAGTGGAATACTACAACTACAGTGAAAACAAGACTGGTTAAAAATAGACTGATTACTCAGGAAGATCTAGATTCGCACTGCCCCGGTCGACTGGCGACGGCCCTTGATCCTGTTTCAGCTTGGAGGTGACCTGACCGGCACGATTGCCACCATGGCCGGCCACCGAGTCGATAATGAAATAATGATATGATGATGAGGGATCCCATTGCGTGTCGGTGGCACTGGGCGGTCTAGATGCGACGGTTGCGGTCTGCCGGGCAGGGATAGATACCAGGGAGGCCTTGGCTTTGAACTCAATTAGATGAGCTAGTACTCCGTACCTTGTACGGGCATAGCTGTTTAGATTAGATACTCTTTATGTAGAAGATGTCCTTTATGTTGTGTAGATGTCATGATTACCCACTACACTCGCAACTATACTCCGAACAACGCTGTAGGTAGAACTACAATATCGACCAGAAGATAGTACTATTACCCGATCGTGTCGGCCCATAGGGCTATGGGATGCATAATCTCGCAGGATGGCGTCACGCGCGGTAGTTATAGAGCTATCTAGGGAGTAATATCAACCAGATGAATTTGATAGAGTATACTGAGTATAGTACCTACTAGGTACTAATACTCCGTTGGTACCTAGTACCAGTATTTCCGTATAGTGTACAGTCTGTACGTACCTACCTAGGTAGGTATAGTGTACACTACCAGGAGCACAGCCCTCCGTCCTGTCATGGACCGATTATTAACATTTACGTAGAAGTCACGAGGGCCCCCACCGCCTTGGGCACCAATGACTGTTTCACCTTGACTTCGACTCTGCCCGCGTAGTAATTTACCTTACGTTACATTACATACTTACTAGAGGTACAAGGTACCTACTACATAGTACTCCGTACTCTGTACTCCGTACCTCTTACGAGTGCCCGCGTACTACGTACCCCGTACGGAATACTAGCGTTACTACTTACCTAGGTTAGGTAGGTACCCAGGTCGTTCCACGGATCTGCACATGACTCTTTTAACACGCTCTGATTGGCCGAGCCAAGTAGCTTCTAGAAGCCTTTGCACATGGTTTGCATCCTCCACCGCACCGGGTTAACCATGGGTAAGAGGTCATCCATGCTTAGTAGCCTCAGTCATCAGAAAACGTACGTCACGTGATGCCAACAGAAACAAACTAGTATTTCTACTCCGTACCTAGAAATAGGTTTTAGTACTCGTACCTACCTAGGTACCTAGGTACTAAGGTAAGACCGTACCATGAATGGTGGCAGTTTGTATCGGACCGCGTCGGGCTGCCTACACTTACTCCCTACCATATATAACTAGTATATATGTGATATAGTACGTAGGTATTATGTAACTATAGTATGTAGGTATTATACCTACCTAGAGTATGTAGTGCAGTATGTACTCAAGTGCAGTGTGTATGTAGCATTGTAGTGTCGGCAGGTCACATGAAGAATCGGCTTGCCGAACAGGACTCCGCCACTTTCATGCGCGTTGGGTTACTTCACCGGTGAGTCTCAGGTCCACTTAGTCCTGCTCCATAGTAGTATAGTTAGGTACGGAGTAGTTACAGACAGGTACCTACCTACTAAATAGGTCTGGTATTAATACACCCCGCACCCGCACTCGGGCGGAACCGGAAGAAATCTCTTCATATTACTAAGATCTAGCAGTTCTGTAGACTTGGACTGTACTCCAGACTGTACCTAGGAGTAACTAATTGACGAGTGCTGTTCTAACATACCTAACCTAACCCATGATATGCAGCTGCAAGTCATTGCTGCCGGCGTACGCCGTGTACCACCCAAGAGATATACTGGTGTACTACTCCGTACTTACATACCTAGAGAAGGCCAGTTTGAAACTCAACCGTTACTAGGTAGTTACATAATAATCAAAGAACTAATAATCCAAGTTCATTAAAAGGACTGTGGCTGGTTCCGTCGCTGGAAGGTTACGTCAGAGCCGACCCGATCGGCAAGGCGAGCAGATCGATTTGCTTGATCTCAATTTAGAACCCCGATGACTTACTCATACAAAGTATAACACTAACTATGTTGTATGTCCCAGTAACCTCACTACCTAGGTAGTTATTAACTACTACATATGTGGTTCAGGAAACTACCAAGGCACTGTACCATCTACCACACTCTTTGCCTTATACTTATGTCTTCCCGATGGTCTAGATCCTGACCTCATCCTGACCTGTCCCCAGGATCGTCCCCCCGAGTCGCATGTGATCAAAGTGGTGACCCTGGCCCATGGGTCAAGATTCCGATGTAATACTGTATGTAGGTATAATATTCCTCCGTAATCATTTATTCATGTTGATTCTCTTGTACAAGTGGTATCAGGTAGAAAAGAGCAAGACAGGTTTCTTTGGCAATCCTCTTCTCACAAGGATATGAACCCGCCGGATATATAAATCGTAACTGTACAGGGCTACCTCCATGCAAATATATATATATATATATATATATATATATATCCTCCGGTAGTCCGTATAGAAATGAAGAGAGAGAGAGAAAGAAAAGACAAAGCAGATATCCGCGCAATGCGACGAGTGAAAAAGAAACCCCGAGAAATGATAACAAGGGCGGCCAGAGAGACAGAGAGCGAGAGAGAGAGAGAGAGAGAATAAAATAAAAAGCCAACGGCGCCATATGCAATGCTGAGAGTCATAATCATACGTGTAAGGTTTCTTTACAGAGAGAGAGGGAAGGAGATAAGAGGCGGTGAGGGTGCAGGCATGCATGATGTAGTGACGCATGCCTCGTGTTGTATCAGGTAGAGGGGAGGATGGAAGGAGGGGGAGAGGAGGAGAAAGGGGGAGGGGGACGAGAAGATCTACCACCCTTTCACATGGTATTCCCACGGCCCGTAGTCGGTGTAGTTGTTCCACGAGCCATTTTTGGCCAAGTCCTTGGCTTGCTGTGCGTCCTCACTGTCAGTTGGGGCCGCGGCGTCCGCAGCGTTGCTGCCAGCGGCTGCTGCTGCTCCTCGCCGTGGATCGGGATATTGCTGGAGGTTGGCCATGTCGTGAGCGGTGTGCCGGCGCTTGAGAAATGCGTTGGCCGTTGCGCTCTTCTGCTGGCGTTCCCACAGGAGGTGTCGGCGCAGGGACTCGGTCAGCTCCGTGGCCAGCATGTTCCGGCGCGTCGTACGCGGCGAGTGCGCCACCGAGTGCTGCGACACGGGCGGCTTGACGATGATGGGTTTTGACCGTGGGACGTCCGGTCCGCGCATCGTCAGGTTCTCCTCTTCGTCGTCTTCGGAGGCGGGGAGGGAGGGTCCGTTGGGCGAGGTCAACCGTGACCGTTGCAGCGCGGGCGTTGACCGTACGTTGCCCATCTTGGTTGGCTGGTGCATCATCATGGTCAGGAGCGAGCGGCGCGAGACCAAGTTCGGCCGCGAGTCGACCCGTTGGAAGAGCTCCTTTTCGTCAACACTCGACCGCCCGCTCTCGGTGACCGAGTCCTCCCAGTCCGAATCTTCATCGTCCTCGATGGCGCTCTCCGAAACCTCTTCATCGTCCGTCTCAATCGCGTCCTCGTCATCCTCCCGAGGCCCTTCCCGAATGGGTTTGATCATGCGTGCCGCGATCTGTTCTCGGAAGGACGGGGCCTTCTTCGAGGGGCTCAGGTTCTTTAATGACGACGTCGGTCGACCGAGCTCATCGGACAGGGAGCTGCGATGGGTATTGGGCATGTTCATGCGATCCTCAAAGGAGGACTCATCGTCATCGCCTGACGATCCACCCAGTAAAAACATGCCACCTTTCTTGTTCTTGAGCAGCGAGGGCTTGAGCTGTTGAGTGGCCGAGGAGACCTTGGTCGAGGCCGGTTCGGGGGCCAGTGCAGGCTGGGAGCGGTATGAGGACGAGATCTGGGAGGGGGAGAATCCACGGACGATGCTGGGGGACTTGAACAGATCAGGGCGAGGCGGAAGGATGCCCGAGGACGAGACACTGGTATCTGACGCAGTGACGGGGGCAGCATCGCTTTCATTGTACTCGGGTGCTGTCGTCGAGCAGGACTCGGTTGAAGGATTTTGCTGCTGTGTAAGAGTGTGCGAGGGTCGCCTATCTTCTTGCTGCTGCTGCTGTTTTTGTTGTTCTTCCTCTTCTTGCACGGGAGTGACAGCGGGCAAAGTCGGGGTCGGGGTTGACGGTCTCGAAGAAGAGACATCGACGATGGGGGTAATACTGGAGACGGTGTGGGGGATAGGCTCGAGGTTCTTCTTTTCCTTGATGCTAAGAACCATCCGTTCCAGGCCGAGAGAGGTGATGTGCTTTTCCCTCCCTCTACTCAGACTGCTGAGCGAGTCATCCCGCACAACGGCGGGTCTGGGGTCCGGGCCCTTGGGCCGCTTGATATGTTCCTCTATCCGGTCGGCCTGGTCTGACGAGGCCGACTCCACGCTGGCTGACAGCTCTGGCATCTCTGACGATTCGGATCGGAGGAGGGGTAGGACGGACGTGTCACTGGAGTTTTCCGGTTCGACGCAGAAGGTCTCTCGCGTCCACAGTCGCCAGGTAAGGTTCTCTAACCGACGGCCCTCTTCCATATAATCGGCACATTTAGAGAAGACTTGTGCATACGAGTTAGAACATGTTTGTTGTCTTATAATTCAGACGAATATTCTGCTTACCCATCCACATGCCATGTAGGCTCTGCGTATTTGCGGTGTCGACCTTCCGGATTTTACCGGTGTCCACCGTCAGGACAGGGGTTGATAAACGTGTCGGCATTGTGAGGCTGCGACGATCTCGCGAATGAGAACTGGGGGAATTAGGGTATGCTTCGTTCCGGGTCTCTCGTTTTCCAAATCTTGGGTTTTGTTCCGGGTCGCCGTGTGCCCCGAGAGTAGTCGTACGGCGCAAAGGCGGCAAGGGTCTTAATTCACACTGATCCACAGATGGCGTCACAATTGTATTCCCGGGCCTCCCAGTAGGTTTCCTGAGAAGAGAGAAAGAAAAGAAAAGAAGACAAGGGAAAGGGAAGAAAGTTCCGCGGCTGCAATCAGACGCTTGTGCAACCGAGGCGCTGCTAAATTCGAATCCTTGAGCGATGGACAGAATCCGTGTCTTCGGGAGTATCACAGGGAAAAGGACGTGTCTTTTTGAGTCTGGGATTCCCGGTTCTTCTTTCCTTTTGTCGAATCCCACACAGCAAGGCCGTCGAGAATGGGCGGGGAGAGAGAGAGAGAGAGAGAGAGAGAGGATGCGGAGAAAAGGACGATCGGCGGGGAATGCAGAGCAGTCAAGTTGAAAAGGCCGGCGGCGGTCTCTTTCGAAAGCAAGTTATGCGGACGAAGGAGGAATGGAGGGAAGCGACAGAGAGATGAGAGAGTCGGAGGGGGGGAGGAGTATGGGGAAAGGGGGGGGTTTGTTGGGAGAGAGAATCAAGGTGGAGGAGAATTTGGCAGGTCGGAAGGGGAGGAGAGGAAGGAGGTTTAGTTATTGATGGTGGACCAGCGTGGGAGGAAGTACTAAAAGGGCCCGCTGGGTTGGGTTTGCGTGTGTGGGAAGAAAGAGTATGGATGCGGTATTCGTTTCAATACAGGGGAGTTCGGTAACGGTTCGAACCATCCATAGGGAAGGGGGGGGAATTAATATTTTATTTTTCCATTTTTTCGGGATTTTTTATTTTATTTTGAATTTTTTGAATTTTAAGAAAATAAAATAAAATAAAATAAAATAGGGTTCTTCTGCCCACGGAGGAATTATTATTACGGGGCGGTATTTTTTTTTCCGCGCAGGGTGGTGTGAGTGGGGTTCCTTTGGACCAGTCAGGCCTTCTCGAAAGGATGTACCTTACCGTACAGAACGGCCGGTAAAACGCTTACGGAAGTACCTACTACTTAGGACCTACTCCGTACTCCATACTCGGTACTGCCACCAGAGCGCGCGCGCAAGCGGACTCCGTACCGAGGGACAGGGACGGAGGGCCTAGAGAGACTGGGGAGGGAGTTCAGCACCGGGGGCGCGCGCCATGCTGGGAGACGGGGGGGGGGGGGGGGGGGGTAATACATAATACATAGTAGCCACCACCGGGAAAAGGATTACTACATAGACATCCTAGCTTCCTTCAGCTCGCCTGTGAGTCCTCAAAATGAGGTCTGGTCGGGCCTGTTGTTCCTCCTCCTCCAGCCTGTGTCACTTCCGAAGGAGTCGATTCCCGAGAGGACTGAGTAGGTACTAGGTACATCTTCCCTGTCGGAATATCATGTACTCCGTAGTTAACTGACTACCTGTACCTACCTACTAACTAGTTAACGGAGTACTCCGTAGGTATATAGGTAAGTACCTATGTACTCCGTACTTGAGACCGCGTACTGTAATGTGTCAGATTACAGTCATTTACCGGTCTGGTTCCGGAGTTCTGCCGTCGACGTGGTGAGGCACGCCTCCCAGAAAAAGAAAAAGAAAAAGAAAAAAAGACTCCCGTGACCTGTCGGGCTGTTGGCCGTTGCCTCACCATGAATGATGATCTGATGATTGGCCATAATGTCAGGGACAGTACACCAATTGATAGCTTATTCTTATTATTATTTCTTGTAGTATACTACCTAGTATACCTAAGTTACATACTACATACTACATACTGCATACTGCATACTGTTTACTCTGTATTAATAATAATAATATAATAACATGATAATAATAATAGTACTGAACCAACTATACTCCGTACTCTCTGTATACTCCGTATACTACATATAATTCTGACTTTACTCCGCATCCCCGGAAGTCTATACATCAATACTTTCTAACCAAGTACGGAGTAGGTAATGGAGTATGGAGAGTTAGTTGTACGGCCGCATCGATCGTTGGAATGTACAGGTAGCAAGGCATGTGCATTGCTATGTGAGGAACCGATCGATCGATAAAAGTATGAGGCAGCTATTACTCTGTACTTTGTACTTGATACCAGTCAAACAATAATAATATCAGTTACTATGTAGTAATGAATACCTGATAAGATACCTAGTTATACCTCTTTGTCTGTATTTCCTAGAGCGCATTTACCGCAGGACAAAACCGAAAAAAAAAAGAAAAAGAAAAAGAAACGATCAGGCCAACCTCTTCTTTCTTTTTTTGACCACCGGATCAGTAAGTAACACAGACAGAGCGGCACGAGGCCACAACTTGACTGGAAGATCCTTATGTAGTATTTACCATTTAGTTACCTATGTAGTGTAGTGTAGTTAGGAGGCGGCCTCCGAAGCAACTCCGTAACCGTGACGGAAGCACTACGGAGCGATTGCCTCGTTTTTCAGCCTAGGCATTTATTTATTTATTTATTATTATTGAATCGTTTGTCACGCGCAAAGGGACAAGTGCCTTGGACGTTCGTCTAGACCGCCAGGCAACCCGGGTCGGCGGGCCAGGGCCAGGGTGAGGGTGTCAGATAGGCGAGAAGATCGTGATCCCTGCCTGCGATCGATCATGTGATTCTCGGTCGCCAAACCCTTGGCCGTCGGTTTCAGAAGTAGCTTTAGTAGTAGCAGCAGCAGTGTAGGTCCCGGAGTGCTACTTATTACCGAGGTGAAGAGACGGAGGACGGAGGGACTCGGTTGCGGAGATGGTCGGAGTGTTTCCTGTTTCGAGCTTAAACGGAGGCTCCGGATATTAATTGCAAGCCACGTCGTGGCTGTGGCTGATACGTACTACGGAGTTCTATGAGTCTGGGGATTATGATAGTTGCTGTGAAGACTGGATAAATGTTCTCTAGTGTTATATACAACTCGGTAAAATAGAATAATAAAGAATGCAAGTATTAGATACGATTAACCATCAACTATGCCCACTAAAGTGGTTTACTACCAGTACCGGGCGGCGAATTAGTATGGTAACTATAACTAACTTCCAACTAACTGCAGTAGTAAGCAGCCATATGGCATCCCACTTTATACGGAGTACTCCAGTCCGTGTCTACGCAGTACTCCATCTGTACATCTGTACGTCTGTACACGTCTGTACTCCATCTGTACTCCATCTGTACGCCATTTGTACATCATGTGCCTCTGACCTTCTCCGCATGGCGTGGGGCAAAGCTCTGCAAGTCATCATCAAGTGACAGTCTAGACGGAGAATATACTGGACAGAGATACTCCATCGATACTCCATAGTGGCCAATCCATCATTCCGTATTATTGACGTATGGAGGAGAAGAAGAAACTACCTAATTACTGGTCGGTGTGACCTACTCCGTTTTCCCGAGCCGAAAAGTATGGTTTAGCTATTATTTCTGTGGGGAAAAGAAAAGAATGGAGGGAATGCCCGAAAGCATCCGAAAACTGGAGTATGGGGTATCGGAACCGGACTTTACTATTAGTTCCTTAACTAAGTTTTGAATAGTACCTCAGGTAGGGTAAGTATTAATTCTAGGTTAGGTAAAATAGGTACCTAGTAACTACCGTAGTTAACTACTTGTCATCAGTGGCAAACTGGCGACTCGTCACTTGACACTCACGGGATCATGTCACATGATGTCACGATGTGGGGTCTCAACCTCGTGACACAACGTGTTAGTAAGCCTGGTACGGATATTGTGGTCCTCCATATACGGAAGACTCTGTACTACATACATACCTATTCCTAGGTAATAAGGCATAGTGTTGAAACACTGTATAGCACATCACCTGCAGTGACAGCTGACAGAACAAAGAGTGGATCATTAAATGACAGGTAAGTAACCTAAATTGATAGGGAGACAGACTCCTAGTTATCTAGGTTCTTGAACAAAGAGACTTTGTCTGAAACAAGACTCGTACGAAGGATAGCAACGGAGAACACGGAGTAAGTAGTAGGGAGCAAGAAGTCGCTCGCTACAAAGAAGTAAACTACTAAATGCCTGTCCTGGAGTATGGCATGTCGATCCGATCTGCAGGCGTCTATTTCTGGAATGGGACCGATCGATCTTGCATATGAATAAAGAGAAAGTACGGAGTACTCCGTACCTCCTAGGTAGAGTATGAACACAGGACTATCCAATAGTAAGATACTGCACGGAGTGCTCTATTTGTAGATACTATTTACTAGGATGTAGTACGGATACTCCGTACGACGGATAAGTATACCACATCCTCCGTACTTACTCTGGAGTCTGTACATTGTGGTAGATAAGAATTATATCACCGAGTATCTCCTCATCCAGGTACTCGGAAACCGGATTCCTCTCCGCAGCGCCACAGGTCAGGATACTTTATCCGTACGCAAGGGAGATTAATGCAAGGAATGGAAGCTATTAGTATGATCCTCTATCAGTATGAGTACTCCTACCTACTCCGTACATAGGGTAGCCAACTACTAGTTAAATATCTACTCCTTAACAGATTACACGTGCCGGAAGCAAGTTGTCCTTCCGGTCGATCATTCCCGACCACCGGGTTGAAGAAGGGATATTCATATATAACCCGAGGATGTCCGTCGCATTCCAGATCATTATCCCACTAGTTAGTTATTACCTCTAGAATTGTCCATAGTGCGGAGATACAATCAATTCATATGTACCTCGGTAGTTGCTTAAACTGATAGTAAATCCTTGGAATGTCAATAGATTCTACCTTGTTAGCCGCTATCAGTATCATACTCCATATATATATATATATATATATACTCCGTATATATACCTAGGCATATATTACCATAGGACACCTATAGATACCCTACCTAGGTGCTCTATCATGTGAACAGACCAGAATCACGAGGAGATCAACAGTCAATAGCTGGAGCCACGTCAATAATTGAGATCCTGTGACTCTGAACCTGTAGTCATCTGGCAGGGAATAAAATACAGATCAAGGAGTCACCTCAAAAGTACTCTGTACTCCGTTAGATAACTATTCCATACTCAGACTCTGATCGACGCAGTACCGCACCAGCACCGCGGAAGAGGCCTCGCTCTTCCACGCGCCCCCCCCCTTCCCGTCTGCTGGAACGGAACTAGCAGGTTTGTCGGGTCGATGAGACTTGCGAGAATTCCTGGTGGAGCCAGTGGAGATGCCATCCCTGAGAGGCAGAGGCAGAGGCAGAGGCAAAGAAAAGAAAAGGAATACTCGGCAAGAAAAGTTGACCATTGATGAAGGAAAGTTGTTGTGTCCAGCCCCTGAATTGTTTGGTTACGTCACGGGCCGCTCCGTCGAACGACAAAACGTACAATACAGTTGGATACTTTGTACAGACAGACTATGGAGTAGTTACTTAACTGCTCTTTAAGTAACTAATAGATAGACAACATACACTCGCTCTGACAGATCACCGGTGGAGAGTTCCAGCTCTTTGGGACGGGACGTTGCTGGGATGCAGCCCCAAAATTGGTCGTAGCATGCGAGTACGAGACTACGAGTACGTAGTACATAGTAACTAACTAACTAGTTATGACTAGGTAATAGTGAGCTAACTGTAGTGGCAGTTATCTTGGAATACTCCGTAATGAAATAGTAAATACTATCTAGAGTACGGAGCATGGAGTACTCCGTAACAGATATCCCTAGAAGCCCGACAGTGGATCAATTGTATTACTCCATAATGACCCATAATAAGGCTGCTGGGCTACGGAGTACAAGAAAGTCATGAGACCTATTATTCATATTACCCCTATCTATAGAGTGTTTCCTGTTATCTTGGATTACCCTGTCCTCGAGGACTCCGTCGTACTCCGTAGCCCGATGATACATCACTATCAATACCAGTTGAGCACTTGAGTTACGGAGTATGTCCATCTTGCCACCTCCCACCTAGATGTAACCGTGTAGTGCGTAGATATCTAACCTGGAGGCAGTCAACATGACTACAATTACAATTACTAGGCTGAGTTGGCCCTCTTCAGAGTCTATTTCATTTTGGAGTACTATTGCGGATCAATGTCCATTCCACCCGTCTACCAGAGTCTAAAAGTCTCTATCGTCGTCGCCGGAGATGATCACGTTGTTGATCTGTCAAGTCAGCATGCTCCTTTCTTTCAATCTTTTTTTTTTTTTTTACTTGGTGGTCAAGACTCACCTTCAGGACCATCCGACAGAGCTGGGTGGCGAGCAGCAGTTGCGAGCGCTTCCCGATCAAGGGGTCGATGGCAAGGTGCTCCCTCATATCTAGAGTTTCCATTAGCAAGAAATGAAAAGAAAGGCATTGATAAGAACCCCCTCCCCATACGCACCATTGTTTCCGGTCATCATGCAGTCGACGCCCAGTCTGGAGTTCTTCTCCTTGACCTGCCGAGACTTGATCGACGCCAGAGTCTCGATCGGGCTCAGCCCAGAGTTTTCTGCCAGAGCAAGGGGCACAGCGTCCAGTGCGTCCGCAAAGGCACGCATCGCGTACTGCTCGATACCAGGGCTCTGCAGCAAAGTGTCAGTAAAACGAAAAAAAAGGAAAGAAAAGAAAAGAAATGAGAGAGTCCGTTTCAAATGTAGATTTGTTTCATACCTTGACGGCAGCGTCTTCCACGGCAAGAGAGCAGGCGATTTCTGCAGCACCACCGCCGTAAACCACCCGGTTATCGCGAACCAGGTTGCGAACCACGCAGAGAGCGTCATGTAGCGATCGCTTCGCCTCATCGATAATCTGGGGGGGGGGAAGGGAAAAAAATGTCAGCTATTCACCCGAGGAGACGGATACCAAGGAACCTTACCATCTTGTTGCTTCCTCGCACAAAGATCGTCACTGCGCGGCTGTTCGCGCACTCCTCGATGACGAGCATCTTTTCTCTCGTAGTGCCAAAAGTCATCTCGCGCACACGCCCGGCCGTACCCAGCTTCTCCGGGCTGAGTTCCTCGAAGCGAGGAACGATCCGCCCGTTGGTGGCGATGGCAATCAGCTCGATCTCCGGACCGCCGACCCATCGCACTGCCGGCAGCTTGTTCTGGAGTAGCAGGTGGTTGGCTTCGTCATCGAAACCCCACTGGCAGATGACCAGGTTTGCACCGCAATCCTTGAGGCGCTGGATCATCTCTTGGAACTTCTCGCTCTCGTATGCTTGCAGGCGCTTGAACTCCTCGACCGATGTGATGTCCAGCTTGTGCTTGGTCTTCGGCTTCGGCGGCTCGAACGGGCAGGTCAGGATGGCCAGCTTGGCGTCCCGAACCTCATCGGGCATCTGAGGGTGGGAGAAATCCTTGTCGACAATGACACCCTTGACCAGGAGAGAGTCCTCGAGGGAGCCTCCGACCTTGCCGTCGACCTTGATCAGCTCAAAGTCGACATCCTTCCGCTCAATGTCGGCGACGGACATGACAGCGTCGATGGCGATCTGGGCAAACTGATCGTGCGACTTGGACACGCTGTCGGAAGCGATATTAGCACACTATTCAATAAGAACCCTCCCGTGTTAAAGGGGCATACATCTTGCTGCCCAAGCTGGTCTTGGCGACCTTCAACAGATTCGAGGTATCATCCTTGCTGAACTTGATCTCATCGCAAATCTTCTCCAGCTCGGCAACGGCAATCTCGCAGGCCTGGTCGTATCCATCCGCTATCCGGATGGGATGGATGCCCTTGTCGATCAGGTCGGACGCCTGTTCCAACAGGGCTGCCGCCAGGACGACAACACCGGTGGTTCCATCACCGATCTCTTCGTCCTGAGACTTCGACAGCTCGACCAGAAGCTTGGCAACGTTGTTCGTAATCTCCATCTGTGTGTGTCCACCCTTTAGTAACCCCCTCCCCGTCTCAAAAAGAATATATCGACCTGTCTGCGGGGAACCGTACCTGGGACAGAATGGTCGCACCATCGTTCGTCACCGTAATGTCGCCGTCGGGGGAAATCAAGATCTTGTCCAGACCACGCGGACCCTAGAAAATCGTGTTCAGTGGCGTTCCCTTTTGATGCTGGGATATTCACCCGTACCAGAGATGTCTTGACGATGTTGGCTACTGTCTTCGCAGCAACGATGTGCGATTTCACCGCCTCGGTCCCGTGTTGCCTCTTCTTCCTGCCCTGGCTGAACAACAACCATGTTAGTCCTTGCGAGCCATCTTGGTAGTCGTAGTCTGTAACCTACTCTCGAACGACAATGAACGGCCGGCCCTGCTCATCCTTCATCACAGACGCTGTCCCCAACCCATCAGCTGCAGTTCCAAAAAGCCATCATGGACATCAATCGGCATCGATATATAGTAGTTACCTTGAGATAAATCAAGCTCTGCAATAAAGGCCCCCCCTGTTGTCAGCTGGTGAATCCACAATGATGAGGGGTACTGGGAAAACATACGCATCGCCATTTTGTCGGTGGTCTGCCACTCGGCAGCAGTCCAGGCACAAAAGTCACAGAAGGAAAAACAGATACCACAGAGAAAAGTACCTCACACACCACAAGAATCCGTTGCAGAGCTATCGTCGCTGCGCGGGATGCAGTTGAGTTAATCGCACAGAATTGGAAATTCTGGAGACTCGCCCGAATCGGCCTAGTGAAGCTTGCCTCCCAAATCGGGCATAGCGCGTCCTGGTGCCCGCGCGACGATGCGCGCCAACCTTTCGCAGAAGCAGAAGCAGCCCAAGAACGTCAACGCCAACTTCAACTATCATTGGGGCTTCAGCTGCGGTGTTGTACAGCGTGTTCGCTTGCTGCGAAGCTCAATTGACTGATAAAGCAGAGACTCAGAGTTTGAAGATAAACAATACGGTCAAACGCTGCCACGCTGTTTTCCTCAATCCTCAATCGGATCCTTCCGTCCCGCAACATGCCTCGTGAGTGAATACTGTTGCTTGCGCCGGCACTGTTCATCGACCTTCCATGTGCTGATTGGATTTTATGTGTAGCTCCGATCATCGACGACCCCTCAGACGACGAGTCGACGGGCGGGTCGATTCCCTTCAATGATTCCGCCCAGGCGGTCGAGAACGATGACGCGGTGGATGAGGATGGTGGTGACAATGACGAGGAGATGTGGGTTTGTTCAGGAGCTAGTATCGAACGAAGAGAAAGCTGACTGTTTGTTTTTTTTTTTCCCTTTAGGTACGACGTTGAGAAGATTCTCGAGCATCAGTTCGTCGCGGGCGTATGTTTTGAATCGGTGTGCGCCTAGGGTGCTTTGCTGACCTTCGTGACAGGGCCAGATCGTGTTTCGCGTGAAATGGAAAGGCTACGAGAAGGAAGAGGAACAGACCTGGGAACCGGAAGAGAATCTGTATGTTTTTTGTTTTCTATTGGACCGAGAAGCAGGGGACATCTGTTGACGGCGGTATAACGTAGGGAGACGGCCGAAGAGGCTCTCAACGATTACTTCGAGTCTATCGGTGGCCGGCCACAGCCGCCACAGGCACAAAGGGGGAGAGGAAAGCGGAAATCGATGACGAAGGATGCGACTCCGGTAAAGACGGCGGAGGAGCCAGTCAAGAGACGCCGCAAGTCCAAGGGGGTCACCGAGCCCGTGGAAGACATCAAGACCGAGACCTCTGACGAAACGGAAGAAGTGGGCGACTGGGTTCCCAAGGGAAAGAGCTGGGAGCACGAGGTGGTTAGCGTGGACACCATCATCCGGGACCCAGATACCAAATCTTTATACGCGTACCTCTTCTGGAAGAACGGCAAGAGGTCGAAAGTGTCAATCCAAACGTGCTATGCCAAGTGTCCCCTTCAAGTATGATCTCTCCCTGTCTGATATGTGACAAGCTCATGCATGAACTAATGTCTTCTGATCAGATGCTCCAATTCTACGAGCAACATCTGTAAGATCTTGTCCGTCCACTCCTTGCGTGGATAACCTACTGACCATACCTCTCCATCAGTGTCTTCAAGGACGGTTAAATTAATCTAACGGCTATGCTATGCCCCCCCCACCCTTTCCGGTTCACTGGAGTTTCGGCTTTTCTTTTTCTATGGTATAGACTTGAGAGCTCACATTATGGCTTTGAGTCTTTGATACCACTGGACAGGTTTTTTTTTCCACCAGGGCAAAGAACTCTTTGCTTTCTTTCTCATACCATCCATCCACCGAGTAGCAGGTGATTCTTTGCCAAAGTTCTCTTTTGCAAGTCCTTCGTCTCCAGCTGTATTATATGCCACTCGATTCCCACCTCTTAATGGAGGTCTTCCCATCTAGCCCAAGCAGGCCTTTGCTTCATTGTCAATGGAAAATCGGAGAACATGTGCTTATCATATTAGCTTCATCTCTGCCATATTTTATTTCTACAGCTACTGGAATTGAAATCTTATTTTTTAATTGTCTTTTCGTTCTTTTCGAATTGTAATTCTCGCACTTGACATATGGGGTAATACCATTTTCTTTTTTCCATTGCTTCTTAGTTATACACTGCTTTCCTCTTTCTCAAGGCCTGCGGATCTTGCTAGACCTAGATATTCCCACCTGGCATTGAAGTGCTGTGCACCGTGCTTTTTGAACAGCTGCTCGATATCCCTCGCATCAGTCCCATCGATCTGTTGGTCGTCTTCCCGCGTCCATACCCCCGGTAAGTCATCGGGGATGCCTTGGCCGGCTCTCAGCCAGTGTTCCAGGACCTTATCTGCTAACTCAGGGTCCATGCTGGTGCAGCGTAAGGCTTCGATTATCTGTAATTCTGATCTCGCCTTCCTTGTCCGTAGTCTGGTATCAATCCATGAGTCGATATCGGTGGGGTTCTTTTCGTACCCGCCTCCCTCTTCTTCTCCTTCCTTGTCCTCTGGCTCCGGACTCGCAGGGAAAAACGGTAGTTCCATGAGGAGGTAATCGAGAGGATCTTTCGTTTCGCTTTCTTTTGGTTCGCGCTGAGCGTCCTGTGGCGTTTCATTTTCAACAGTGCCGTTGTGGTCTTGTCTACTCTGAGTTTCACTTGGGCTTGATTTTTTCCTTCTTCTTTTTGCCTCTTCACGTTGAATACAAGTCGAGTTTGGAGGAATGACTACCAACACATTTGAGTCCATGGCTCTCCTTTTTTGCGGGCTGAAGATAATCGGTTTGCTGGGATGCGTGGAAGCCTCTTGAGCCTCATTGTCCATATCCAGTTTTCTCTTCAAGCGCTGTCGTCCATCCCATGGCGGCTGTGTTGACTCGGGAGGCGTCGCTGTTCTGTCACGTTCGGCTGCTCTAGGCAAAGCCGGTTTTCGAGGGGAATTGTCATCCGTATCCTTGGAAGGCTTATCCGCAGCTATCAGGGTTCGAGTGCTGCCTCCTGGTCGAGGCTGTCCGCGAAGTTTCTTACGGTAACGCTCCCTCCAAGATTGCCATGTATGTCTAGGGTACTGTACTTCATCAGAACTCGATCTGTCCGCTGGTTCAGCGAATCACAAATCAAAACAAGCAGAAATCCATACCTTTGCTGCGAATTCCTGGTATAGAGCGTATCCAGTGGTGGCGTATCCGCCTTTCTGTTCATATGGATACAGATAGTCCCACAGAAGCTGGTCCTCTGCTAAAGTGAACGCAGCTTTGTGAGTTCGCGGTGGAACATTGGACGCACCCATAGGCCGTGGTGCAGAGGGGCCGGCCCGGTAGGCATACAGCGGCTCTAGGTTCTTTTTGAGAACAGACCGTTCCACATACTGATAGGAATACCTGGTGCTCATATCTGTCAGTTGGCTGTGTGCAGCATAGCATGATTAATGACGAAAGAAGTAAACCTTACGTGTCGGCAGGAAGGTTTTTTCTTAGATGGTCAACTAATTTGATATCTGCATCTTTCTCTTGCTCCACTAGAGTGCCGCCGTGCTCCTATACCAGCTGTTAAACTCGCGATCAAAACGGACAGGCAGCACCAACCGGAAGAAGATGGAGATATACCTGAATCATGTCCCGGAACCTGGACCTTGACGGGACATTGCGAGATAGCCAGAACTTCTGGCCTTCAAACAGCGGTCGTTGGCTCATAACTCCTAGATCTGCCATTTTGGCTGTCGCGTCGAACCCCAGTTCCCTCATCCCCTTCTATCGCGGGCTCAGATCCATTCACTCCTCCCTCCTCATCCTCTATTATTATAATTCGTAGCAATCGATAAGACACACGCGTCACTTTCCCGAATCCCAGTGACACGTAGTCACGTGAAGGCGTGTCTGACTAAAGAAAGGAGAAGGATGCTTTGTCTTCTCGACGACTTTCATAATAGAAGCAGAATATCAACCATTTGCACTGCGTAAAAGGGCAATTTGCAGGAAGGAGTTGAAGCTTGATTTGTTTGCGAGGGCCAAAGTTGGAAGGGACTCTTTTTTTTGACTGTAATCACGTGCGGAAGTGGTCAAACGACAAACGGCCAGAGTTGCTGCCTCAAAGACCACCACCATTAGACTACCACCGTCGAGAACTGGGACTTGACGAAACCATGGCTTCGCGATTATGATTTATCTAGTGGCTTGGTGTTAAAGTAGAGGCTCTAGGTCTGTATCATTATCCCAGAGAGCAGAGAGCAAAACGACTGTGAGAAGAGGCAAGAATGGGTTTCTTGCGGAACATTGGGCTGGCGATCCTGGCGATTTCTGGCCTGATCTTTGTGGCTTTGTTTGGAAGGCTGCCTGTGTTTAGGTACGTCTGTTGGCTCTTGATGGCCCTTCAATCAGAGCATCTTGCCCAGGTATGCTGATGTGCGTCAGGAAAACCCCGATTGGTTTCGCCCACCGAACAATCTGGATATATATTCCCAATGGGATAGCCTCACTCGACAGGCATCTTTTTGGGGGCCGGTTTTTCCAGATCTGGAACCGACTGGGAAGCTATATATTACATGACAACCATCCGTTAATTTTGGTAAATTCATTGCCTATCTGGTGCTGGTGTTTCGGGTCTTCGGTTGGCTGATGGATGGATCTGCTAGATATTTTTCGTCTCGCTTCTTTTAGGAGGCGAGTATCTATTCATACCGACAGCGTGGTCTAGGATCTCCACTGTCCACCGGTTTCTCATCCCGGTGGCGGTGCTGCCGCCATATTTGCTTTTATATGCTTGCGTTGTGACCAAGTCATTTATCACCCCAGAGAACCATGCAAGAGAGCTTCATCGGTATCCTTACGATCGACTTCTTTTCCATGCCGGACACGATTGCAGTACCTGCAGATTTCCAAAGCCCGCACGCAGTAAACACTGCAGTATCTGCAAGGCATGCGTCTCTCGACACGATCACCATTGCGTGTGGCTGATGAACTGTGTTGGGCTACATAATTACCAATACTTCCTGTCTTTGCTGGTATCCGTCTCTGCCCTGCTGATTTATGGTTCTTATCTTGGCCATGAGCTACTGATCCAGACCTTGGACGAGCTGGACCCGTCTAGACTACGGTCTATCACGCAGTGGAGTAGCATTGACAACTGGATGACCTTTTTCAACATCTGGGCACTGGCTATCGCGGCAGACATCCGGATCGGATTCGTCTATTTGCTTGCTGTGATGTGTATTCCGTTAGCCCTGGCGTTCCTGGCGTATCACACCTATCTGGTCTGGGCTGGAATGACGACCAACGAAAGTGCCAAGTGGGATGACTTGAAGGACGACATTGCGGATGGCTGTGTATTCAGGTCCACCAAGAAAGAGATCTATGGAGACTCGCCTGTGCCCGCTGGGTTGCGAGATGATCATCCTACCTGGCCTATGACCAGCGACCAGATCATCCTTGTTACGGATGGCCAGCCTCCAGCTGACGGGTTCATGCTGTCGTCAAGGAGCAACTACATCGTCCAGCAGGAAGGGCAGAGGGGTCCAATCGATCCCCGATGGAGGTGCGTGCGGAGTCTGCGCGAGGTGGATAATATCTATGATCTGGGATTTTGGGACAATCTACGTGAGGCTCTTAGACTCCGTTTCAACAGCCGGAAATCTGCAGTGTAGCATTTAACTAGAACCAAATATAAATAAATCCCTTCCCCTCTTACTCTTGTATTTTTTTACCCCAAGGTTGGAAATACCCTCTCTTACGTAGGTGGGGATCACTGATAGTAATAGCATCTACCGGAGCCGGAAAAATTCCATCTTCCAAAAAGTCACCCGCGACACTTCCTCTCTCCATCTTACTTACTGCACTCTGTCCAGGTCGCTCTTTACGTTTCCTACTCCATCTCGTGGTGCTCTTCTTCCTTTCAAGATGGGTGACCGTTCTGGAACGGAGAGCAAGCCAAAATGTACCCCTGCAGAACTAATGTTGAAGGTGATTCTGGCGGGGACCTTGAGCCACTATGAGACCCGGGGCATGATCGACGACAAACGGCTGGATCACATGTTGTCTGCTGGGAAGCAAATCCTGTACAGGACTCATCAAGAGAGCGAAGTCAGGTAAGGTGTCTTTCCGTGAAATAATTAGGAAGAAGCGGTGCGGGGTTGTGGTGTCTGTCGCTGACGTCTTTTTTTGGATAGACACAACCTGGGCCTGTCGCCGGACATCTGGCAAGGCCTCTCCGCCGTCTTGACCAAGGCTATTCCTGTGCTCGAGTCGCAATCCTTTGCATGGAAGAGCCCCCCGACAGCGAACTACGACCATTCATCGTCCAACCTGATTGCGTACAATTACTTTTCGTTAGTGAAGGATATCGAGCGTCTGAACGATTTGTGTACGATCGCACGCAACCTGCTGGCCACGACCAAGAAGGCCCAAAATCTTGCTGCCGAGAAAGGGTTTGATCAGCGGATCCTGGCTCTGGTGGACACTTGTGTGCGAGTGACGGCTCGAGGGTTCGACGGAGAAACAAACGCCAGGAACGAGGAGAGATGGCAGAAGGTGGTGAATCTCTACAAGCGGCTGCTGATCACCTGCCTACAATTTCTACACAATTTCATCATGCACAACGAGCAACGAAAGATGGTCCTTTGGCTAGACCTTTTCGGATACCATTCAACTGGCGACTCGAACATCATCCAGCCCAAGGAACCTTTGGACCATGCTAACAGCCAGCCCGAGGGCGTTGCGCCCGTTGTAAAAACTGGAGATAGGATCGTCAACCCCCCGATCAGGGCACTTTACGACCAGACTGCCGAAGACCTTCTTCTAGAGACCATATCCAACTTTCCCCGAGAGCCTGCTACCATCAAAGAGGAGGCTGCCATGCTACTTCTCGCGAACATCAAAGATCACATGGAGAAACTCCTGGGCCGTGATCTGACGGCGATCCAGGAAATGGGCAAAGACCCGGAACAAGTGAAGGAGATCCGCGCGGCGCTCACTGCTATCCTCGGTGCCAAGGTGGATGGATGGTCAGATTTGCAGGATCGAGCGAAAGAGCTGCCCCCTGCACTTCCAGAAGATGAGCCGCCGCGCAAGAAGGCGATTGTCACCATTGACCGCAGTGCAACGGCTGGCTTCCCGCGTATCTGCTGGGCGGATCTGCCTGATCTGAGTGAATACGTCGGTCTTGCGTCAGGCGATGCGCCGGTGACCGAGGAAGATACAAGCATGCCGCGCTCCGCTCAGTCTGCTGCCGAAACTCTCCAGGAAGCGAAAGATGAGCTGATGGCTCGACTGCAGGAGACCTCGCAGATTGCTGGTGATGGCGATCCCGACTACGACGGTGCCGATGCGGGCGTTGGTGACGATGACGCGCGCAGTCTGGAGGCTGTTGCGGAAGGGAGCATCGAGGAAGAAGAGGAGGAGGACGATGACGAGGACGAGGACGACTACCGTGGCCGACCTGGCGACCAACAGCGAGGCCTTCTTACTGATGTTCCTCTGGTACTTGGTCCTGCTGAGATCGAAGCTCTCCCCATGATCATTCAAGCCGGTATTGTTGACAGCTTCGGTCTGAAAGGTGGCGAGCGGAGCGGTCCACGGAACATGCAGGCTCTTCGATGCCACATCCTGCTGACCCAGGAGACTGGCCGTAACCTGTTGCGGGAGCTTCTGATCTTCATCGCCGCATGGGACCTTCCTGACGATGAGCTGTACTTCAAGATGATGGTTCAGATCATGGAGGCCGTCCTGAAGAATGGGTTGATGTCGCATGCGTACTCAGATTTCGGCCAACCCAAGGACATCATTTCCCCTGCCCAGGCCGTGGTGATCAAGATCCTCACTCACATCTTTCGAGCAAAGTACTCACCGGCGTCGGTGACCGGCTCGGCACAGTCTGCCAACCCTACCAAGAGCCCCGGCCCCTTGTCCCGGGTTGACATCCTGACGGTTCGATACATCTTCACCATCTTCCGTGGCAATATCATTCCCGAGACCTGCGCTTTGATCTACCTGCAAGGTCAGATTCGCGCGGGACGCGCCCTCCCCGAAGACTTCCCGCTGAATCTGTGGGACATGGAGCGGGTCTACGAGGGTGTCTATCAATTCCTGGAATTCTTTGCCGTGCTCACGGAGAACAATGACTGGAAGAATCTGCTGGTGGAGTGGGAAATTGTGTATGACCTGGTGACGTTGATCAAAGAGCTCGAGGCCAGCATTCCCAAGGGCAACCTGAGCTCCCTCTCCGCGGGGGGATCGCGCAGCACGCCAACCAGGGAGATGGCCACCGGGCCCGTCTCGGTTGAACGGCCCTACGACCCCAGTGACCCAGACCCAGCGGACGCGGGCGCGTGTAGCGCCGGGTCTGGCGCCGAGTCGCCGCCGATCACCGAGGACCCGTCCGAGTTTGAATGGCGCAACCTTAAGAAGCTGGTTGTCCTGGTGCTCTCGTCGTTGGTCTGGAAGTGCCCGGACGTGCAGAACCAGATTCGGCGGTATGGGGGCGTGGAGGCGATTCTCTCCTGCACCAACTTTGACGCGCACAACCCGTACATCAAGGAGCACGCGGTCATGTGTCTCAAGTTCCTACTCGAAGGCAACAAGGAGAACCAGAAGTTAGTTGAGGAGCTCGAGGCTAGGGAGGTTGTCAAGGACAATAATGGTCTGCTGGAGCGAAGCGGATACGAGGCCATGATTGATCAGGCGGGAAAACTGGCTTTACGGCAGAAAGAGTAAAAACTGGACTCTGGTTTCTAGAACACCTGTATGCTTAGATTACATTTGAACAAAAAAGAAAAAAAAAATTGCTTGAAATGTAATTTTAAATCATCAGCCGTACAGCCCATCCCACTCCTCCTCGTCATCATCCACGGGCTTCTTCCTCCGCGCCTGTTCCTTCTCGCACTCCTGCTTGCCGAAATCGTGTCTGTCCAACGGACATGTCCCACGCAACCGCAGCCACGGCCGCACGCACTCCAGATCGAACAGATGGGTGGGATGGCACGGCAGCCGGACGACAAGCGCATATTTATCGTCCAGGAAGGGATTATTACAGATCGGACATGTTTGAGACTGAGTCAACTTGGTGCGGGGGACACGATCGAGCACTATACACAGTTAAAAAGAAATCAGATAGATGCAACAAAAACACACCTCCAAGAAAAAAAAATGGGGGAAAACGTACTATCGCAGAATTCTTCACTCACGCCTTCCACCTCTTTAGGCGGCATGTCCGCATTCTGAAGTAACGACTGAATCATCTGCGTCAAGAGATCGCTTGAGACAGCATCTCCTGCTTCACCTGAACCTCCACTACCGTCGAGGATACCTACTCCCCCGCCCTCTCGCCGCATCACCTCAAAAGCTTCAGCGAGCGAGTAGAACGCCGCGCTGACGTCGCCGGGAACAGGGACAGCATGTGGCCGGGTGCGCTGCGCGTCGGGCTGCGGGGTGATTTCGGAGAGCGTCGCGAAGAAGGTGGATAGGTCTGGTCTGTGGCGGCGGGGGAGGGCTGACGGAGCTGAGGGGTCGGTAGTGTTATGTTCCACTGGATGATTAATTAGCTATTATTCCATATTCCATGATCGATTGTTGAGGGGTTCCTCTGGGCGAGGTTGATTCGGCACTCTAGGAAGGACGGTACCTTACCTTCGTAGGTGGACATATTGATTGTGGAACAGCTGCCAATTAAACTCGCATTCGTATGGGTTGAGATTGTTTATCTGAATATATGGCTCGTGCCAGGTCGATTAGAAGGTAGAAGTATTTGTGTTGTTTGGAGGAGTCAATTAGGACGAGAGCGTTTTCTATCGGACGAGGGGTAGATAAGCGCGGGCGGTGATGAGGCAGCAGTGGACGCGCATACCATGTCTTAGTAGGATAGTACTGCATATGACATGGTTACTATGGGGTTGCTTATTGATAGTTTTGGAATTCCATTTATAATTAATAGGTAAAATCTTCATAGATTACTCGCTTGCCCACTAGCCAGTTCAGCACTGAGCGCTTCAAAGCTGTGCCGGCACAGAGATACCACACATCAGACAAATCCGCGTCCAGATCGTCTGCTTGCATCCTGCGGTGATGGAGCTGCGCGCCTGACGATGCGATATATTCGTATTTGCGGGAATCGGTTGCATCTCTGTCCACATTTGGACCCGTTAGAAACAGTGTGGTCGATGCCGGCAGCTCGGGGAATCGCTGGAAGGTATCAAAGACCAAGCCGATGTCTTGCATCGAAAGAGACCAGTAAAGGCGTAGACGGCTGGTTTTGATGCCTGGAAGCTGCCCAAGGACCGGAGTGATCCCAATGCCACCCGCAACAAAGGGGATGATGTTGTGTCCCTGCGGGTCTTCTTCGAACTGGAAGCTTCCTCCGAATCCCCTCAAGGGCACTTCTAACCCAACGCGCACATTCGCCTGGAGCAGGAACTTGGTCACATTGCCATTTTTACGGATGGTGATTTCGAATTCATCGGCTGGCATGTCTTTGCCAGGATACGACGAGACGGTAAATGTTCGGATCCAGTCGTCGTTGAGACTGGTGGGATCGTGATCACGCATGTGGCTATACCCTATATCCAGCTCGTTCTCGAAGGAGAGCATAGCGTACTGCCCCGGTGTATAGTGTCCAATCTTCTTCGAGTCAGAAATCCGAAATCGTAATCGAGAAATCGTCGGTGTCAGCGTTTCCCTTTTGATCAGCGTTGCCGTGGCTGGCGAGTCGTTGCTCCCGCCTGTAACGATGGTAGGTTTCTCGGTCACAAGGTGTCTGACACTGGGGTTGTAAGGGGATAGATCCCCTGGGATTCCACTGAAGGAGAGACCCCTTTCAACGAATAGAGCAGCGGAAACAGTGACCTTGACGGCTAGATTTGATCTTGGGATGATATCTGCGGCAGCATTCCCGACGAGCACCTCCGTTCTTCCAGTAAGGTACAAAACATTTCCCGTCTCGAAGTCCGGGAAGACGTATCCGGCCCGAGGTGTAGTTTGCAGGTTGCCCAATGTCTGGTACAGTCGATTTCCGGAATACTCAGGGTAGACCAGCATGGCGCCTGTTGAATCGTTGGAAAGAACGCGGACGAAACCAGGGGGCCCGCCACGAATGTTGGTATCCATGTCCACATCGCCGTGGTACGACGAGACAAATAAACAGTCTGCTCGGTCTAGAAAGTCAAGAGCTGTCTGTGTGAGCCGCGGTGAGTCGGATATCAGCTTTGGTGTAGGCAAAGCAGGGAGAATGCGTTTCTTGTTGAGATATTTGGGGCAGTTGCCTACTTTCAATCAGTAGTTGCTCAGGGTGCGACATTTCAAAATCCCGGACACCCTTACCCAAGCTTGCGTCAATCTTGACAGCCATTTGAAGCTCACTTTGGCGAGAAAACTCCTCGTCGCTCTCTGCTGGACCGAAAGACGATACCACGCCAGCGACCATCCTGCCATGGAGCTTGACTCGGCGTCTGTTCTCTAGGTCAATCGCCAGCGCAGAAACCATCTTCCCGGCGTCTTGAGCAGTAACTACTCCGCCGTCCGCCGAACTGCCGAGCAACGCCCTAATCACCGGGTCGTGCTTCTGGTCCACCAGAGTCCGGAGGCCGATGATAGACTCGGTAATCGGACTGGCAAAGCCTCCCTCTCCACCCCAGACGGTTGACCATGGCCTTCCCTCCTTGTCAATAGCACCGAGGGCCAACAGTGGCGCTCTACTCACCAAGTACCCGGCCCCGGGACTCAGGTATGGCACGGTTGGGTTCTCCCTGGACGGCACATGTAGCATCCGGTGCATTTGTTCTTCTCCATTGTGCCATGGAAGAGGGTTTGATAAGATGGATGTCATATTTAAATGTAGTTGGAAGAATCGTCAAGCTTTCTTGAGAGGTTAATAGTACTTTCGTTAAGCATGATGGCCTTCCCTTTATGTTTCCTGCCGGTCAGGTTGCATCATCGATGATTCCTCATACCACTGCATGATGAAGACACGGCAGGGCTTAGAAATACAAAAGTGTGTTCCTCTGAGGGAACCCAAATACCTACAGAGTAATGTCTAGTATATGTAAGCAATGCAATGATTCCAAAGCACTTGCCTAGGATGTACATCGAACGGGCACGGGCCAACAGCCACCGCGGAACAATAGTAATTCCATCTCCGTGGTGGCGGGTGGCCTGTGCGTATGAGAGTCAAGATTAGTCATATATCACATGACTCTCTTATCAGTAAATTTGCAAAGGGTTGATATGACGTCAGTTCTATAAGAGGGTTTCCCTTTATGGAATGGTCGGCAGACAGACGAGAAACCTCAAGTCTTTCCTTTCCTACCAACCACTCACTATCTCAATTCCTTCCTCCTGCCTTCTTCGGAGGAATCCAGGGGGGCTCTCAGTAACCCCTTGGTCACTGGAGAAAATCCGCCGAAACCATGGACTTGTTAATTTCAGTATTAGGTTGACTGGCTGCTCCATTTAGCATGTGCACTTTCTGGTGGGCCATCGGGATATCTCTTCATCTTCTCTGGTCGCCTGTCGGCCTAGATTCCTCCCGTGTTTTGTGAGTACTGTACACGTTGAATGGCAGTGAATGCTTATTCAAGCTGATATTGGTCGACAGCCTCGAAGGCAGGAGGGCCAAACCGCGCCAAAAACATGTTGTCTGCTATTGTTATCAGTGCTGTAAGTCCAGGGGCAAGTTATAGTCCATAGTTACTATTTGTCCGCCGTCCGTTTAACCTTTAGGCTCTATCTCTATAACTATAGTCTGACCAGTCCAGGATAGTGACGCCATCATGGCCGAATATCTTCTTTCACTCTTTTCCACCTGTCATTTGAGGTTGCAAGCAAGTGTTCCTACTAATCAAGGTTCAATTCTATACTTCTAGATGATTATAATGTTAATACCAATGGTCCCCTTATCATTGAATATCAGAAGGAGTTATGGGGGAGTCTGGCTGAATAGCACTTATTCCTATAAATATAGGCCATTCAAAGACTTGAGTAGGCAACTAAAATAATTTTTTATCTCTATCATTCACCAAGAGCTCTAGAAAGGTCGAGGGACAACAACCAGACGCGGATTGCAACCTGCGACTTGCATTCAGGAAATATAGACGTCAACATCCATCTCAGGTTGTCTCTTCTTCTGCCGCGCCTCACAAGATCTATACCTATTATCTATATTATCTTCAAATGAACTCGACGAACATGGCCAGCAGGCCTGCGGCCCCGTGCAGCAGGATCAGCGCAGAGCAGTCCCGGCAAGAACCCATCAGCACCCCTCAACACGTCTGAAGCCGGAGCCAGCACAGCTGCTTCTCATACGGAGAGCTCTCCCTCAATGCCGGCGAGAAAGAAAAGGAAGGTCGACACCTCGGATCTCAGCTCTTCCCCAAAGTAAGGGAAGAATGCTCGGAGCGATGTTTGTGTCTTGGCTTTCCCCCGTCGGATGGGGAATCGTGATGGTGGTTCTGTCACTGCTGTGACCACCAGTTGGCCAGGATATATGTAAATGCTTGTTGGTATACGCATGGCGCACAGGAATGGGTGTCAGCCACGGCGAAGGGCACGAGCATCCCCCAGCAGGGTGTGGTGGACGAGAAGATCCCACCACCCATCTCATCATCCTAAGATCAACTCGAAAACACTCCGATCGGGAAGCAAGTGTGGCTAGCACACTCCCACATCCAGGTAGGTACTAGGTATACCGAATCATGCCCCCCTTTTTATTGATTAGTATGCTCTAGATTGGTACCATAACGCGCACCTTCGACCGCCCAAGTGCGGTGCGACCGTATCCGGCTGGCTACACGCACGACTTGTCCCTCATCCCTGATGAGGGCCTCCTCCCGGAGCTGGCCAGCTCTTTCAAACAGAAACTGATTTAAATCAATAAATAACCTGGAGAGACAACGACCAGACCGGGAAGAGCACGTTGTCTGCCGCTGTATCGCATGCTGTACGGCCCGGACGAAGCCTACCAACAACGGGACAGTCATAAAACGAGGCAGTCAAAGTAGAAAGAGGCGATTATTACTTCCCACTTTTAGACAGTACAGAGTATCCCGTACTATTTGTGCTCCAGCAGGGCTGTTCATCAATACTGCCTAAGAAGGCCTAGTGATTATTGAGGATCAGCAGTGGATAAGTTGGTACATTCCAGGAATACCGACCGCACAACAAACACTACAGGTAACTGCCTATGAACCTAGACAGCCTCTGTATCTTTTTTTTTTTTTTTTTAGATAATCAATTAGAGCAGGATAGTACTCCAGATAATTCAAACCTGAAGACCAGAATAGTACTATTTTGTGTACTCTGTACTACATACTCCATCAGGCCTCAAGATAATAATAGAATGTGGAGCTGTGGCACTGCTCTTTAGCCGCATCAGCAACACAACAACAACTGACGTCTTATCCAGGTTGTTTTTGACTTTCAGCTTGTTTATCATCTGTTTCATCTCATCTTCTTGGAGGAAATTTCTCGGTATCCTTTTGAATGACTTGAGGAGTCACTATACTATCGTTTATACCACCGCTGTACACTTGCAGTTTCTATACTCTCCCAGGTGGTTGCCTAGTGGTTATACTTCACTTCAAAATGCGCACATCCGTCAAGCCGTCGTTATATCCACCGCTTCCCTTCCATCTTCTCCGCCTGGTCATCTTCGTCTCCTCGCTGACTGTGGCAATTATCCTGGCCGACTTTGCCTACCATCTACACTCCAGTGGATACAAGTTCCCCTGGGCGTTCTTAATAGTAAGTTCCATAATGACAGTTATTTGGGAGGTATCTCTATCAATGGCGAAAAAGTGCAGTAACCTAACGAACCAGCTTATTATATCCGCCGTCCTCTCCCTAGTGAACCTCATCCTGACAACAATCGTCCACTGCTTCTATGGCCTCTCCCCCCGCCTCTCGATGGGCCTGAACGGCATCCTGCTCGTGCTTTGGGCCATCTCCCTCGGCCTGCTAGCCTGGTGCATGTCCCACACCATCCTGACAACCTGCACAGCCACCTACTGGGCGACCTCGAGCGGAATCTCAGTCTGCAGAACCTACAAGGCTCTTTTCGCCTTCACCGCGCTCGGCGTGGCGTCCTACATCGCTTCCATCGCGCTGGATATCGTCGTGCGGATTCGCCAAACCCGTCTGGGGAACTATGATCCCATGGCCGTGTCGGAATCGCATCATATGCTCTCCGGTATAGGAGCTGGGAACGCCAAACTCCACGACCGGAGCAGCAGTGCCTTGTCTTCTCCTTTCGATCCAAATAACCACGTTACTACTCCTGCTGGTGGCGGCTATTCGACCGACGAACACCACCCGTTCAGCGCCCATATGGACGACAACGACGATGACATTTACCATGCTGTCCCGGCGCCGGGAAGGGGCGGGCACGCTCGTACCCTCTCGGAAGATTCAGATGTCGGGAACCCGTATTACTCGGATCGTGGAATGGGGCATACCAGATACGACCCGGGCGCGTACCGTTGAATATTGTACATTGTACGGGCTTTTTTTTTTCTATTTTGGAATATAATTTCTTGCTCAAGTTCGGTATTTTGTTTACATTGATGACATCCACTATAACTGTATTATCCGTGGGTTTGGTTAAATATGGGAGCGTTGCTTTACTGCAGATGGGGACATATTGGAATTCATGTATTAAACGCTAGACTGCAGTAGATAGATTGGAGAGTACAATCAGCCTCAATTTTACATGATGACCTCGTTGGCGACGTCCTAATCCGTCAGTCTGAAAAACATAAAAAACAGAAGAGGGAAAACTTACCCGTTTGAGCTCTTTGTAGGGTAGACAGACGCAGTTCTGTACACGCACCTCATCACCGACGCCACACTCCTTACCCAGGATGGTGATGCTCTGGACCTTGACTCCTTGCTTGACAATAGAAGTCGAGTGGCTAGCCACGGGGATCGGGGTGCCCTCGACGCGGGCCCAGGCACCGACACGGCTGCTCCAGCCGATGATCGAATGCAACACGCACGCGTCGTGCTTGATCTCCGCGTCCTCGAGCACGATCGCGTCCTTGATGCGGGCGCCGGCGCCCACCACCGCGCGCGGGCCAATCGACACGTTGGGGCCGAGCTTGGCGGTCGGGTCGACCGTTGCTGACGGGTGGATGAACACGGGGGGTACAATCGTAGCGGAAGGCGGGGTCAGCTCCTCGGACTGCGCCTGGAAGGCCTTTTGCAGGTACAGCGCGTTGGCGGGCACGGCAGACCCGGCCGTCTTGATCTGGCGCCAGAAGTCCTTGGTCTCGTGGACGAAAAAGCGGTTGCTGTCCGCCAGATCGGACAGGATGTCCTGTTCCAGGCGGAGGGTCTCGGTTTTCTCTGCGTCGTCGTCGTCGGCTGCAACAAACGACGAGTCCAGGTTGTCGGACGAGGGGTACGACAGGATGCGCGGGCGGGCGGTGCGCCGCTTGATGGCGCTACGGATCGAAGGGAAGATGCACTCGGTCGCGAAGAGGTAGACGCCGCAGTTGATCAGGTTGGAGATGTGCGACTCGGGCTTCTCGACGTAGTGCAGCACCCGCTTCGTGTGCGAGTCGGACACGATGCAGCCAAAGTTGGTGGCCGCCTCGTTGCTCACACGTGTTCCAAGAATAACAGCCTCGGCGTCCTTCTCCTCAAACAGCTTCAGCATTTCCCCGAGCGGGAACGAGCAGCAGACGTCCGCGTTCAGGACGAAGAAGCGCTCGGGCTTGCCTTTGAGAATGGCATCGCGGAAATGGTACAGACCCCCCGCAGTGCCCAGAGCAGTGTATTCCCGCAGGTACTGGATGCGGAATTGTGGGAACTCCTTGGACGAGTCCTTGATGAAGTCGCGGAAGACCGTTTCGTCGTAGTATCCGACCAAAATCACTTCGCGGAGATCGGAGACCTTGGCCAGGGCCTTGAGGCAGTGGTAGATGATCGGATGGCCGGCGACTTCGAACAGGGGCTAGAAATTTATTCACTGTTAGCCAACCTAACAGACCCCCAATCCAAATAGAAATTGGCCAAAAAAAAGATATAGCCACCAGGAAACACTCACCTTGGGGACATCCAAGGACAAAGGCCTGAATCGGGTTCCTCGCGAAGGACCGCCAACCTGACATCCTGCAATCAGTCGACAGACATCATTTAAATTTTTGCACCAGAGCGCGTACCAAGATCACAGCCTTTGTCGAGGCCATGGTGTTGTGTTCTCGATGCGGGACTTGCAGCATGGAGTCGGAGGGGTACGTCAGGCGAGGGTAGAAGAGGCGTTGAGGCGTTGAGGCGATTCACAGGCAAGGGGTGGGCAGTGTTGCAAATGACAGATGTGGAGTATGTCTTTATTTATATCTGAAACAGGATCCAGAAAGCCCAAGAAGTGTAATCCTGATGGTGTCTGCACTCGAGAGTTGAGTTCGTTGGGTTGTTTTTGAATGTTTGGGCCACGCAGTCTAAAGAGTCCAGGCTAGTTTCGACCGCTTGCGGACAACTGAACAACAACGAATATGAAAAAACCGAGAACGACTCAACATTTACAGTGGGAGAGCTTAAAATTAATAGTTCCTATCATTACTATTGTTTCTTGACTGAGGACTCAGAGTATTGTCTTTGATTCCAAACTTCTAGCGTGTCTGGGCAGCTCTGCTCTTATGCAGGGTCCCTTCAAGCTCCAAAAAACGACCAGGTTTTAATTTTTCTTAGTAGTATTCTGGTGATTTGTTCAAACCAATTACTGAGCTGCTAAATCTTTTAGAAATACTAGATTCATAGTAAAATGATATGTTCGAGATGGAGTGCCTCTTGGACTCGTCCACAAAGTCTTGTATATGCCTCAGCGAATTTGTGAGAGACGTCGACACGACTTTGGCTGCTCTTACAACCAGAAAACACATCAAGACTGCTGGATAAACTGCTGAAAAAGAGAACTGACCTCTTTTATCTATGGCTCCTTTTATAAATAACCTTCAAAGGCACCCTGGTTTTCTCTTTTGTTTGTTCTCATCTAGATGTTTAGTCTGGAGGGGACTCTCACAGCCTGGATTCACTGGGGGTCTTCACTCTTTCATGTCACTTCCTAATCGCTCTTCTCTTTCAACACTCTCATTCTACCAGTTTTTATTTTGTATTATATTCTATTTGAGCTCTTCTTCTTCTTCTTATTCTTCTTCTCCTCTCTCAACACTCACTCCTGCTGATTCTTATTCTGTGCCACCCTCGCCTTGAGCTCATCTTCTCTTACCAGTTGCTTGACAAGACATACGGCAACCATGCTCTCTTCGATACTAAACCCAGAGGTCAAGAATGATCCGGACAGGCCGTCTCAGTCTCCCAGTAAGTACCTTTCTATCTGGCCTCTTGCTCAACAGGGCAAAACATGACGAACAGATGTCATAGCCACGATGCCCGGCTCTCCCTCTGGCGCCGTCAATCCTGGCCACGGCCCGACAAATGAATCTTTGGACATCATCTCACAAGACATGAAAACCCTCGTGAAGAAAATTCAAGATCTCCGCCATCTCGGTATAGAAGACAGCAAGATAGCCCTCCCCAAGATTTGCGTCGTGGGGGACCAGTCGACCGGCAAGAGCTCCCTGATCGAGGGAATGAGCGAGATCCAGGTGCCTAGGAGTGCCGGAACTTGCACGCGATGTCCCATGGAGATCAATCTGTCAGAGAGCGACGCTAACCAGCCATGGACCTGCCGTATTATCATTTCACGCAAGTACATGTTCGATGGCAACCGCAAAATAAAGCTCCCCAAGAAAACCCATCCTCTGGGCCCTTGGATAGAGCAAGACCAGGAAGATGAGCCTTTCATGACCTTGACGCAAAGGGACCAGCTCCAGGAGGCCATCAAATGGGCTCAACTCGCGATTCTCAACCCCAGCCGTCCTCAGCTCGAGTACGTGCCAGGACAGAATCAAGGCACCGATCCGCAGTATTATCAAGTCAAGTTTTCGCCCAACATCGTACGGCTCGATATTTCAGCGCCTGGGTTTCCAAATCTCTCCTTTTACGATCTCCCAGGAGTTATTAGCCAAGCCGAATTCGATGAAGAACGCTACCTGGTCTCTCTGGTCGAGAATCTAGTGAAAGACTACATTTCCCAAGATAATTGCATTGTCCTGCTGACTCTGCCCATGACCGATGATGCCACAAACTCCAGTGCAGCACGCCTTATTCGTGATATCCGTGGGGCCAAGACCCGGACCCTTGGTGTCCTTACCAAGCCAGATCGAACACAGTCAGGCGAATCCTTCATGCAGTGGATGGAAATACTGAGCGGCGACAAATTTGCTCTCGGACACGGGTACTATGTTGTCAGGAATAACCCCAACCCTGCAATCGATCATCATCAAGCTCGTGAGGAAGAGACTGAATTCTTCTCTTCCCACCCTTGGTCGACGGATCTTGTCAACCATCAGGGCAGGTTTGGAACCAGACAGCTGCAGACGGCGCTATCCTGTCTCCTTCTGGAACAGATCCAGGGATGTTTGCCTAGAATAATCCAACAGATCGACGAGAGAGCCGATAGCATCAATGCCGAGCTCCAGACTCTTCCCGACCCACCTGAAGCCAATATTACCTACATCCTCTGTCAAAAGCTTAACCATTTGAAGGACGAGATCCGTGCTCATATCAATGGAGGCTCAGCCAAGTATCCGCTGCAGAAGATCTGGGGACATACTGCGATGGACTTCAAACGGTCTCTCTCGAAGACAAGACCTACCGTTCAGCTCCTGGCGCAAGGGGACTTGAAGATGCTCAAAGTCGACCAAGAAGAAGGGGATTCAGACTGTGAGGTTACAGTCCATCGCGCAGTGAAACGCAAGACGCCAGGCGACTGTAACACGCCTGCACCTGCTCCTCCCGTAACAGCTGGTACTACCAATGGACAGAGCAAGGAAACGGGCTATGTGACCGCTCATTTCACCCAGTTCGACAAACCGGCCAAGATGTTTCAATGGGAGGAGATTCGCGAAATCAACGAGGACTCCTACCGTGCCGGAATCCCAGACCAGACGGACCCCAAGGCCATCGAAATCATGAACCAGATGAGCGTCAAACATTGGGATAAACCCATGCTTGCGTTTCTCGGTGCTAGCCACAAGCTTGTCCTAAATATGCTGATGAAGCAGATCGACGAAGTCTTCAGAGATTACCATCAGACTAGTCTCTACCGGGAGCTGAAACTTATCATTGAAAAGTACCTGCAGAAGCTTCGCAAGGACCACCTGTTGCATGCGCAAGAAAACTACAAGATCGAGTGCCACAAACCCTTCACCATGGCAACTTCGGCTCTCGAGACAGCCACTCGGGCCGCCTACAGCTATCTTTGGAACCGGCGCCATCTAGCCAGAGCTAACAAGTATATTGAAATGCAAGGCAAATACGCCGCTGATAATCCGAGACGCGAAGCCGAAATGAAGAAATTGACGGATGCGGAGTTGGGTCCCGACATGTTTGCCCAAGAAGTCAAGATGATGGCTGTAAGTCGTGCTTCTCTTTCGTTTACAGATTCAAACAGGAAGCCTGGCTGACATCACTCTAGACCACTCGCGGGTACTATGAGATCGCCAGTTCCCGCTTCGTCGATTCGATTTGCCAGAGCGTGCATACCAAACTGTTTTCCAAATGTCGTGAGGAGCTTATTACGGTCATCGAAAAAGAGCTCGGGATTTTTGAGAATAACGGTAGGAGGAGAGAACGAAGCCGTACGGTTTTTGATGACGATGCTAACCTTGATAGCAATGGAACGATGTCTAGAATTGATGGCCGAGGACCCCGAACGCCAACGCCGACGCCAGAACCTCCTCAAAGAAAAAGAGAAAATAACAAAGGCCCAGGAATGGCTCGCGACGGCTAAGAAGCACGACGACGATGAAATGAGTGATAGGGAGGATACCATTCATCGGCTTATGAAAGCACAAGCTGCCGACGAAGACGGAACGTTTCCCGACATGGATTTCCGCGAGTGACAGTTTGAGTTATTACTGATTAGGACTTGACTGGTTAAAAGGTTTCCACTGCTGGTGGTCAAGGTTGGGTTTGGTTGTTCTTGCTGTGTTCCTGGGATCTGTACGATTTTTTTTGCTCTGATTATTTGGATCTGCCATCAACAATTAGTTCGGCAAGAGAATATTAAATCCTCATTGCCACAAGGACAGCTACATAATATCAGCTTCGTCTTCTTCTTCTTCTTCTTCTTCTTCTTCTTCTTCTTCTATTTTCCATATAGCTCTGCTGTTTATCTCTTTATCACGAACGAAAGCGGCCGAGGCGGGGTAAAAAGCCCCCCCCACCTTGCTGCCCTATGCCCTAAGCCCCATTTGAGAAAATCAGCACCGAGAGAGCATTTGGGAGGGAGAAAGACAGGACAATAGGAATGAAAAGAATAGAAAAGAGATTCTCCGAGTCAATCAGGTGGCATTGGGCGTAGAATTTGCCGCTTGGCAAGGGTTTCAGGAGCCAGTTCGGTGGTGCTGGTGGTTGTTAGGAGTTCAGATGAGTCAAACCCGAAATTTCGAGCAGAGACTCCCGTAGTCGTACCCACCAAGCACTCTCTTTCTTCTTGAAGATAATTCCGGAACTCCAACCCCTCATCAGACCATCTACAACAGGCGAACCGGTCGATTGCAAGCACACACAATGGCCGACAACGCAGTTCAGGATGCCGAGGCCTCCATGGCCAATCTTTTGCTCGATGAGGTCACGGGCGAGAAAGTCTCCAAGAGCGAGCTGAAGCGCCGCCAGAAGCAGCGTGAGAAGGAGGCCAAGAAGAAGGAGAAGGAGGCTGCTGCGCCGGCCAAGGCGGAGAAGAAGGTCTCTGCTGAAGAGGAGGAGGCGAACCTTACCCCCAACGTGAGTAATGTGTTGTGGTTGTGGTTGTGGTTGTGGTTGTTGTTGTTTTTTTTCATGGCGTTGGTATGTCTTATTAACTCTCCTTCTTTTCTAGCAATACTTTGAGATCCGCAGCAATCGAATCAACAAGCTCCGCAGCACCAAGCAGCCCGATCCGTATCCTCACAAGTTCCAGGTGACGGCCGACCTGCGTGAATACCTGAAGGAGTATGAGAGCCTCGCTAAGGGCGAGACCAAGCCCGAGGTCAGCGTCAGCATTGCCGGCAGAGTCTACACCAAGCGCTCCTCCGGTGCCAAGCTGATTTTCTACGATATCCGGGCGGAGGGTGTCAAGGTCCAGGTCGTGTGCCAGGCGCAGAACGTCAAGGGCGACGTCGATTTTGAAGCCCAGCACGAGAACCTCCGACGAGGCGATATTGTCGGTATTGTCGGCTTCCCCGGCCGCAGTAACCCCAAGAACAGAGCCGACGGAGAGCTGTCCATCTTTGCCACAGAGGTTGTCCTGCTGGCGCCGTGCCTGCATGCCATCCCCACGGAGCACTTTGGCTTCCAGGACAAGGAGCAGCGCTTCCGCCAGCGCTACCTCGACCTGATCATGAACGACCGCTCGCGCAACGTCTTCGTCACCCGCTCCAAGATTGTCAAGTACGTGCGTGATTTCCTGGACAACCGTGACTTCGTCGAGGTGGAGACGCCCATGATGAACGCGATTGCGGGCGGTGCCACCGCGAAGCCCTTTGTGACCCACCACAACGACCTGGACATGAACCTCTTCATGCGTGTCGCTCCCGAGCTGTACCTGAAGATGCTGATTGTCGGTGGCCTTGAGCGTGTGTACGAGCTGGGCCGCCAGTTCCGTAACGAGGGTATCGACCTGACCCACAACCCGGAGTTCACCACCTGCGAGTTCTACTGGGCCTACGCCGACGTTTATGATGTCATGAACCTGACCGAGGAGCTGGTCTCGGGACTCGTCAAGCACATCACTGGCGGCTACGAAACCACCTTCCACACCCAGACGGGCGAGGTCTACAACGTGAACTGGAAGGCTCCCTGGAGGCGCGTGGAGATGATCCCCGCTCTGGAGGAGGCGACCGGCGAGAAGTTCCCGCCGGGCGACCAGCTGCATACCGCGGAGACCAACGAGTTCTTGAAGCGCGTGCTGAAGAAGACGGGCGTCGAGTGCTCCCCGCCGATGACCAACGCCCGCATGCTCGACAAGCTGGTCGGTGAGTTCATCGAGGAGACCTGCGTCAACCCCACCTTCATCACCGGTCACCCGCAGATGATGTCCCCCCTGGCCAAGTACCACCGCCAGAACGTCGGTCTGTGCGAGCGCTTCGAGGCCTTTGTCTGCAAGAAGGAGATCGTCAACGCCTACACCGAGTTGAACGATCCCTTCGACCAGCGCCTGCGCTTCGAGGAGCAGGCTCGCCAGAAGGAGCAGGGTGATGACGAGGCACAGCTCATCGACGAGAACTTCTGCACGAGTCTGGAGTACGGTCTCCCCCCGACCGGCGGCTGGGGTATGGGTATCGACCGTCTCGTCATGTTCCTCACGGACAACTACAGCATCAAGGAGGTCCTGGCCTTCCCCTTCATGAAGGACGACAAGACCGCCCACGATAACAAGCCGGCAGCTGAGGTTGTCGGCATTGAGCCCAAGCCCGAGGAGGGAATTCGTAAGTAGAAGAAATCATATCTCCCTACTTTTATTACCTACTGGCTGACTGGTTTCTATAGCCCACAAATAGATGCAGCGTTTGACACAGCATTGATGCTCAGACATAAGAATCATGATGAACAACACTATTAAAAACAGGTTCTATAAGCAATATGCATGAATGAAATTAAAATGAAGTTATTCCCAGGGCTTGATTAACAATGGAGCCTTGAAAAAGAAAATTAATGCTAGAAAGCAGATTTATTAAGCTGTCTTTAGCTGATTCTATGCTTCTGCTTATACTTTTATAAAACTTGTAGTCACTATTCACTGCTCCCTTTATACTAGTGCTTATTAAAGATTTCTTCTTGATATGCATGCAGCCATTGTCTGACAAAGAGGTCATCTGCCGTCTGTGGTATATAAATCTCCTTCTCTCCCCCAACTTGTTCCTCTCTCCATATCTTCTATATATACTCTACTTCTATTTATACTCACCCACAAGTCTTTTTTTTATAAGTACTCATGGCTATTCGCAACCAAGTTTATTCCATATTGTCGCGTGATGGCTGTACTATCCTGTTATCAAGCCAGGTCAATCGCAGCTCGCTGAAGCGATCGAAGTCGCCCACATTTACCCCTATTACCAATACCAGAACTTTTGGAACTTTATGACCTGGCTCTGGAGTGCAGGCTAGTCTTCATTCATTTCGACTCCGAAACCAGGTTGCTCCTTCTTTCTGTCTATCAGATTATCAACGGATCATTCAGACCAGAGATCTCCCCGATTCCTATCGACCTAAGGCGGCCCCGAATGACTGGTGGTATCAATAACTCACTCTGTACGTTCTATAGCTCTTTCGCTCTCGAGGGCACATGGGTTGGTTTCCCTGCCACCAGAAAATTGTGAGAGTTAATCCTTCCATTATCCTGCCGCTATAACTGACCCGGTTGTTGCAGATTCTTTCTGCTGTCTGCACCTGCGTTAAAAGTCCCAGATGCTCTGTTGGTACAGCCTTTGCGGTCGTGGAGGCAGACAAGAGGTGAGTATCTATATCACTACTGATATTACAATGAGTTGAACTGATGTAACTTGGTCAAAGACCCCACAGTGTTTACGATGTCATGTACAATGCACCCGCTATAGCGCAAAGACCCTTAGAGGGATTCAATCAGGTTTTCAAAGAAATTCTCTTCGGACTACAAATCTTTCCGAGTCACTGCTTTTTTTCTCCGGAAACCGGTCATTGACGTTCGGTGGTGGCAGTCAGAATCACAGCTCCCGGGGACGTGTAGATTATCCTTACACTTGATATTTATCAAACGCAAGGAGATTACCTTTGAGAAATGGGGGGTTTATCTATGATATGGGTACTCTCATAAGAGGCTGGCCAGACTAATATTCACACCACCAATCTAGGCCGTCTCTCCATCGACTTCAAGGATCTCTTTCTTCGAAATACATATAGACCAGAGTGTCAAGCGCAAATTGTAGTTATTGTGTTTGTTGTGAATACTAATTGACCATGAATAATAAGAACGTATCTGGTTCTTGGCTTTGGATCATAAACCAAAGCGCGCCCAGACTGGGTTTCATGGGCATTTATAGGCCTCCTGCATGACTTATCACACTGTCACATACTCTGTCGTAGTGAATTATTCTATTAATCATATTACAACACTACTGCAAATGACCTCATCTGCCTTCTTTTTATTACAATTTAGAGGCTAACCCTCTAGAAGCATAAGAAATCATTCACTAAAATAGCTTGCGTGTACAAATTTTGATTTAATCCGCCATGAATGTCCTGCCTCCACCAGATTACCCTCCCGTCAAGCCAAGCGAGTATCCCCAAGTCCCAGCTCGAACGCTACCCGCGACACTTGAACAATTGCATGCCTTTTGCGCCAATGGCGACTACCAGAAGTTCCGGGAGATTCTTGACTTGGCAAGTTCTTCACCGGGGGACTTTGACATATGCGACTTCAATGCGGTAATGATCGAAGCCATCAAACGAGACGATGCGCAGTTGATAAAAGAGCTTCTTGATCGCGGCTTGCCCATAGATCCGCTCTATGCATTGGAAGCTATCAAAGTGAAGGGTAAGAATGCTCTGGATATCTTCCTTCAAAACGGGTGGGACATCAACCAGCCATTGAGCGAGCTTAAACCTCCTGTGCTAGGGTGAGACTCATGATCCCTCAATATCTTCGAAAATTTACCAGAGACAACATTGTAACATTTGCTCAGGTATGCTATTGAAGATGAGGAGATGACAGCTTGGCTCCTTGCTCATGGAGCTGACCCCAATCGTCAATGCGTTATTGATCTTACCCCATTTTCTTTTGCTGTTGAAAACGCCCCTGTTTCTATAATCCGCCTCATTCTCAGTCGTGGTGGAGATGTTCAAAAGGGCAAACTCCTTCATCATGCAATGGAACGGCAGTCGGAGACCATCGAGGTCTTAAAACTTCTCATCGAAAAAGGAGCACCTATCAATTCAACCATGTACGAGAATCATTATCCTTCTCGGGCATTATTCCAGTTTATGGGTCTCGGGACACCTCTCCACAAAGCAGCTGCGCTTGGCAGAGTGGATGTAGTTCGTTACCTGATCGGCGAGGGAGCCAACCAGAGTATCAAAGATTCAAATGGTCGTACAGCTATGGAGTGTGCGCAAATGTTGAACCAGTGGGAGGTCGTCGAGACATTACAGAATGGGAAGTAGCTCGTCTATTGTTTAAACCTTTTTAGTCAGCGATCTATCTGTCTTGATTGTGTTGAGGTTGCATACTCCCTGAAGTATGGCAGTACTTGATATATTAAATACTGCTATATCCATTTCATCCACCTAGTCTGTCGCCTTGACATCTGTGTAGTCGATGGATTCAATCTTATTGTTGGGTGTCCTCCTTTTCCCAGGGAAATCTGTTCAGTCGCTTCAATCTCAGCGTAAGGAGACATGAACTACATGCTTTTCTCTTCGTATTAGTAAACGATCAACTTTGATAGGTACTTGCATAATCACATATCAATTTATTAATATTTTTTCAACTGTATCCATTCCCAGTGAAAAGACACTGCAGTTCCCATGGCAGTTATAAGCTCTGGGTACCGGGTACTATGCGATTTTGTCGACATTGACCTGCTGTTGGTTAGTATGCCACTTGAACTTTCTGAAACTTCGCAAATGCTCCCAGAAGCCATATTGTTAGATATTGGTGTGAATTGTATTTCGAAGTCGTGCCTCAAGTGAATTGACTGGATGCCATCCCGCTTGTACAGAAGAGGCTAGTCCGACAGACTGACAGCTTGGTTCTATTCCTTAAATAGAGTAGTCTGAGTCCCCTGTTTATTAGTAAGCAGCTACAGTCAACAGCACCTCCAGCTCGAGCACCTGCCAAACTTCTTGTTTTATGGCTGTAATCAAAGGGAAATGGCACCCTGGTTATTTCATTCTGGAACTACGGATCACTATCTCAGGTATTGTACAAAAAAAGGTCAAGAAGAAAGACCAAATGCTGATCCAATACAGAAACACAAGATCAAAACCAGATAACTAGGTATCACCAGACCTGATCATGTCAAAAACACCTGTCATTTTCCTTTTTCAGGGCAGAACCAACCGATCTCATCCGCAAACACAAGTGCTGGGATGAGCTCGTCATAAGAAGTCAGAGCTTGAATTAATGCGTGTCCTTTGGCTTGTTTTTGGGCCCCTCGAAGATGCGTTCGTTCCAGTTGATGGAAGATGCTTGACCCTGTGTATTTTCCTGAGGGCGCGAGCGGTCAGAGCCGACTGCTGCCTGGTTCCGGATGGGGGACATGCTGCGACGACGAGCCGGAGGAGGCGCACGACCCTGTCTGTTTGGTTCAAAGCCCGGCCGTCCACCGCTTGACTGGGGCTGGTTCAGAGGCCAGTGACCGGCAGCCAATTCCTGGTATTTGCCCAGCTCGGTAACCCTGTTAGGATGGAGCGACAAGATATCGAATGAAGGGGACTGGACTGGCATGCGAGGAGCCCAATAGCTTTGCATGTTTCCCTGGAAACCGGTCTGCTCCTGGCCGACATGAACCTGACCGTGGATGGAGGGTGTGTCCTTCGGCGGATGAGTCTGCCCACGATATGACCAGGCCTTGCTGGGGTCCGAATATTCGCCACCAGAATTTGCCTGGCCCATACCAGAAGGCACTTGCTGTGTGCGAGGAGGCACACGACTCTGAGTTGTCTGCTGAGCATACAACTGGCTAGTACCGGGCATGGCGTGGCTCGAAACGGGAGGCATTGGTCGCATGCGAGAAACTGAATAACCAGGAGCATGATACTCTGCACGCATCTGGGCGGCGCCGGGCATTTCCTGGCCTTGAAAGCTCCCCATCTGCTGCGAGCGACCAGGCCACTGGCCCTGAGTGTTGTATTCGGCGTGCATGTTGTTAAAATTTCCCGCATCCTGGCCCCGAACTGGAAGCCTCTGTTGCTGGTAGTGGTGCTCCCCCCATCCAGGCATGCCAGGAATGAGATACTCGAATCGCACCTTGGAAGCATCGGCCATGGCCATATCCTGGCGTTGAGACAGGTAGGAGTTCTGCATGGCGGCATACATGCGATCCGACATGCCTTCATGATAGCCATTCTGGTCAGAAAAAAACATGATTTGGTTCTGGGCGTGGGAGGAAAGCGGCTGGGAATGAGGCGCATGCCCCTGTGCACCAACAAAGGAACCAGCCGGGCGATGCGAGCCAAGCCAGGGTCCAGGCAAATAGTGTCCTGCTTCTCTGCCGGGGACGGAATTGGCACGGCCTTGGGTGTAGGACATTGACTTTGGGAGATGGGGTACATGGCCCAGCATCTCGGTCCAGTGAGGTTCTCTGTCCGGCTGATTCTTCGGCAACCAGGGCATAGTGAAAGCACGATCCGACTCCGAGTGGAATGGATCGGGGAGTCTAGGGTCATATATGGGAGGGAGTTGAGGACGAGGGGAGGCTTCATGGGAACCAGCCTTTTCCAGTCTTTCTATTCTTTCAAGGATGGAGTCAGCTTCCTTGCGGATCGATAGCAGAATATTTGCGGCCTCCTGAGCTTCGGTATCGACTTTTGTACTGCTGGCATCGGTCATTTCAGTGTCTGTCGCCTTGACATCGATGTCAGTCATGGTGGTATCGATCATCTGTCCGTCTTTCCACATGGATGGATCTAGGATGGTTGAGTCACTGCTGTGGTCGCTTTCGTGGCCATCGCTCTTCTCTCTGTCGCCTTTGGACTCTTTGACTTCTTCGACTTCCTTGCTTTCAATGTCTCTCTCTTCTTCTTCGTCCTGCTTCTTTGACTTGGCAGGCTGTTTGCGTTGCTGCTTCGGGGCTGGCATTTTCTTTTTACCTCCGCCTCTGGTCTGGCGTGGAGGGTTAGTCCGAGTGGCTCGCTGAGTACTACCACGAGTCAAACGTGTGGCAGCCATCTTGGTTGTTGTTTCATTCTTTGCAGCAGGCGATGTGGTAGGCTCGCTGCTTAGCAAAGACTCAGAGTCCGACACGCTATTGCCGGTAGTGTCGTCTTTGGTAGCGCCGCTTTCTTCGGTCTTCTTGGATGTCTTTTTATCAGTGGCTTTTTCATCGCCGGCATCCTTCTGGGCAGTCTCGCGGGCGGATACTTCAGCTGCGACACCGCCTGGTTCCTTTCTCATGCAGTCGAGACAAAGCTGGATACCACAGTCCAGGCAGCGAATATGCAAATCTATGGTGCGTTGACCACATTCATCACAGACAGCCGACCTGACTGTTACCAGCCTTGTCTGGTGATGAAAGTGTTGTTTACGAGGCATGCTGCCCCTAGGGTATTCAATCTCAGAATACCTACAGTCAGGTCTCCTAGAAGGAGTTGACTATATTGTCTTAGTCCATCTATCTATGATGAGCTTAGAAGAAATCCTTACCTTAGAGAGACTGCCTTCACAGCCAGGTAAGGGAGATATCAGAGAGATGATTTGAGAAAGATATCAGATAAAGGATCAAATGAGGATAAGGAAAAGATGATAATCACAGCAACCCATCTACTCTCTTTAGCTAGAGATGCTATCTTAATGGACAACAGTTGAAGAAGAGACAAGATAGAATCTTGATCGGTAGAGAAAAAAAAAGTGCGAGAGAGAAGGAGGAGGGAGGGGAGGGGAGAGGGGGGAAGTGAGAGAAGTCAAGTGAGCGAAGCCAGCTGCTGCAAACATGAAGTAATCAGTGAATTTACACCAAAGTTTTCTTTCTTCATCAGATCTGTTTGACAAAGGGTACATTCACTTCAGGACATCTTTTGTGGGTGGAATTCTAGATCAAAGTGGCCTCTTTATGCTACTACTACTGTATGTTTCCTACCCGCAGGTTGGGGTCTTCTATAGCAACTGGGGTTTAGCTGAATTGGTAGACTGAAACTTCAAATAGGCTATCACCGTAGAAAGCGTTCGAGAATCTTTACATTCAGATGCAACTCGATTCAAATAGAGAAACAGGATCCTGCAAGCAATTACCGCTGGGGCTGTGAGAGCGGTCTAGGATGGGGGTTTACACACTTTCTACGGGCATACAGCACGACTTATTCAAAGGTATTTGATTTGTATAATACACACAGGGTTCTACCTGCCAATCTATGAATGGAGATGATATAGTAAAACAGGACTTCACGAAGACGACATAGAGAGAAGAAGGTCGTCGACGGAGAGGAACAAACTTGAAAGCAAGAGCACACGAGCTCCCGAGAAAAAAAAAGCCATCTGATAATCTTATAGGCTCTTGGTCGTAGTGGCTGCACGGGAAACCTGGTGGCCCCGTGCCTTGGCAGCCATCTGGAGCAGCTTGGCGGTTCTCGACGGGTGCCAGATACGGCTGCCCAGGACAAGCACCCAGGTCAATAGGAAGAGACTGCCTGCCTGGTGGGCGGAGGCGAGCGGGGTGGGAACGAGGTAGAGCAGGGTTGAGATGCCGAGGCCGACCTGGACCCAGGCGAAGGCGACGACGCCGTGCAAGCCCTTCTTGGCGGCCGGGGGCAGGAAGCGCTTCATGTTGGGGGAGCGGCGAGCGTAAGCCCACAAAGCCATGATGCTGGTGAATGTGGTCATGGCCAGGATACGGTGATCCAGCTGGACGAGGGAAGGATTCTCGAGCATGTTGCGCCACCAGAGATCGGACTGGTCTTGGTGGCGGGAATAGCGGTCATCAAACAGTTCGGATTTGGGAGGGGCCAGGCCGTTGCCCATGAAGGGGAACTCGTTGTAGATCAAACCGGCGTCCAGGCCGGCAACGAGGCCGCCCGACATGGCGGTCACGAACACCAGGAGCGCCAGGCCGGCGACGGAGCGGCGGAAGATCTTGAGCTTGGGGTCACGCAGAGCGGCCAGCGTCTGCAGTCCTGCATCCGGATCAGCCATCAGACGGTGGGAGCGCAGGATGGCAAGGCCGTTCCACAGCATCGCAACATAACACGTGAAGGCGGCCGCCAAGTGAGCCGTCAGTCGGTACTGGCTCACTCGTGGGTGACTGCCCGGCGCGAACAGGTCGTCTTTCAGCCCGGACTTGACCATCCACCAGCCCAAGAAGCCCTGGAAACCAATCAAGCCTGCGATTCCGCCGAGACGAAGGGCCATCGGCTTGGAAACTTTCTTCTTTGCCACAAAGTATACAGCCGGAAGCACAAAGGACATGCCCACGAATCGGCCCCAGAGACGGTGAATCCATTCCATGTAGTAGATCGACTTGAACTCCGACAGGTTCATATGAGGGTTCAACAGCTGAAACTCCGGCGAAGCACGGTATTTTGCAAATTCCGATTCCCAATCCTCGGCGTTCATCGGGGGGAGGGAACCGGTGACAGGACGCCATTCTGTGATACTCAGACTTGGGAAGAATTGTCAGCGTTCTGACAGGGCGATTGTTTCCATTATCGGACTGGGACGAAAGAAACTTACCCTGATTCTGTCAACCGGGTCAATCCACCAAATACGACAATGCCAAACACGCTGGCTGCACTGCCTAACAGCCAGTACGCGACCGCCTTGTCACTGATCTTAGGCAGGCTTGTCCTTGCCTTGACGGCCCCCTCTTCCACTGCGCCGACCGCAGCCGCTGTAGATACCGAGCGGAAGCTGGGCGAGAAGAATCTCTTCGACTTAGCGTTTAACGAAGAAGAATTGGCGCGAGGGGAGGCTTGAGCGAAAGAAAACGCGGTAAATCGTCTGCTGAACGGCCTCCCTCCTCCAAAGCGTTGAGTCGTCTGCAAGCATTGACGGCAGGTAAAGAAGTCCTTGGCCACGCGGGGCGCAAGGCTCCGGAACATAGGTATAGAACTTCCCATGGACGCCATGGCGATGGCACAGGAGAAAGGCTCACGCTCTGTCTAGAGTCTTGAGTCTTGAGTCTTGTCTGGCATCTGGTGCTGTCTTTTCTCTGCAGATGGTTCGGAGGTTCGGAAAGCCGAGCTTCGGGCGGTCCAATCAGCATCGTATGATTTGACGAGAATGTCTCCCTGGTGCCATTGGAGGCGGGCATGGGGATTTTTCGAATTAATTTGGTGAAACAGTAGATTAGTTGGAACTACGTAGCTAGGAATCAAATCACTAATAGGCCTAATGTGCAAGTAGGGGTATTGTAGACTCTGTGATGCCTTACTGATGCCTTTCTGCCTAAGGCATCAGGCCTAGCCCGCAACCGATCCGCCCAGCAACCGATTAATTAATTTGATCAACAATCAACCGCAGAGCTCCAGCGTTCTCTCTCAGCTGCCACCGTCTCACGAGTCAAGATGTCGTACGCGGTGGAATCGAAGAAACGGAAATTCCATCGAGTGCTCGAGTCTATATCGAAACCCTTGAGCGCGGATGCTGCGAATAAACAGGGCCCGACAACGCCGACCTCAAGAGCGCTGCCGGAGCATCTCTCACCCAACCTGTCGATCAAGAAGGTCCGGGTGAACGGTGAGACGGATCTCCCAACCGTTAGGGACAGCTTATCCAAGACCGGGAAACCAGTGTCTCGTGTGCCGTCGACGGCGTCGACAGCATCGATATCGGCGCCTCGTCCGTCTTTTGTGCCGTGGGATCGGGAGCGGTTTCTCGAACGGTTGGAGACTTTTCGGCGGGTGGACAGATGGTCGCCCAAGCCGACTGAAATTAATGAGGTCGCATGGGCTAAGCGTGGGTGGATATGCAGCGGTGTTATGCGTGTGTCTTGCGTTTCGGGCTGTGGCGGGTCGGTAGTTGTCAAGCTTCCCGACGAGCTCGATGAGCTGGACGGTTATGACAGTGAAAAGGTGCAGGAAAGAAAGGAAGTTCGTATGTGACACCTACTCTATGTCTTGGGTCGATCGGATGGTTACTCATTTTTACCAGGTGCGAAGCTCGTGGAGAAGTATGCTCAATCGCTGTCGGAGGGCCATGGCGACAAATGCCCATGGCGAAACAAAGGTTGTGACGGTAGGTCTTGATATCTTTTTTTTTGGTTTGTTTGGAAGTCTCTTTCTAACGTTATCCAGCCACCATCCACCGTTTAGACGTAACCAATCCTGATATCGCCCTCCCCAATCTTCAAAAGCGTTACTTGAACCTGGCAAAGATGGGCGATAAGTTGCCGGCGAGGGACGCCATTGAGATACCACCGGGCCTTGATCTGGAGGAGATAATCAAGATATTACCGGAAGGGTTCCAAAGGGAGTCGGAGGAAGCAAGCCATCCAGAATCGAGCGATACCACCCAGCATACAGAATCTGACAATGAACACCAAGAGCGCGAGTCTGCTGCACCCTCCTCTACGAAACCCACAGAAATCAACCGAGCTGCTTTTGCATTAGCATTCTTCGGCTGGGACTCCATATCGGACGGGGCCGCAGGTCTCGCGGGGTGTGGAGCATGCTTCCGTCGACTGGGCCTGTGGATGTACAAACCCAAGGACAACGGGGACGCGGGTGTCTACAATACCCTCGACGCGGCAAATGAGCATATGGAGTACTGTCCCTGGATCAATGGAAAGACCCAGAGCGGGAAACGGGAGTCCGCAGAGGATTCCAACGGCTGGAAACTCCTGTCTCGAGCGATCCATGTCAAACTCCGCAGGCATCTCCGCTCCATTGCCTCCATGGACACTCTCCGCACCGATGCGGACGCTGCCTCGGTCGATGGATCGGTGGTGAACGACGAAACCCAGAAGACGACTGATCGCGAGTGGTGGGCCAAGCTCCGGCGAATGCGACAGGTGCTGAATGTCCGCTCTCCAAAGAGAACCAAATCCTTGAACCCCTAACACTTTTCTTATTATTTCATGATATTGCTTGAAGCGCGGCGTCAGGGACACTGAGTTTACCTTGTGCAGTTAGATCATCTTAATGCTACCACAGTATACCCTTTTGCAATACAGACATTCTTGGCCTTGAGAAATAATATATAACCATATAACTATATACGGACCATATAAGTAAATAATATCACGTCGATCGCTCCATAAGCGGCCCAACAGGCCTCGGCTTAACTAAGCAGGTCGACAGGCCTGGAAGCCTCACCAAAGTTACGGGCAGCCAGCACCGCATGCAGACAGTCAGCGCTGGCCCTGTTCATTTGCAAGAGACCATGGGGAGACCAGCCAGGCAGAATCAACTCTCTTCCATCCCTCCTCTTCATCGTGGACAGCGACACGCCGTCGACGTCAGCCCCGGCGTCCAGTGAAGCCGGTATGTACGATCCCGCACGGGACAGCTGGGACCGCTCCCAGGATGAGGCCCGCTCTGGCCAGCCTCAGCCTTCTCACCAGCCTGGATCGTCTGCAGACGCGGAGGGGCACAGTATTCCAGTGTCGGTGAGTGGTAATTCTTTTTCATTTGAAAAAAATCATATTGTACGAGTCGCTAGACTTTTCAGAGAAGATGGAGGGCTGTTGGTTTTCTTTCTCTCTGTGATCTGCTCTGGTTGCTGCTTTATGTGGATCCCAACCGTCACACCGACATGGGGGGATTCACGATTGACTAAGATTTTATTTTCGCCTTGAACTGCTCCGTACAATTCAATTTGTTGCTAGCTTAGGCTTACTTGGACGTTCCACTGACGACTCGCTGGTTGATTGCCGCCGCCCCTTTCCCTAGACTTCGAGTTCTCACAAACGTCACTTCCCAATCCAGGGGAACTCGTCGGAAATTTCATCTCCAACTGCTGAACACTTTGCTCCAGACCGAGTGGAGTCTACAAGGGAAAGAACCTCAACCACCGAGGAGCGCGGCGTGAAATCCCTCTCTGACGCCAAACCTACACAAAAGGCTTTGCCAGCCGAACGAAAGATGGAATCCCCACGCAGCTCAGAGGCCCCAAAGTCTACTACTGACAACAAACGGAGGCTAGGAGACGAGGAGGCTTCGAGCGAGCAGCAGAAACTGGGCACACAGGCTTCAAAACGGAAGCGTCTGGAGGAGCGGCACCAGAAACTCAGGAAACGGGGGAGGACGCCTCCGTCGGTGTACTCTCGTCGCGATCGCTCCCGCAGCCCCAACAATGACACGACCACCACCCGCGACCGGAAGAGGTCGCTGTCCCCCATCGCGCCTCGTCGATCCCCCACGCCCGAGGCGCAATCCCGTCCCCGGAAACGACCTGGTGGTGGAGCCCGTATGGGCATTGCCGACCGCGAGACCTTGCGACGCCGACAGGAGGATAGAGAGCGCGCCCAGGAGGTCGAGGCGCAGCAAGCCCTTCGCGATCGGGGCGTCGCAGATGTGGTCCGTCAGCACTACAATGCCGTCCCTCAACGCGGGCGGGAATGGCGGAAGACAGAGAGCAAGATCAAGGGTCTGCGGAGCTTCAACAACTGGGTCAAGAGCTGCCTCATCCAGAAGTTCTCGCCCAGTGAGGAGTTTCTCTCCTCGCATAACGGCGGGAGAGATTGGGCGGATGGGTCCGGGCCTCCCCCCCCAGAGGAGAAACGACTTCTGGTCGTGGATCTCGGCTGTGGCAAAGGTGGTGATCTAGGCAAATGGCAGCAAGCTCCGCAGCCGGTCGACCTATACGTCGGTCTGGACCCGGCGGAAATTTCCATCGACCAGGCTCGCGACCGGTACAACGCTATGCGCTCCGGCCGCGGCGGCTCCCGCGGACGGCCACGCCAGCCTCTCTTCCACGCCGAATTCTGGCCCAAGGACTGCTTTGGCGAGTGGCTCGGGGACGTGCGTATCGTGCAGGAGGTCGGCATCGATGGGAACGTTGGGCCTGGGGGTTCGCTCATGAGCTCTCGCTGGGGCGGCGGCGGCTTTGACGTGGTTGCGTCCATGTTCACCATGCACTACGCCTTTGAGAGCGAGGAAAAAACGCGTCAGATGCTTCGCAACGTGGCCGGCTGTCTGAAAAAGGGTGGCCGGTTCCTGGGTGTCGGCCCCAACTCCGATGTGATCACCGCCAGAGTGGCGGAATTCCACGAGAAGAGAAAGGCCCGCGAGGCGGCCAAGCGGGCAGCGGCCGAGGCCCCAGAGGACGGGGAGGTTGAAGAGGAAGACAAACGTCCCGAATGGGGGAACGATATCTACCGCGTCCGATTCCCCGGCGAAACTCCAGAAGACGGCATCTTCCGCCCCCCGTTCGGATGGAAGTATAGCTATTTCATGCAGGAGGCCGTCGAGGAGGTTCCTGAATACGTGGTTCCCTGGGAAGCGTTCCGAGCGTGGGTCTCCCATTTTCTCTCTCTCTGTGTGTGTGTGTGTGTGATGATAGACAGTTTTTACTGACCAGGACAGGCTGACTGAGGACTACAATCTGGAGCTGCAATACCGCAAGCCATTTCTCGAGATTTGGAAAGAGGAAATGAATGATCCTGAGCTGGGTCCTCTGAGTGAGCGGATGGGCGTTCGAGACCGCAGCACCGGTGCTCTTTTGATGACTGACGAGGAGAAGGAGGCAGCCAGTAAGTATCTCCCTTTCAGTATCCCTCCCTCCTTTGACAATATCTAATATTTCAGACTTCTACCATGCATTCTGCTTCTACAAGGTCTAGGCGTTGACACTCTGAGCATGCACTTTGCTTTCGCTGACACTGAATGTACCATAATCTCTCTTGTTGTAAATTTAACCATATTACTAAACCAATACAACAGATTGATCTTTCAAGATGGAATAAAGAAGTAGAAAACCCGACTTAGCCTGAGGCATGAAATATATCCCTAAATAGACTAGCGCGTCGCGTCGGCGTCGCGCTGCGATAACCTGAAAGAGATTCTCTTATCGACGACATACAAAGAACCGGGGGAGACTTATTAGGCCTCGAGGGACGGAGAGCTTGTCCTTCTTTCATCACACCGGGAAGTCTATACACACCTCTCCTTACAACGCATCATGTCTGCAACACCGGGCTCCTCGCGACGCCCCCGCACGCACCACCACCACCGTGAGGGCAGCAGTCGCGCACCGCCCATGGCCCCAGAGTACGAGAGACCGATCGCACCGCTCAACGCCGCGGGCCAGCGCGCGCTGTCGATGCATCTGCAGGCGCACTCGCTCTCGCGGCTGAAGAAGCATATCCAGCATGCGGAAGAGAAACTGACTGATTCCGCGGGGGAGATTAACGAGCGGTTGACGGATGCGCGGTACCGGTATCGCAAGGAGGAACAAAGAAGGCGAGAAAACGAGGGTATTTTTCTTTTCTTTTTGTTTTCCTGAATACTTACTCCTTATACCTATAGAGTTGAACTGAATATTTTAGGCTCGGAAGAAGAAGGAAATGACGAAGACGCAAATCAGCAATCACTGCAGCGGATCGCCGCGATGGAACAACAGGTGACCTCGACCTCGGAGAAACTAGAAGAGCAAATGCGACAGATTGTCGACGCAGAGGTGAAGCTAGAGAGTCTATCGAGTATCGTGCACGAGCTGGGAGCCGAAGCCGAGACGACCGCGATCCAGCTCCAGCAAGCACGGCGGCGCCAACGGACCCGACGACAACGAGAAGATGAAGACGGAGATGAAGACGGAGAGAGAGAGGAAGAGTCCGACGAGAACTACGAAGGCACCCCGGAGCGCGAGGCACGCGACAACGCCCGCAGGAACCCGCCCAGCCAACAGCTCGTGGACAAGCTTGCTGCGCAGTCGGCGCGATGGGAAAGCCTATCACTTACAGAGAGGTATTCCACTGAGCTTATATATGTATGTATATTTTGCTAAGTGTCAAGGTATACGACGAACAACGCATACATCGGGTTCTACCGGATCGTACACGAATCGAAACATCCAAGCGACGAGATCCCCCCCGTCCCCAATGCGTCGACGTGGTTCGCCCACGTAGAAGAGAGTGTACCGACCAGCAATGCAAGACGGACGCGAAGAAACCAGCAAGAAACCGATTCAGACGACGACTCGGAGATCGCCATCGAGCGCGAAAAGACCTCGTTGACCTGTCCGTTAACCCTGCGCACATACGTCGACCCCGTCAGTAGCTCGAAATGTCCGCATAGTTTCGAACGCTCCGCTATCCAAGATATGATCAATGCCAGCTCGTCGACTATCTCTGTTTCGGCAAGTGCAGCTACAAGTGCGGGTTCTCGCCGTCGCGTCCGTGCAGTGAAATGCCCCGTTTGCACCGTTATGCTAGCCGAAGCAGATCTACGCCCGGACCCCGTGCTACTCCGTCGCGTCCGCCGCGCAGAGGAAGCCATGCAGCGCGAAGCAGAGGAAGCAGAGTTTGACCCTGAGGGGGCCCGCAGGCGACGACGCCCCAAGGGCGGCCGCGTGAGTGGGTATACCCTTGCGAGCGATGATGTCGATCCCCACGACGACGGTTCCGACGGTGGCTCTGACGGCTCGGGCGGTGATGTAGAGGTCATCGCCGAGATGGATACGGATGACGAGCAGACCCATCTGACGCAGACCCAGCGCCAGGTCCGCATCAAGTCGGAGAGGGCCGTCTCGCGTAGCTTCAGTGCGGCGCCCAGCGAAATCGTGGACATGGATGATATGGATGTCGATACGGGGACGGATGAAGATGAGGAAGAGTAATAGTCGTCTAAGTTATGATGTTGATAATCAATACCACTTTGCATCCTACAGGAGACTGATAATTATAATGACTTTCACTGCCTATGCTTGAATGTACCTGCTACCACTGGGTATATAAATAGACCGACGCCGGACATAAGAAACCATCATACCTTGCCCAGCAAGAGATGGGCAAATAAAAAACGGATTGACACCGAAGAAACATGGCAAATCAGAAAATAAAAGACAGACACGATTAAGAATGGCTTGTCTCCTCCGAGACAGTTGTCTTCATTAGAAGACGGTTTTGTGTGATATTTTCATCTATTGCAGCATGGCAAATAGGAGCATATCTCGACACGCAAACGCAGGGACTGTGGGAACAGCCCATCTGGTGAGGGGGAGGGAACGTGGGCAGGAACAAGTCTATGCGAGACAAGAAAACCTCCAGAGATAGCGCAGGCACACTCGGCATGTAAATGCATGTCGCTTTGCATAAGAATGGCAATGGCGTTTGGTTATCGACCGAGAAAGTGGATATATCGTCGGCCAGTATTCCGGGATGCGGAAGTTTCAACCTCCATACGAAGTGATTTTGTAGTCGCAAACCGGTAGTAACTACAACTCCGTAGTTATTAGTTACTTGGAGACAAAGTTGAGATAATCGGCCACGATAAGGGTCACCATGCTATTAAAGTGGGGTTAGCCATGCATTGAAGGAACGAAGCCAAGTGGGGGGGACTCACGCATGGGGAGCGATCCGGACGTAATAAGTGCCGAACCCACGATAGAACCTCAACCAACCCTCATCGCGGGCGACCTTGCGAGCACAATCAAATAGACCCTTGTAGGGTAGCTGGCCGGTCTTGGGATCGCGTTGTTGTTTCTGGAGGCGGGTCTTGACAAAGTCAAAGGGCAAGGAGAGGAAGCTGGCGAAGAAACCGGCGATGCCGGAGGCGACAAAGGTCTGGTTGGTGGAGGAAAGAGTGGTGTGCGCTTTCAGCTGAGCCTTGGACTCTGAGAAGAAGGCCAGCTGGCCAAAGTTGAGGGCCATGGCGCGCACGACGGTCGGAGAGGCACCGGCCCACAGGGCACCGACGCCCTCTGCCTTGGAGATGCGGGTAAGGGCGTCGACGACCGAGCGGTAGTTGGCGCGAGCCTCGGGCGGCTTCAAGCCATCAGACTGCATACGAATGAGGGCCAGATCGGCTGGGTTGCCGATCATGGCCGCAATGCCGCCGGCGGCCAGGCCGGCGGCTCCCCGCTCGGCGAAGGTGATGTTACGGTTAGCCTCAGCGGCCCGCTTGTGCAAGGCGCCCATGAAAGTGTCGAAGAATCCCAGACGGGCGGTGGTGTAGACAGCTTGACGCAGCAGACCTGCCGAGAGACCGGTGTAGAGGTCTAGGACCTTGCCAGAAGCGATGATGTCGCGCGCGACCCCCAAAGGCGTGGGGCGCGGGCCGGTGCGGACGCCCTCGCCAGCGAGCTGCAGACGCACCTTGATCATATCGATGGGCTGGATGACGACGGTCGCCGTCATGCCTGCAAGACCGCCGTTGACAAAGGGCAAGGCGGCGCGAGTGTATGGGTGGTGCAAAATATCCGATCTGGCCTTTGCCGGGTTCTCAAAGGCATTTCTGGTGACCTGTCTGGCTGACGCAGCGGCGTTACTAGCAGATTCTTTCACGGTATTGGATGCCATATTGAAGACAATTCAGTATATCGATCTAGATAGTATAGTTCAATGAATATCAGCACTTGGTACACTGTAGCTAGGTGTAGCTTATAAATGAAGAACGACTAACCGTAACGTCAGTATTAGTTGTCGGAAAGCTTAACCGGATGACGTATTGGTAGGTAGTAAAGAAGGACTCGAGCTTGACAACTTGACTTGACAAACTTGACAGACTTGACAGACTTGACAGACTTGACAGACTTGACAGACTTGACAGATTTCGACTAGACGAGAAAGAGAGAGAGAGAGAGAGAGAGAGAGAGGATAAAGAGAAGAGGGGAACAGGAGGCGTGTTTGGTTCTTGTACCAGATCACACGACGGGAGGGGAACCAGTCAAGTTGAGGAAGGAACTTAATATGGACGGATCTGCCTAATCTGGAAGGAGCGATGGGAGCTGACCTTGTTTTATACCAACACTTTCTACTAATAGATAGTACTTATAGTATAATAGACATTACTTATAGTGTAATAGTACTAATAACTAAAGAGGAGTACGTATACAGCTGCTAAGAAAGTTTATACACCTGGTATACTCCTAGGTACTCCCTACTACTCCGTAATGTCAAGCTTCTAGCGAAATCGCATTTGCCTCTTCTCCACACTCCATCATCATTACGTGGGCCCAATCAGGACGAGGGTGTTACAATGGTGGGGACCAGCTGGTGAGGACTCTTAAATACTACTCCGGTTATTGGACATGGAGTTACTATGTAGTTACTATGTAACTAGTAGTTAGTAGTTAATAAACCGAACTATGCGGGGCACCGACATGTGAGATCTGCAGGTAACTAGAGTACAGAGTACGAAGTACTATTAAATATACCGGTGGTAGTTCTACTAATACTATTACTACTATTACTATCACTATTCTACTAGTCTAAATATCTTACTGCTATTTATTTAAATCAAGTCTCATCCATGAGCCCCACAACTACCTCTAGTAACGGGCCTATCCTGATACTAAATAGTACTAAATAAATAGGAATACCTACCAAATACCTATATCTATGTTGCATCCTGCAGGATACATACATCATACCTAGTAATAATGTCTATGAACTATGTACTACTACTATGTATACCTAGTCAATTCTGTAGTATCTACATTACACACAGTACCACTTCAGTAAACCCTCTATCTCCTGGCCTCCGTCCGTCCGACCGAGGTAGCTACAGAGTACAGGTGGTGAGTTACAACCAGGTACCCCGGACTCATTCCGGAGCAGAGTCCTCCGATGTCAGATAGTCAGATATTCAAGTATGGAGTACGGAGCAAATTCTCCATACCCCGTATATTATCGGACGAGACTCGGACAGGGTATCGAAGTACCTAGCTTCTTCAGACGCTCCGGACCAGTCAGCGCTCCGCGTGGCCTGCAGCTGAATTGAATTATTCCGCCTTATCGGATCGACCTACGTCTACTACAACCTAGTAGTAGGTACTAGGTACTATTGGTATGGAGAAATAAGCGAGCGTCGATTGGACGTCGTTCTCGGAGATCTCTCGGCTATGCCTTGGATTCACTAGTCTGTGGTTTATTGCGACTTCGGCACTCCGTCTTCGGATGTTCATTTACCTACTCTAGTAAGATTAATGTTGGGAGAATACTGGTAATGTACCTAGGTAGTATTGAGACAAGTGTTACAGGAAGTAGAAGTACAGTATCAACTGCTCGGTCTGTAAGATATTCAAGTTTTGGATTCTAACGTGTTCATGTAGCTAACTAGCAAGTCTTGGACCAACGCGCCATGCAGGGAATCAAGAAACAAGAAGACAAGAAACAACATAGGCGACATAAAAAAAAAAAAAGACAAGGTAAAGAAGAAGAAGAAGAAGAAGAAGAAGATTAAACGACAGGCCCCGCAGCAATGACTTCCGGGGTGGCCTCGTCGGCGTACTTTTTAAAGTTCTCGTTGAAAAGCCGGCCCAGCTTGCTGACCTCGTCCTCGAAGCTGGTCGAGGCGGTCCAGCTGTTGCGCGGGTTGAGCAGTTCGCTGGGGACCCCGGGGCAGGTCTTGGGCACGTGCAGGTTGAAGACCTCGTACGTCTCGTACTCGACGTTGGCGAGCTCGCCCTTGTGGATCGCGTCGAGGATGGCGCGCGTGTACTTGAGCGGGCAGCGCTTGCCGCCCGTCGTCGCACCGGCACCCACCCAGCCCGTGTTGAGCAGCCAGGCGTTGGCCTTGTGCTCGGAGATCTTGTCGGCCAGCATACGCGCGTACCGCATCGGGTGCAGCGCCAGGAAGGGCTGCGCGAAGCACGACGAAAACGTCGCCTGCGGCTCCGTCACCCCATCTTCCGTCCCCGCCATCTTGGACGTGTAGCCCGAAATGAAGTGGAACATGGTCTGCTCCGTCGTCAGCTTCGAGATCGGCGGCAGCACCCCGCGCGCGTCGCAGGTGAGCAGGATGATGTTCGACGGGTGCTTCTCGCTCAGGCACGGGATCTTGGCGTTCTCAATGTACTCGATCGGGTACGCGCAGCGTGTGTTCTCCGTCAGCGTCGAGTCGTCGTAGTCCACCATGCGCGACACGGGGTCGAACACCACGTTCTCCAGCACCGATCCGAACCGGATCGCGTTGAAAATATCCGGCTCCTTCTCGGCCGACAGACCAATGCACTTGGCATAGCACTATTTTGTTAGAATTTGAATAAGGAAAGGACTCAAGGGGGGAAAAAAAAGAAGAAAAACTTACTCCACCCTCAATGTTGAAGACACCACGGTCCGTCCAGCAGTGCTCGTCGTCACCGATCAGAGCACGTTTAGGATCAGCAGACAGGGTAGTCTTGCCGGTTCCCGACAGACCGAAGAAGACAGTGACGTCGCCGTCGACACCCTCGTTGGCGGATGAGTGCAGAGTCAAGACGTTGTGCTTGACGGGCATCTCGTAGAAGAGGATGGTAAAGACACCCTTCTTCATCTCACCGGCATACTCGGTACCGAGGATGACCATCTCCTTCTCGGCAAAGTTGATAGCGACGGAAGTGGCAGAGGTCATGCCTTCTGTGAAGCGGTTGGCCGGGAACGAGCCAGCGTTGTAGATGACATAGTCTGGGTGGAAGTGCGCCAGCTCCTCGGTCGTCGGACGGATGAGCATGTTGCGCATGAACAGGGCATGGTAGGCGCGCGCGCACACGATGCGCACGCTGATCCGGTACCGCTCATCCCATCCAGCGTACCCGTCGATGACATAGATCCGGTTGCGAGTGTTCAGGTAGTCGACTGCACGCTCACGGTTGATGCGCCATACCTATATGTATATAACTGTTAGTCGGAGAAACCACGGCACGTGACCGAAAAGAATGCGGGGGCCAGGGTCGGAAAATCACGCAGGCCAGGCATTTCCCATAAATGCCTCATGAGATATTTTTTAATGCCTCACTATTTTTTTTTTGAAGAAGAAGAAGAAGAAGAAGAAAATATCTCATGTCACACAACAGGCAGCATCAAGGGAAATTGATGGAAAAAAGCTTGACTGGGCCACATCTGCAAGGGGGATCTTCAAGTGGGCCGCAGCTGCACGGACAGGGGGGACAGTATAGCAGGAATATAGCAGGAAGCAAACAGATGTTATAGGAAAACACATACGTCAGGAGTCATGGGCTTGTTGACGGGCCCCCACCAGATCTCATTTTCCGAAGACTCTTCCTTGACAATTCGCTTGTCTGAAGGAGAACGACCTGTTTTGGCGCCCGAGTATGCGGTCAGGGCTCCGCTGGAGGTGATGGCACTGCCGGTCTCGTAGACGAGGGCATCTTCGTAGAGGGCAGCGACGGCGGGGTTAGCAATCTAGAAAGATATATGTTAGTATTCAACTCGTAACAGGGAGACGAGAAGTTCCGTACAATTGCTACACGGTCGTAGTCGATGTGAGCGGTCTCGTGCAACTCCTCCTCCAGCTCAGTGTGACCTTTGCTCGGCCTAATCAATTAGCAAGAGAAGAATAGACATAGAGTGTGTTTGTATAAGAGAGAGAGAGAGAGAGAGAGAGAGCATACTGGACACCACCAGGGTGCAGGGCAGTACGGTTGACAGATGTGGCGACCATGTTTCTGAGAGAGGTGGAATGATAGTTGTTGTTGCGCTGTTTGGCGACTTGTTGTCTCACAAAATCAGAGTAGAGAGGACCTGGAGAAGCCGGGCGAGCTGGGGGTATATGAATGCTTCTGGCAGGGGCAGTCATGGTCCAGGACGAGGTTCTAGTCCGTTGCTTTGCTCAGCTTCCCATGTGCTTTCTCCACCGTTTGCCGGGAGATGTCGGGCTGGCCGCGAGAGGTTTAGCCGTTGCAGCGATCCGACTTGACCCGATCGGGTGTAGTATGTAGTATGTAGTATACTTGGTGTATACTACTATCAGTATACAGTCATATGTTAGAAAGAGGATTTGATAGAGAAAACAGTTTCACTCCTACAATTCTCTTTTACCTCTTTTATTCTGCTTTTTTCCTTTCGAATCTACTGTTTATGACGATGGATGACTTCACCACTTGAAGACGTAAACGCGGGGAGCCACTCGGAAAGGACTAGTAAGTATCGGATCGCCAACACTATTCCTTTTACATAATCAAGGAAAAGGCCGGAGAAAGAGAATCTAGAATGACGACAGCCGGCTGAGGGGTTTACGCAGGGCCGAGGGTATCCATTGACTCCCTTTGCCTTTCCTCCCGTTTGGGCAATATCCTTTGCCGCTGGAATCGGCCAGTGGCGGCTGAGCCTTTTTTCATCCGCCTGACCATCCGAGAGCGGTTAGTTTACCCCATACGATCTACAGCAATCTTATGGGTTTTTAACCTAGGTAATCAGAAGAATTTAGTTGGTTGATTTGTAGTAGTATACTCAAGTGTTTTGGGGTTTTTTGTTTTTTCTAATATGAAGATAAAATGCATAATATAGTCACCTATATAGTATATTTATTATCATTACCAGGTCTCTCTCTCCGTATATCCGTGATATTATCTAAGTTGTATTGTATATGTCCACTTTAGTCCTAGTGCCTCAGCTAATCAGGTCTAGACCTCCTATTCTATCCAGTTTAGTCGGGATCTATTATTAAATGACTCCATATAGCTATTCGGTTACTTGTACACCTGACCAGGTACTCCATAGTCCATGCTCCATATCCATACTCTAGTAGACTAATTACCTTACGGAGTAGTTTCTACATACTACAACCACCTAAATTTTCGGCAACATGAGGCATTTTTTGACTCATTGTATCCTCCGTCTGTTTCACATTCCTCTCCCCGTGTAATCCTTTAGGCTCCTATCAGTGATCAGTCAAAAACCCATCCGCCGTAGAACCCAACTAGTAGCGAAATGCTTCCTAAATGTTCCGTCCACCCGTACCCACTTCGTGCCTGACGTCGGGCCCTGCCAGTTGACCAATACTTTGCCCCCTCCCCTGCCTTGTTTAATTTGTTTTGATTGTGATTTTCTTCCTATATTCTCCGATCTTGAAGTCTTATCAGCATATATACAATTCATTATTGGAGAGTTTCTTTTGTGAGGGAAATACATTAACCCTGAGGAAGATGTAGCTAGTCTACTTCGTATGGGGTATCCTCTAGTTACCGAGTAGGTATGTAGTGCCCGTATCCGATAGCTAGTTGTGGGGTATAGCTATCTAGTATCTACCGGTACTCCGTATAACAATACTCCGACTGCAGTATATCTATCAATTCGATTATATCATACTCTTCTTAGTCTATTTATTATATTATCTTATAAGCTCTATACAGTATTGATAAATGACTTATTGCGCTACTTACTATTTAGATAACTACCTAACTAGATAACCACTAATTACCTAGGTACCTGTTACCATCAATATTAGTCATGCGGCGAACTTTTTGTGGCAGGTGACTCGAAATGCGGGGAACTGACTCATGCAGCCCTTCTAGGAAGGGGAACACATCACGAGGCCACTCGGTCCATCAGGAACACATCATGTGCTCTGTTTATTATAGATTCTGGGGTAAGGAGTCCATAGCCATACATTAGGTAATAGATACCTTACAGAGTATAAGTGCTAGGAGTAAACACTTGGCAGGTAACTATATATTCCGAGTGATGACAGAGGGACTTCGGTATTTATAGCCCTATGCCTCATATTGAGCCCCTGATTATATATTTACTACTCGACAGAGTAGGCTGAGATTTAATTCACGACATAGAATTGATATGAATCAACAGAAATTATACAGAAATTATACAGAAAGGGATACTGTTGTATACATCATGTGACTTGATGCCTTGCGGCCTTACTTGGTGCCTGGATTATATGGCAGAATTGCTACCTATACTCTGGACAAAATATTACAGGATATTATAAGGTCTGACAATACCATTGAGATGACTCTATTCCTAAGCCTTGCTGGGGAAGATAATTAGCCCATTGCCGTATTTATACTGTGCCTTACTCCTACTCCATAGTAAGACTGCTATTTTTAGTGAAGGCTGTGTATTTCATTAGGATATGCAAGATAATCCAACAAAAACTTGATATAAACATTATGTATGTATGTATGTAGTAGTACAAACTTCAACTCTTAAAGAGTTGAGAGGAATTATTTATTTATTATTATATTATTCAACTCTATTAATTTATCAAGAACCCATAGAAAATGTTAAAGAAAAACGATTTATACTACTCTGTCTGTCATATGCTTGGTAGTAATAAGCATTTTTATCTCTGAGCCCGTAAGCACTACTGCTAGCCAGCTAATTAAATCCTCCATGAGGCTGAGCTTTCAACGCAATCAAACAGAGATGACGGTCAAGGATAGTTAGATCTTGTTTATCATAATAAAATTGCCAGCATGGAGTCGACTTACAACAGAGCGTTGTTGTCAGAGAAGGAAACCCTGAAGATTCTCTTCGGGTTCCAACCACCACCACCACCACCGACTCAGAATGACCGACCGCTGTCATCTTCTCTCAAACATCACCCCTGGCTGCCAGGCCCAGTTTGTTTTCCCTTTCTCACAAGAAGAAGATCCACATTACCCCCCGCCACAGAATGAACGGATCGATGCCCCCTTCGATGCCGCCGAGATTCCCAATCGCTTCTCCGGTGCCGAATCCACTGTCTCCAACGAGACCAGTTCGATCGCCTCCAACGAGTCCGAATTGACCATCTCCAACGAACGCAGCCAAAAAGCCTTGTCATCGTCCCAGTCGGAGAACCGTCCCTTGATATGGCGAGCGCTGAACCGCTCGTGTTCCTCGTGTGGGTTCGTCATGCTCCTAGTCGTTGCTGTCTATGCAAGTCTCTCCTCCGGTGTCTTCTTTGTCGTCGCTTGCGTGAGACCGTACTACGGACAGTCCATTGGCGATAACGGGGGTCTCTCGCCATCCTCGGCCAGTTTGATCAGTGCCTTTCTTGCCAAAACCGTTGAACTCGCCTATGTCACCACCGGGGTGGCCTTTCTGGGACAGCTTCTTAGTTACAGAGCGATCATCCGGGGATCATCTCGAGCTCCTCAGGGAGTCAGCCTCTCCGACTTGAACCTGCGGTCATGGATCACGCAGCCTGGGTCCTTGCTTTTACACTGGGGGCCGCTCAAATACTCGGGTGGGACTATTCTAGGTGCGATGACCTTGGTGATGACCATGGTTGCGATGCTCTACACCACTGCGGCGGAGGCTTTAGGTAATTACATCTCCTATTACATCTTCTGTTACATCTTCTATTACATCTTCTTCTTTTACTCTCTCCCCCAGTGACATCTCATCTAATATCTGAGCAGTCTCTCCCAAGCTGTCTTCCGGCCCGGTAAAATCTGTTCTCGTGCAGGGCGAGTACTACGCCGAATTCGCATATGCAGACTGGCTGAGCGAGCACTGCAAGACCCCCATTACGGACCAGATGAGCGAAGCCACGCGAGATGAAAGCTGTCTCAGCCTTGAGCTGGCGGGACAATCGTACCACGACATCGAGCAGTACCTGCAGGATTGGGCGGGACTGGTCAACTCGACAACGAACACCACGGCGATGACGACGACGACGAGCAAAGCACTGAAATCCCGCCTGCCGCCCACCAGCTCGCTGTACGACAACACGACGGTGACGGGAAGCTGGATCGAGGTGACGAACATGACCGCGCTGTCGAGCCAGTACGGCCGCATGGTCGACAACGTCACGGCGGCGTTCCCACACGGTGGCCTATTCGCTGCTGCACGCAACCCACACAACAAGATCACGCAGCCCGAGAACCTGTCCGGCGACGGCAAGTACACGCTCAACGCCTCTGTCACGTCGCCGGCGGTGAACGTGCTGTGCGTGGGGATGACGGCCGAGGAGCTGGAGCCGATCATCTACGAGGAATTCCCGTACCATGCGGCCATCAACACAACGACCTGGTACACGGAAGACGAGGCGATGATGAACGTGTACACCAACCGCACGGCGGTAGACGATCTGTTCGGGTTTGGCGGTGCGGCACCGGACTTTGGCGACCAGGCCGTCATGGGCACGCCCGTGTTCCCCATCTACCCGGCCGCGTGGAACACGATCATCAACACAAAGACCAACAACTCCAAGGCGATGTATCTGCTGGGGGCAGGTCCGCCCGGCCACAGCCCGCCGTACACGCTCTGCGCGCTGAAAGCGAAACTGTCGGGTGTCTGCTCTGCAGAGTACACTGTTTCCGCGAGCGCGGGGGAGCTAAGCGTGCACTGCGAGGACGGGGCCAACAAGCTCCAATACAACAACAGCGTGCCCAGCGCCAGCGAGACCATCTACGACGATAACTGGAAGATGCTGGCGTGGCAGTGGGCCGACGCGGTCAACCTCGGCTCCGGGCTTGACGATGAGGACGCAAGCATCGAGCGGCTCCTAATGGCTACGGTTCCCTCGTTCGATAACACGACCAACACCTCCTCGCTAGACCCCTTTTTACCCTCCGCCAGCGAGTTTCTCGCCGTGCTGGCCGGCAGCACTCTTCTCTTGGGCAGCGAGTACTCGCCCTTTGTCTCGTACTGGGCCTGGAATTTCACCAACAACTTCTCCACCCCGGTGTCGGAGAGCTTCAACGCAACCCTCCAGTCGGTGATGTACGCCTCCGGCCGCAACACAACGCACTGGCAACGGGTGTTTTTCGTCGTCCTGGCCCTCGCCTTTGCGACTTCCTTCGTCTGCACGGCGTTTTTCTCTCTCCTCGCTGTCCGTGGGCTTTTTCTGACCGACGTGACGGAGCTGTCGAATCTGTTTACCCTGGCGATGAACGCTCCGCCGGAGGAACAGCCTGCGTATAGTCTGGGGGGCAGATGGGTGGTTGACGAAGAGAATCATTTTGTAGCGGTGGAGGATCACTAATAGATATCTATCTCATTATACACAACATTTAAATACTTTAATATAGACAATTCTATTCACTAGTCACAAAGTACCTAAACTAGTAGTATAGAATCCGTCCACTAAAATCACACCTATTAAATAGTAAGCGGGGTCAGGCATATAAATTGAAACACAATTCTGGCGGGGTAACTCACCTCTCCCTAACACAACAAATATCCGAGTCGGTAGAGATTCAATCAGACGCAGGAAAGCATCTAGCTACAGTTGACACAAGACAGCAATCACAGTAAGTGGCTTGAAAACTTGTTGGGTAACCAGCCATGACTTATACTTGAAACTGATCTGTCTAGATGGGCCATCCTTCTTGTCCTTCGTGCGGGAATGCGATCAAGGGAGAGACGAAGACCTGCTCTTCTTGCGGAAAGGTCTGTTTCTACCGCCTGTTGAAAAGAAGAAAGGCTGACGAGTAGACCTGCCCTGTTTGAATGAGTACGGGAATCCATGACAAAGATAGACTGAGGAATGCAATATTCAACATCATCTAACAAATACATCATCTAACAAATACATTGTCTAAGAAATACATCGTCATCTATACCATTTCCCTCGTATCAACTTCTGCCTCTGCCTTTTCCCCCCTCAGCGTCTGCTCACTCAGACCACCCTCGCTTTCGCTGCGGCGGAGATGAGCTTCCAAGCCGTCTAGAACCTGTAGATGGCTCAATCGCTGCGGTGTGACTTGCCGTATAGTCTGGTGCATTGATTGTCGTATAGATTGATGTAAAGATAATCTATGCTGCTGCTGCTGTTGCTGCTGCTGGTTCTCCTCCTGCTCTTCGTCTTCTTCATCGCTATCTCCCCTCGCGAACTGATTGTTGACAATCGCCGAGTGCCGTTGCGGCACCGCCGTACTATTGTTCGGCAACGGTTCATGTGTCGACAGCAGGGTGATTTCGACGGGATGGTCACAGATACGGGGGACGTGTAGGACGCGGTACAGCAGGCTGAGGATGGGGACTGATACCCCGTGGACGATGATGGAGAAGAGGACGAGCCAATAGACAACTAGAAGAGGGTTAGCAAATGCCAGACTATACCTCACTTCGTCTAGATCTTGACTTGGGTAGTACCTGGTATCATTGCGCCGGTCAGGTTGTTGATTTCAACATCGCTTTCCCCCGGATCAGGGAAGAGCCGGCGCGCGTATTCGACGTAGGAAATTGCGCCGATGCCTACCATTATTAGCCTCTTATTTTTGTTGTTCCAGGGCGACGACCTACCAATCGGCCCAAAGTACCCCATGAACAAAGCCTCCTTCCAGTCCTGACAGACGTGAGGAATAAACCGGTATGCCATCATGATGGCCGGGATGCGTCGAAAGAACAGGATCAACACGCCCAACCCCATGAGTCGGCCGACTGTGATGCCCGTCGTATCGGGGGTCTGGAAGAACCCCCAGGGCATGATTGCGCCGAGGAAGATAAAGGCACCGAAGTTGAGGAGCGCCTCGATGGCCGGGTTGAAGGAGTCGTGGCGCTTCAGCGTCTCGGAGTGGTACCTCCCATCCCAGTTCAGGACGTTGCCGGCAATGAAACACGCGAGGGTATCATCTGAGCCGATGCATCCGCACGTTCCGACCACAAATAGCTGAATGGTTGTTAGTTCACTTGTTCAATTTATGAGTTCACGGGTAGCTTACTCCCATGGCAAGAGGGACGAGCAGGAAGCCTTCATTATCGATCCATCGTCTAGTAGTGTTAGCCAGGAATTTATTTTCTTTTTTCCCTTGTTCTTGTCTTTGAATACCTTTTAGATGCAATGTTGACGAATTTCCTAGACAAAAACCCGACGAGAGCGCCATACCCAGCCCCCATGATAATCATGTAGAGCACGCCCTCGACAGCCCAATGCTTCAAGGCATGTTTGACCCCACCGCCGAACCTGCCCACCCCTGACGTGCCGAGCTGGTCGGCAGTGCCTCGCGCGAGATCAAAGTCCTCCATGGTGACAGCATTTGCAGGGGCGGCGGCGTAGCGGAGCAAGGAGACGGCCAGCAGGAGGAAAGGAAATCCGAAGCCGTCGTTCCCTCCGGCCTCGGCGGAGATGAACTCGCGGAGCGGGCGGCGCACATAGTTGTCTGCAAAGGGGCCCTTGGCGATGGCCTGCGAAAGAACGGGGTCGGTGCAGGTGACGCAGGCGCCGATAATCAATGCGGAAAGAAAGGTGATGCGTGGAATGATGAGCATGATGAAGCCAGAGGTCACCAGCCACACGATACTCATGGCCGGCAGGAGACAGATGGTCAACTCCAAGCCACGCTGTCGCAGGTACCGTTTGGGGAGTTCGTACCCGGCCTTGACGAGTTGTATTCCAATGACCAGCCGAGTAAGGCCCTGCACCGGGAAAAATAAGTAGTGTACGAGAAGAGAAGAGAAGAGAAGAATGAGATGCAAGAGAAGAATCTTACATATGCGATTGCACTCTTCTGGCCTTGTGCCCCGTCTCCCCATTGACTCACGTCAAGGAATCTCGCACCGACAGGGCCGAGAAGAACCCCGAGGACGAACGCAGGTACTGTAGATCAGATGAGTGCTATAAGGGATGTAGAATGTATATGTAGGAACCTACAAGCATCACCGAGGTACCAGCGCTGTTTGATTTTGAAGGATATAAACCTGGAGAGAAGAATAAAGATGCCTATTCATTAGCTGAGCAATAACACTCGATTCACAATCCACAAACAGAACATACCTAGCACAGAGAGAACAACGTTCAAGCTGCTGACATCAAGTACCGGCCTCAACATCTTCTCGCTGGCAAAGCAAAGCGGGCGGCATCACAGGAACAGTAAGTGCGCAAGAGTGATAGCAATAGCAATAACCTTTTTCTGAAGGACTGGGTCACAACCAGACAACTATCTAAATAGCTGGCTGGAGACAGGCATGTGGGCCAGAAAATGCCCCCGAAACGAATATAATATCCCTTCTGTGCTCCGTCCCTTGGCTTTGTACCTGTTCTGTACCTGTACCTGTACCTCCATCGGATAAGAGCAGCGTATGTGGTACGGAGCACGGAGTACCTGGTACCTACCTGGGTACGTATGGAGGTCATTGCATACCGCGCCCTTGCAGAATCATGGTGGCCACGAAAGCTTGACCTTTTTGTTTCTCGATCGGCCAGGAGGGGAGGGAGGAGCATGCCATTCAATGTGTTCTCGATAGTCGATAACTAGTTTGTTGACATCAGACTGTGGCGAAAGGACAGACAAAAGCACAGTCTTGAAAAGAGTATTCCGTAAAGAGCTTCTTCGGTGGTACATCCTTTCGTGATCGACATCGCAAAATGGAAGCCTTATCAAAACAAGGGATGGAGGGAGGGAGGGATTCGCACTGCGACATGCAGGCTGTGTCATAATTCATAATGTGGCTGTTCGGGGTACGGAGTACTCCGTAAGGATCATCGATGCAGTTGTCCGTGAATTTGGTCTGCTGGAGCCTGGAATCCAATCAATGCGAGGTGGTGAGTTGAAGTCAGGACTGATGGAGCACTTCTGTAGGGGGAGTACGGAGTAACGCTTGTACCTAGAGAGCTTAATCTTAACGCTCGTACTTTTTTAAAGCTTGCTAAGATCAAAAATTATTACAACTAGTATAATAGTATACAATAATACAAGCTCAGGCAGCTAGCTGTACTGTACTCATGCTAATATTTATTCCTATAAGAAAGATCGGTGTTTGGCACCGGTGAATTAATAAGACTACACCATGCTCTCAAGCACCAGGCTTTGCATAGTACTCCCGTACAGGGTAGGTCTAGGCAGTCCGCTTCCATTGCGACGACAGGCCGATCAAACTGCTCACTATTCCCGTAAGACCGATCAAGCCTTCGTCCAGGTTGGCGAATCCAAGCGCGGAGATGGGCATGGCCAAGTCGCAGAGGTCGGAGACGAGTTGGATCCGGGCGGCGGCACGTTCTCTAAGTCAACCAGAAAGATTAATATATCAAAAATTGAATCAATCGAAAAGGAGAAAGGAAACGCACCGTTCGATCTTCTTCGCCTCAACCACACCCTCGCCCTCCTTGAGGTCGAGGGTCTTTTCTTTCCCTTGCAGATTCCAGAGCGTGTAGAACCCAGCCATCGCGCTACACAGTAACCCAGCCATCCAGGCCCGCTGGGCGGTATCCTGCAGCCGTTTGATGGCGGCGAGCTTGCGCACCCCGATCGTGTCGACCACCGTGTACGTGTCGATGACGAGGTATCCTGCGTACCCCAGCTGGCGGCCTACAGCCAGATACCTCAGAACCGGGTCGACGGGTCCCTTGTTGTCCATGGCCAGTGAGGCGGCCTTGATGTGCTCGACAAACTTGCCCACCCGGATCAGCTTGCGGGTCTTGCCCAGCTCCTTCTTCAGGGCATCGTACGGTGCGATCGCGGTCTGCGGGCGGTTCGTCCGGAAGAGGTACCATGAGTAGAATCGGGCGAAGAACTGAATTGTCCGCATCACCTTATCGCGGCCGACTAGAATGGAAAAAAAAAGATCCGTGTTTGAGTATATGGGGGGGAGATTTAAATGTTGATGGCATGTGACACGTACCTGAGGTCGCGAGGAAGCGCACATAATGCGCAATAACCGGGTGATAAACCAGTGCGTCTGCAACCATTGTGACTGTTCGAATATACCAGGGATATTATGTAGTAGAGCTGTGTTCGAAACTGTCAGCCTGGTGCTCTCATCTCCACGTCAGATCGACTTCGGCGTCATCAGTCTAGCTAAGACTTTCGCCATCGAAGCTGTCAAGACCAAAGAATGGAAAACTCACAAATCCAAGGGATCAAACAACGTACGCAAGGAGCTGCGATGCGTAGGGAGAGGTTGAGAAGATAGGAAGTGACAGAAACTGTGGGGGAAGAAGAGGACGGCTGTCGAATCGAGACTTTGAATGGTCGCAGATGCCGCTGACTGGGTCTGAACCTCGGCTGATCAATGGCCGAGCTCATGAAGATATAAGTTGATTATATAAGAGACGATAGAAAGATAAGAAGATTAATTCACTTATAGCAAGGATTGACTACTAACTAGTAGTTATAGCCTAATACTCAAGTAATGCTTTATTCATTAAAATAATTATTCGCAGGAGATGGCAGAAAACCATGCACTGCGTGTCCTCGTAATTCAAGGTCCGTTTAACGTTTAACATAGTAATCCCGTACAATAGATATACATCTCGCCATCATTCATATATCCTGGTCCGTATCATATGGCAGGTGTATATATAGGAGATGTGCGTTGGAACATTAGAATAGGTGTATCGAGAGAACTTATATGAGGGAGAGGGAATCAGACGGGAAGAAATATAGAAGTTGAGGGATCGTGGAAAAAATCCCATCTATTTGTTGCCCATGGTCGAGACGTCGTAGCCATGCTCCTCGAGGTAGGCGCGGAATTTGGCATCCTCCTCGGTGATGGTGTCCTAGAGCAGAACAGTCAGTCAAATCCAGTCTCTTGTATGAAAAAAAAAAAAAAGAAGAAGAAGAAGAACCCACCTGGGAGATGTTCGGCAGGCCAAAGTAAGCGACAAAGGCACTGAAGATGCACAGAGCGCTGGACACATAGAACGGATCCTGACCGGCGCGAATGGAGTTCGGGGCATTGTCCTGGATGATGGGGAAGACGTAGGTACCGACAAAGGCACCGATCTTGCCAATGGCAGCGGCGATACCGTAGAACTGGCCACGGATGGGAGTCGCACACGACTTGGCGGCACACAGACCGATGTTGTCACCGGGGCCGACTTCACCAAGAGCAAGGAAGATACTGTAGAGATTGATGTTAGACTTGGATCTTGAGAGAGGAGAAGGAGGGAGAACATACCCGTAGACCACCACAAAGGCGCCGACATACTGGGCGGTGGCGAGGTAGGGGTAGCATCCGGTCATGATCAAACCGACAACACCCTGGGCAAAGACACCGATGGCCAGAGTGTTACGGGGACCGATCCAGTCACTGATGAAGGCACCGGCGAAGGAACCCGGGAGATAGAAGAAGTTGATCAAGGTGCTCCAGCCGAGAGAGATCCACAGGGGATAGGAGTCACCCAGGATAATCTTGATCCAGGCGGACGAGTAGATACCGAAGGAGTAGGTGGAGAAATCGTAGATGAACCAGATCAAGGAGATGACAAACTGGATAGAAAGTTAGTGATGGATCTTGTCAGATACGGAGTTGGGAGGGGGGAGACAAACCAGGCGCTTCCAGTAGAACTTGATGATCAGCAAGAGGGGGAACTTGCGCATACGCTCGCGGTTGAACTCCTCGGGCTCCTTGAGCTTCAAACGCAGGTAGAACAGACTGAGCGGGGGGATGACACCCAGGCCCAGACAGATACGCCAAGCGGCGCGGAGGTGCTTTTCGGTACAGGCCAAGACAACGATCATGGGGACGAGCGAGGAGGCGACGGAGGCCAGATCCAGCTGGAAGTTGGTGAAGAAGATGAACCAACGGTGGCGGTGGCCCTTGGCCAATTCACCACTGCTCTCGGCGGCGGCAACAGAGCCAGCGGGGTATTCTCCACCGATACCAAGACCCAGGAAGAAACGGTAGGTGACCAGCGCGGTGAAGAGACCCTCGTGGCTGTCGTTGGCGCCATACGAACCGGCACAGAGCGCACCGAAGACAATCAGGATGATGGTGGAGACCAGCAGCGAGTTTCTGCGCGACCAGTGGTCAGACAGGTAACCGAAAAGCAGCTGGCCGACGACAGTTCCGGCGAAGGCGATCGAGGCGACGTTCTGGCTGGCCCTCGAATTGGCGTACTCCGTGGGGTAGATCGTTTCGAGCATGGTGTTGATATAGCCGATAACCTAGATAAAGCGAGTCAGCAAACTGCAGTCATTGTGTTTTCCTTTTTGCTCCAAAAAAAAAAAAAAAAAAAAA